TTCGACAATGCCTCGTCACGTTCTGAACAAAAAGCACCACGCTAGAGCATGATCCCAGCCACGATCGAGTATGTCTGCGTGTAATTGACGATGCTGTGACGATACCACCGCGCTCAATAGTTATGGTTCAAGTGGCGTGTAACAAATCAGCACACGGTGAAATGGTGGCGGAAAGCAATCGATCCCTACTCTTTTCCCAAGGTGTCTGTGTAGCACGAAGCCTAGTAGACCTCCAGGCTGGCCGCTGCGAGGTTCTTGTTACAAACTTCAGCTACGAGCGCCGGCACCTTTTCCCTGGTACTGTCTTCACCTATGCCTACGCAGTAATTAATGTGACTGAGTTATTGCTTCCGAGGCAACTGATAATGCCGAAGCACCTCTAAGGAGCATCGACGTAAATCTAACGCTTTCTGACCAAAAGAAATGAAGGCTCAACGCGTTGATAGAGTTCCACGCCTGTTTTGCACGTTCATTGAGAATCCGTCACACATCGATTACCAAACACCGTACTATCACTTACGGCAACGCGAACCCCTACACGGTGACAGCCTTACCGAGTTTAGCCAACCGAACGACGCGCGATTCAAAGGCAAGGGAAAGAAGTGCTTCAAGATGGTGTAATACAGCCATCAAGCAGCCTATGGTCATCGCCAGTCGTCCTTTTAAAGAAGAAGGATGGAACACTTCACTTTTGTGTTGATTATAGGAAGCTGAATAACGTCACAAGGAAAGACTTGTACCCGTTGTCTCAAGTGGACGATTCTCTTGACAAGCTGAGGCGAGCAAAGTAATTTTTCTCAATCGACCTCAAAAGTGGTTATTGGCCAATTGAAGTCGATGAACTTGACCGCGATAGGACGGCTTTTGTAACTCCTGACGGTCTGTCTGAATTCTGAGTGCTCCCATTCGGCCTCTGTACCGCTCTGGCAACATTCAAATGAATGATAGACACCATTCTCGCTGACCTCAAGTGGAAAAGTTGCCTCGTCTATCCAGATGATGTCGTCTTTTCAAAAACATTTGACGAGCACCTTCGTCGCCTTCGGAGTGTTCTTGAAGCTACACAATCCATTGACCTGACCCTCAAGCCTGAGAAGGACCATTTCGGCTACAAAGAATTGAAGTTCCTGGGTCACATTGTGAGCGCTGCAGGCGTTCGGCCCGACCCTGAGAAGACTGCCGCTGTGGCCGCTTTTCCAGCTTCGACAGACAAGAAAAGTCTTCGACGATTTCTGGGGCTCTGCGCATACTATCGCCGCTTTATTAAAAACTTCTCTATGATTGTGCAGCCGCTCATAAAACTTATGCATGACGACACCACATTTCTGTGGACTGACGAACAAGCGACTGCCTTTGCGGAACTGCAACATCGATTGTCTTCCCCTCCTGTACTTGGTCATTTCGATGAGGACACTGACACAGAGGTGCTCGCTGACGCAAGCAACGTTGGTCTTGGAGCTATCTTGGTGCAAACACAAGATGGGACTGGACGTGTGATTGCCTACGTGAGCTGCACTCTATCACGTGCCGTAACCAACTATTCAACGTCAGAGAAGGAATGTCTCGCGGTAATATGGGCGATTACGAAGTTCAAGCCTTATATCTATGGGCGTCCATTTAATGTTGTGACTGATCACTACACTTTATGCTGGTTGGCTAACCTCCGAGACCCCTCTGGGTCATTAGCACGATGGAGTCTGTGACTTTAGGAGTTCGATGTCACCATTGTATACAAGTTGGGTAGAAAGCACGAAGATGCCGACACGCTATCGCGAGCACCTCTGAAATCCGACTATACAGCTGTAGAAGACAACAGTGCGTTCCTGGGGACTCTCAGTGGGGCGGACCTCCTCAGTAAGCAATGAGCAGATCATCGATCATTTAGAAGGCAGCACCAAATCTGTTCCTCATCCACTTTCCTGTACGTTGCCGTCATTTGGTTACGACACGGCATATTATACAAGAAAAACACCGGTGTCGGCAGCAGATCTTATCTTCTAGTCATTCCTCAAGACCTTCGTGATGACATCGTATTAGCCTGCCACGATGAGCCGACATCCGGCCATCTGGGATACTCACGGACGCTCGACCGGGTACGACACCTATATTGCTGGCCTAAACTCGCAGCTTGTGTCAAACGCTACGTGAAAGGGTGTCGCGAATGTCAGTGTCCCAAATCACCACCTGTAAAGCCTGCAGGCCTCCTACAACCCATCGACCCACCGCATACACCATTTGACCAGGTTGGCATGGACCTCCTTGGACTTTTTCATTTGTCTCACTCAGGAAACAAGTGGATCATTGTCGCAATTGTTTACTTGAGGCGTTACGCTGAGACGAAGCCACTGCCACGTGGTACAGCATCTGAAGTCGCCCAGTTTTTCATGCGCCACATTGTGCTTCGTCACGGCGCCCCGTCATTCATCATCACTGACCGAGGGACAGCGTTGATGGCAAAACTGTTGGATGACATCTTCAAGCTCAGTTACACGAGCCACCTTAAGACAACCGCATACCACCCCCAGAATAACGGCCTTTCAGAAAGGCTAAACAAAACGCTGGCGGACATGATTTCTTTGTATATGGATGTGCAGCATAAAACGTGGGACGAGATCCTGCCGTACGTAACGTTTGCAAAAACACTGCAACCCAGGAAACGATATGGTACGCACCCTTCCGCCTCGTTTACGGTCGGGACGTGCAAACCAGGCTAGACGCCATGATTTCTTGTGACATCGACCAGCACAAGCTGTTAACTCCTGATGTCGAGGATTACATTCAGCGTGCAGAGGAAGCACGTCAATTAGCTCGCGTGCACATAAGATCACAGCAATGTGAAGACGCACGAAGGTACAATATCCATCATCGACAAGTCACCTATCAACCTGGCGACCAAGTGTGGGTTTGGACACCTGTTAGACGGCGAGGTCTCAGCGAGAAACTCCTGAGCAAGTACTTCAAACCCTACAAAGTATTACGGCGGTTGAGCGAGGTCAACTATGAAGTTATTCCAGTTGGAGGCTTGGCAACGACGCAGCGCCACTCACCACAAACAGAGATTGTGCATGTCGTCCGCCTAAAACCTTATTTTTGTGGTGCTACTCGCCTTATTGTGCCCGGGCAGCAAACATTTTCATTTTTTTTACGTTGTCCGTGGGGTCTCCAATGAACTGTGAACTGTGTTAACGGTTTTTTTCTTATGACTAACCACAGACATTTTTTTTTTGCACCTGCATATGCCCTGTGCACTATAAGTATAGTTTCTTTTTTTTTTTATTAGGTGGCCCTGGTGCCCCCTTGTGTATGAGAATCGTGTTGATGCTCTAATGGGAGGGGAAATAATGCCACCTAGAGTTGTGAGCCGGCAAGCCCTAGCCAGCCGAAAAGGGCAAAGAGAACGAAGAAGTGTGTGTGTTAGCGCTTTGTTTTAAGATACACGCTCGTGTCTTCCTGCCGCGCTGTTCTGTCTTGTCTCTACGGCTCTTGGTGTGTGACAATATACTGCACATGAATATCCTCATGCAAAAAAGGTAACATTGTTTGTTTAGTTTTTAAAGATTAGGAACACGGAGATTAACAGTCCAATGTGGTGGTACTGAAACTCGTTCATAAAATAGTCTAATAGATGATTGGTGTTTATCCAAGTGTGCAAAATGCAAATTGCTCCATGAAAGGCCATCTCCACGTTGCTCCACGGGCACGGAAAATGGAATTAACTTTCTAATGCCTTAATATTTGATGCCATTTTCGTGGGGCCACAGCGACAAATGAAATGGCATTCGCCTTGTTGCCATTATTTACCTAATGCCTTTGCCAGAACTCATTCGACCGAGAAATGTGTATTCTCAACACCAAAGCTTTCTCTCTGCAATACACATAAAACATTTAAAATAGTATCTATTACGCCAAATATATTTTAGACATGACTTTTCAGAAATCTCGTGTTATTCCTCAGTTGTGCTATAGCAAAGTTCACGTCAGAGTTCCGATGCGATATGGAAGGAACAATGTCATATTGTCGCTTTCGGATTCAAAATGCAATAAACGAAGTTCCTGTGGTCGATTGAAATGTTGTAAAAAACAATGACAAATTCGAGAAAATGCTACCATAGTGCCTTACTTCTGCATTCCACTAGCCTTGCATGCAGATTAGATTTGCTAAATTGCATCTTCATATTTTATTACTGTGGCAAAACTACTCACTTCAAAAGTCAGTGTTATCAATATCATCAGATCAAATGTCATTGACTTTATGCTTGTGGCAGGCCCGCTGAATAATTGTCATTAAAGAACTGAACGACCTCAACTGCTGAATCTATTTTCTTGGGCCCGTGTGTTACGGGTATAACTCGAGGACTAGCGAGCCGGCTAACTCTCCTTGTGTGATTTGTAGTGGTGTACAGCTTCCGAAGACAGGAGAGGCCTCGGCGAGATGTCAGAAGTGTGACAGCTGACTGATTGCCTCTGCGACTGAACAAACAATCCTGCTCATATGTTGGGCGATGTTGTCCAAAGGTGCTATTACCGATCCTACAATCGGAGAACATAGCGAGTTCTTGAGCAGAACTGTTTTGAGCTGGGGAATGGTTATGGGAATAATTTGGCATTTTTTGGCCAAACTGTTTTTTACTGCATCTTCTTTCTCTATTTTAGTATTTTATTTTTTTCAATTCAGAATCTTTTTTTTATATTAGGAGAATTGGTTATTGCAGAGAGGCAGCTTGCGCATTACTGCTGGCTTGTGTGCACGCACATTGAAGCTTGAAATGCTGCTGTCTTCAAAAGTCATACAGTATTTTTGGATTGAAGTGTAAAATGTTAAGGCTGGTAGTGCATGTTTGTTTTCAGCATCTACAGTTTTTGTCGTGTGGGCTTAATTTTGACTCAATCACTTACCTCAGTGCCTTTAGCAACCGCATTTGCAGGGGCATGACACGGTTGTCACAAGCAATTGCTCGTAGCAGTCCACGAGTATTCTATGTGTACGAGTTTTACTGTACATGAAGGCCTGTCTCACTCATGTATTCGCGTGTCTCATACGAGCGTGTTCCACGTCGGTCGTGACCTGCCACCATGGTTCTTCTGCAGAGTGCCGTCTCTCTGAGCTGAGCAGGCAGGAAGGCAGCTGGCGACAGTGGTTGCGGCTGCTGTGCGGCAACAAGGATCCCGGCCTGCTGGCCTTTGCCTTCTCTGCCCTCCAGGTGGGAAACTCTGCTGAAGGAAAGTGTGCTCGGCTACTTCACTGTGTCTTCTTGTGGGGCACCTCTATTTAAAGGGGTCCCATAAGACTTTTCTAAGAAATCGTCTAATGGCTTCATCAAAAGTTGTTATTGTCTCGCGAATCAACCGCCCCAAAAGTTTTTAGAATCTATTGAGTGCGAGTGGAGACACTGGGATTTTTCGCTCTCTTTGGGCACTTCTCTCCTTTTGTTACCAGCAAGCACATCGAAAGCAATGCTAACAGTGCTATGACGAGAGGGCAAGAAGATGCGTGCTTCCATCAGTGTAGGTCACGAGCTTGAGCTCTTTCTTTTAATTTTTCTAGGAATGTGTGGCTTACTTTTTGTGTGGTCGTGTGCGCGTGAGCGAACAGGTGGTGGCATCTTTTGGCATCCAGGGTAACTATGCAGTCTATGGCGCTCAAATCAGCCAACGGCTGCTGGCTATGCATTTATGATGCAGCGATTCGGGCATGTGGCATCATTTATAGAGAGAAAAAGGAACGATTTCTGGCTCTTGCTATTGCAAATTCCAGCTCCAATGTTCAGTTCTCATGTTTCAGGAGCCTCGGTTGGTTATTGGCAGCATTTTCAGATAATGCTGCTGAAGCGTTGCAGGGCACCTTTGGTGGGGCTCTTATGTGAAAGAATAAATTGATTTAGATTGATTAATTTTATTTTTAAAATTCTAGTGTAATTAATTTCACTATCATAGCCTGTATATTAAAGGAGAACATCAAGGTAAGAGTCCCAAATTAAATTACGTGCTTTAATCTCCGAGCCTGATGTCATGGATTTCAAAGGGAATATTTATGTTTACTGCCAAAGAAAGGCGTAGGTCCTAGTATTTGCCATCAAAATCTGTAATGTCATGGCGATTGGTGCGGCAATTTCAGGGTGGCATCGCCACCTGCATTTTTCTTTTGTGCATTTTCTCATGGTAAGCGAGGTGACTTCGGTATCTTTAAAAAGTAGTTTAGTACTAATACACACAAACCTCATTATATAACAAAGTTGCATTTTACTTGAAAATAAGTTTGTTATATTGGAAAATTTATTATAAAGGTATATTTCTAATGCTATATCTACTGCAAGACTATTCTTAATTTACTTCGTTATAACCAATATTCCTCATGTTCGGGTTTGTTATATCAAGCTTTGAATGTACGGCAAAGGTCTCCTTTCGCTTTAGTGTCCCTCTAAAGGGGCTGACAACCAACCAGAAGATGTCACAATAAGACACTGGTGAAAGTGGAGAAACTGGTAAGTATTGGGTTAAAATCGAGCTTCCTATCACAATATGAGTAGGATTTGTATTTTGAAGTTGCATTTTAAAATCATAAAAACTGGCACATTGCATCGCCTGGCAGACAAGCCTTGGCACTGTGCAAGTCTTGTCAGCACGAGCACTGAGCGCTCTTGCTGTGTGCCTCCTCTTTGCTTTGTGTCTGTGTTTACCCCCGCACTCCCAGTTCGCTGAACTGTGCAAGAAGTATGTCAGCTAGCGTTTCGGTGAAAATGAAAAAGGGCGTTGGTTCTGCGTGAGGTTGCACTTCAATAATGGCCAAGACTGCTCGCGATGAAGAAACCATTTGATGTGAGCGTCAGCAAGAGCTGACGCGGGAATGGGCATGTTGTCATCGAGCCAACTGGGACGTTCACAGAAGAGACGCCGAAGTAAAGGGCCAACAAAAGGAACACTTGAAAAACATAGAAGTACGATAGGTTGATGAAGTAACGGTATTAGCTTTGCTATTTCGATAGTGTTTGGAAAGTAGATATGGCTGGGTTTTCTTCTTGCTTGCAATTTATCTCAACAGAGAGAAGTTTCACGTGCTTCAGTGTTTTGTACATGGACGGGAGCACTTGCGTTTCTCTCAAAGTTTCGTGTGGCCCGGCCCAGGATGCCATTTCGAGGCGCGGTCTGGATCTGTCCGCCCGCCAGGAGCTCCGCAGCAGCCTGCAGCACCTGCTGCTCTCCGCGCAGCAGCAACCGGCCTACGTGCGCAACAAGTTGTCGAAGCTGCTGGTAGACCTCGCTTGCGTCGACTGGCCGCACAATGAACCCAGCTTCTTCGACGACATTGCGCAGGTGACTTCTCATTTGGGTACCACATAAGCAGTGTACCACGTAAACAGGGTGCCATTAAGGGTACCACAAAAGCAGGGTACCACATAAGCAGGGTATGCATTTTGTTATCAATTCGTATTTCAGTGCAGGCACCCTGGTGTCTCTTATACCCATTTGTCAGTTACATCAGTATCTCTTATAAAAAAGTTTGACAGTATTGGGCTTGAGGAATAGGGTTCAGAAAACTAGGGAATATAATGAACATGGGTACATCAATTAATGCAATAATAGATATAGTGGGCAAGGGTGCAATGAATTATCAGATTTAATGAACACTTGTATGGGAAATTGGTTGATATGACAAACATAAATTTATTGAACATTAGTGAATATAAAAAAACATGTAAATAATGATATAAAAGATTAGGTGGGCTGCTATATAAGAAATTGTTAGTTATTGCCGCGAACCATGCATTGGGTTTGTTTATTTGTGTTTTGTTTTTTCAGCCTGGCTGCGCCGGCCTGTGCTATCGCCGTTTTCACAGCGTTTCGAACAAACGCTACCACAGCGTTTCGAACAAACACTATCGAACAACGCTTCAGGCGTTGTTCGATAGAAACAACCCTTCAAGCGTTGATTGTTAGAAACGCTGTTCGAACGAACAGTGTTTCTAACAAACGCTATCACGGCGTTCCCGATACAATTCGACTATTCGAGAAACCCTCGCGCCGAGGGATATAAATTCCCGCACAGCCGATGCCGCGTCATTCGATCGCCGACGCTCACTAGCGTGCCCGTCGTTTTGCTGGCCGCTGCTTCGCCGCCTGTGTATTTTTTCAGTTGTTAGGGGGGCACAGGTTCGCTCCAATAAACTTGTTTTCCTCATAGACAACTGCGTCGTCCTTTGCTGCGTGACTTCTGGTGGAGGTGCGGGGTACATGAACCCTAAGCCATTGCCAAGCCGACAAGCACGCCCAACTCGTGTCAGCCGCCGACAGCAAGGCCTTCAGCTAGAGTTTGGACTGCTCCCGGATGAAAAAAGGAAAGAAGACGTAAAAACCACGATGATCAACGCAGGCACCATGACCAGCGCTACCAACCCTTCCGTCGTTCTACAACAACCTCGTGAGCCCCCATCATTCCGAGGATCTCCTGGTGAAGACCCGGAAGAGTGGCTGGAGAAGCTGGAACGCATCCACATCTTTAACAGGTGGGATGACGAAGAAACGTTTCGTCATGTCTTCTTCTATTTGAAGGATGCAGCTCGAACGTGGTTTGAGAACCATGAAGGCTCCCTAACCGACTGGACTGTCTTTAAGAGCGAATTCCTCAAAACATTCGCTACGGTTGTGCGGAAAGAACGAGCCGCCCTTTTGTTGGAGACGCGAATGCAACACCCTAACGAAGGTGTTGTACTGTTCGCTGAGGAGATGAAGATGCTGTTCCGGAGAGCTGACCCCGAAATGGCAAAAGAGAAGAAGGCGCGCTTTCTGATGCGGGGAGTTAAACAAGAGCTCTTCGCTGGACTCATCCGCAACCCCCCTAAGACCGTCGCTGAGTTCGTCACCGAGGCTTCGATGATCGAGAGGACCTTGGATATGCGTTCGCGGCAATACGATAGACCACTCAACACCCTTTCGGTGAACTCGGTAAACCTGGATTGGCGACGGAAGACTTGCGGGAGACCATCCGCGCCGTCGTTCGCGAGGAACTGAGGAAATTGTTCCCAGCAACGCCGCAGCCCCAAGTCGCCTCCCTCACTGACGTCGTCCGCGAGGAGGTTCAGCAAGCACTGGGGAATTCCACGCCGTCGGAAGCATCTTGCGAACCACAAGCGATGACCTACTCCGCTGCTGCTCGTCGACCCCGACCCGTCCCAACCCGTTATCAAAAGGCCCCGTAGTACCGCCGCCCAATGTCGCCCACCCGACCCCCTGTAACCTGAAACCAGGCGCCCAGGAAGACCGAGGTGTGGCGAACGCCAGATAATCGTCCGCTGTGCTACCACTGCGGAGAGGCCGACCACGTCTACCGCCGCTGCCCGTACAAGAGGCTGGGTTTGTGTGGGTTCTCCGTCGACGCACCCCGCCCGCGAGCTGGCCAGCGCCCATTTGAGATCGAAGAATACCTGTCGAACACCAGCCGTGGACCATTTCGTTTCAACCGTTCGCCGTCGCCCTACCCGTACCAATCCCCCAACCGTCGCAGCCATGCTGACTTCGCCCGTGGAAGGTCCCCCAGCCCACGAGGGGGAAACTAAAAGCAGCAACTTCTGGAGGTGAAGTTGCACAACGGCTAGAAAATGAAAACCCTCCAACGACGCAAGACCGTGACTCACGACATGCCCTCATCCCGACGACACCCTGACGACACCCTGACGAGACCCCCGAAAACGACGACAGCTACGCTGCGTGACGCGTACCCGAAATGACGAAGCCTGCCGCTGAGAAGATGACGATGACGACTCATAGTGCCCGACCATCAACACGTGCAAGCCGCGATACGACGCCCCGACGCACCCGAAATTCGAGGAAAGCGGCATCCGACGTCCAGTTGTCCATCGACGGCCTTGACGTAGTCGCCCTCATCGACACAGGAGCCGACTACTCGGTCGTGAGCGGGTCATTCGCGTCCAAGCTAAAGAAAGTTACGACCAGATGGGACGGTCCGCACATACGCACAGCAGGAGGCCACCTCGTGACCCCAAGTGGAATGTGCACATCGCGCGTCACCATAGACGGCACTACGTACCCTTCGGAGTTCGTCATTTTGCCTAACTGCTCCCGCGACGTAATTCTCGGAATGGACTTTTTGACGGACCATGGCGCAATAATTGATCTGCAAACCAGGTCGATAACGTTTTCTTCCGATCACTCCACGACGCCGCAGCCGAACCTCGGACACCGTGCTGCTGTAAGGATCGCCGACGATCACGTCATCCTGCCACCCCGCGCCAGCTTGATGATCGCCGTCTACTGTGAAGGTGCTGCTCCTGACGTCGACGCTATCGTGGAGACTGACCAAAGGTTGCTTCTAGACCGCGGTGTGTCTGTCGCAAGAGGCATTGCGCGGTTTAAGCAACGCAGATCCCACGTTTTGGTCACCAATTTCAGCGAGGAGTACCAGCATCTGAACAAGGGCGCTGCAATTGCGTTCCTCGAAGAAATGCAAGAAGCAAGTCAAGTGATCACAGTCGCCACCTTTGAACGCGCACGCGCAGATGCTTCCAGGCTGCCACATCCTTTCGACGTGAACCCGGCGCTGTTGCAAGAAAATCGGGACAGATTACTGGAGTTGCTCCGTCACTACGGCGAGTGTTTTTCCTCGAACTCGAAGTTACGTCAGACACCTTTGGCGAAGCACCGGATAATAACCGAAGATGGAGCCCGACCTACCAGACAGTCACCGTACCGCGTTTCTTCACACGAGCGCGAAGCCATCCGGACACAAGTTGATGACATGCTCAGCGACGACATAATACAGCCATCAAAAAGTCCGTGGGCTGCGCCGGTTGTACTCGTGAAGAAAAAAGATGGCACTTTAAGATTCTGCGTTGACTACCGGAGACTAAACAAAATCACCAAAAAGGACGTGTACCCCCTGCCACGAATCGACGACGCCCTCGACCACCTCTGCCACGCCAAGTACTTCTCATCCATGGATCTAAAGACCGGCTACTGGCAAATTGAAGTGGACCAGAGAGACCGAGAGAAGACTGCATTTATAACCCGGGACGGTCTATACGAGTTCAAGGTGATGCCGTTTGGGCTGTGCACGGCGCCCGCAACGTTTCAGAGAGTCATGGACACTGTGCTAGCAGGCCTGAAGTGGCACACTTGCCTCGTATACCTCGACGACGTTGTCGTATTCGCCCAGACTTTCGACGAACACCTCACAAGGTTGGAATCTGTACTCGAGGCCATTCGTACGTCGGGGTCAACGCTGAAGCCTGAGAAGTGCCGTTTCGCATACGAGGAACTCAAGTTCTTGGGTCACGTCGTGAACGCCGCGGGAGTCCTACCTGACCCGGCAAAAACATTAGCCATTGCGAACTTCCCAAGGCAGAAAGATAAGAAGGGTGTGCGAAGGTTTCTCGGACTGTGCGCATACTACCGGCGCTTCGTCGCAAACTTCGCACGCATTGCAGAGCCACTCACGCGCCTGACGAAAGAAAGCACCCCTTTCAGCTGGGAAAACGACCAAGAAAAGGCATTCTGCGAGCTGCAACAACGCCTGCAAAACCAGCCCGTGCTCGCTCATTTCGACGAAAATGCCGAAACGGAAATGCACACGGACGCCAGTGATATCGGTTTGGGTGCCGTCCTCGTCCAAAAGCAAAGCGGTTACGAAAAGGTAATCGCCTATGCAAGCCGTGGTCTGTCGAAGGAGGAGAGAAACTACTCTGCCTCCGAGAAAGAGTGCCTGGCTATCATATGGGCCATTTGAAAATTTCGCCCATACGTCTATGGTAGACCGTTTAAGGTTGTGACAGACCACCATGCGCTGTGTTGGCTCGCCAATTTGAAGGACCCCTCTGGCCGTCTTGGGCGGTGGAGCTTGCGCCTGCAAGAGTTTGACGTTACAATATTCTACAAATCCGGCAGGAAACACTCCGACCCTGACTGCCTGTCCCGCGCCCCCGTCGACCCACCACCACAGGACTCCGATGAAGACAGCGCGTTCTTCGGAGTCGTGACAGAGAGCGACCTAGCCGCCCAGCAGCGTGCCGACCCTGACCTCCGCGCCATGATCGACTACCTTGAAGGACGCAACGTCGCCGTGCCTAGGGCGTTCAAGCGCAACTTACCAGCATTCAGCCTCAAAAACTCCATCCCAGTGAAGAAGAATTTCAACCCCGAACGAGAACGAATTATTTACTTGTCATCCCCGTAGACCTTCGTGACGAAATTTTGGAAGCGTGCCACGACGACCCGTCTTCCGGACATCTCGGAACAGCTCGCACGATTACAAAAATCAAGGCGAAATACTTCTGGCCCCGCCTTACATCCGATGTCACCCACTACGTCCGGAGCTGCCGTGACTGCCAGCGACGAAAAACACCACCGACGAGATCAGCCGGACTTCTGCAGCCGATCGCCGTCCCAACGAGGCCCTTCCAACAGATCGGAATGGACCGTCTGGGCCCGTTCCCTACATCCCGATCCGCGAACAAATGAATTGTCGTAGCGACAGACTACATGACGCGCTACGCAGAGACCACCGCTCTTCCTAGGGGAACTGCACAAGAAGTTGCAAAGTTCTTTATTAACCAAATTGTGCTGCGACATGGAGCCCCTGAGGTCCTAATCACGGACCGCGGAACGACCTTCACTGCGGAGCTCATGCAAGGAATCTTACGCTACAGTAACACAGATCACCGAAGAACGACGGGGTACCACCCCCAAACGAATGGACTAACGGAACGGCTCAATAAGACAATCGCGGATATGCTGTCTATGTACGTCGATGTTGAACATAAGACGTGGGACGAAGTCCTCCCGTAAGTCACGTTTGCGTACAACACGGCTATTCAAGAAACCAAGCAGATGACACCGTTCGAGCTCGTCTACGGAAGACGGCCGACTACGATGCTTGACGCCATGCTTCCGCACGTAGAAGACGACGACCTCAACGCCGACGTCCAAGGATACCTCCAACGTGCGGAGGAGGCCCGCCAGCTCGCTCGAGCTCGTATAACGGACCAGAAACTGGTGGATGCCGGATGCTACAATCTCCGACGCCGAGACGCTGAGTACCATCCTGGAGATCGTGTGTGGGTTTGGACTCCCATTCGACGACGTGGACTCAGTGAGAAACTTCTACGACGCTATTTCGGACCCTACCAAATTCTACGACGTGTTGGCGAACTAACGTACGAAGTGATCCCCGATGGGGACTCCCTACATCACGACGATGCACGCGGCCCGAAGTCGTCCATGTGGTTCGCTTAAAACCTTTCTACGGACGATGACGAACTTTTAATTTGTGTGGACTGTCCCTTATGTTAGCATCGGGTCGATGCGCTCTTAGAGGGGGGGTAATGCCGCGAACCATGCATTGGGTTTGTTTATTTGTGTTTTGTTTTTTCGGCCTGGCTGCGCTGGCCTGTGCTATCGCCGTTTTCACAGCGTTTCGAACAAACGCTACCACAGCGTTTCGAACAAACGCTATCGAACAACGCTTCAGGCGTTGTTCGATAGCGTTTGTTTCTATAGCATTGTTTGTTAGAAACGCTGTTCGAACGAACAGCGTTTCTAACAAACGCTATCACGGCGTTCCCGATACAATTCGACTATTCGAGAAACCCTCGCGCCGAGGGATATAAATTCCCGCACAGCCAATGCCGCGTCATTCGATCGCCGACGCTCACTAGCGTGCCCGTCGTTTTGCTGGCCGCTGCTTCGCCGCCTGTGTATTTTTTCAGTTGTTAGGGGAGCACAGGTTCGCTCCAATAAACTTGTTTTCCTCATAGACAACTGCGTCGTCCTTTGCTGCATGACAATATAGTGAACAGATCTTGTGGAACAAACGGGCCAATATAACTTACACAAATATATTGAACATAATAATGTAATTAATGAAAATGTAGCAAAATAGCAGACACAACTCACATAAATATTATGAATCTGTAATGAGTTAAGTGAATGAAGCAAAAATGGTATAGCCACTAGTGCCATGTAATGAATGCGTGTTTATAAAAAATGTATTAGAATAGCGAAGCTGCTCTCCTGTTGGATGTGACTTTGTTACAGCAAAGTTTGACTGCGCTCTGATGCTCCCATTTGCAGCTGTGCCAGTCCGAAGAGACTCGGCCGCTGGGTCTCCTTCTGCTGCAGACAACATCGGAGGAAGTGGCCACTGCTCCACGCGGAAACGTAACCGCAGCCCGCTTGGACGAGCTGCGTCACCTGGTTGTGCAGCAGATGCCCCGCATGTGGGCATTGATAACAGGTGCGTTCAGGGGAAGACGCAGGTTGCAGCATGAGAGCCCCGTTCACGTGGAAGACTGTCCCGGCGCTCTGCAAATTGCACGACGTCGCACAACGGGAAAAGGCTCTCATTGCGCCGATTTTCGTTGCCAAAAAAAGTATTTTTTTTTTGTGTGAGAGCCAATCAGAAGGCGAGGAATGAGGGGGATTCGTGCAGAGCTACGGATGCCATGGCAGTCGTATGCTGCCAGCGTTGCCGAAGATGCATGTGTAATAGCTGCGCTAAACCTTGCTGGCGTTTCGGTACGGCTGCACAATGTACTGCCGCGGCTGTGCAAGAGGGGAGACGTAACGCACACATACGCATCTTTCTTCTTCTCCGGCTAGATGCAGCGTGTGTCGGGAATGCTGGTGGGTGCAGTGAGCTTATGTTGAACGATTGAGGCCTGCAGAATGAACGTGGCTGTTTAGTCGCCGATTCGATCGTGCCTATTCGCTCGACACAAAATTTTCTCAGTGTGAACAGTGCTGTACGCAAATTGGCTGCTGCCCTATTAACACTTCTTCTACCGCTTTAGAGTATTTAGTCAGTTATGTCCTGAGAAAGAAAAAGAAAGCTCCACCTATAGAATCGCAGTGTGCCTGCCGTTTGCCTTTGCAACAGTGTTGTATTAGCTAGTTTTCGTTTGAAGCATAAGTACCTTGTCTTTGCTTACAAAAATGCCGTACATATTGGTGATTCAGAGTTCATTGCTTTTGCCAGGAATACCAAATTCTGCTGAGCAGTGATGTCAAAATGTTCGATTGAATTTGTCAGAATGCTCAAGCTTTTTACATAAAACGTAAAACGAGCTACATGTAAGTGTGTCTGTATGGTAAAATTAATTAATTTAGGTGTACCTGATTTTACGAAAATGAGCAAATGTCATTGATAGAACATCCATGCAAGCTCGTTCTGGGTGGCGCAGCGGTGGCTGTAAGCGGGGCTTATATATTTTGTGGGGTTGTGGCCAACTGTAATTTTGGTGAACAAGTATATTACTTCATATGGCAAACGGGTCATGACTGTAATCGTCATGTGGTACTTTGTGAGGAGCATTAGACATCAGCTGTGCTGGTAAAGCTGGTGTTTGCAGAAGTCTGTGCTTCAATGCCGCTCCTCTCAGACGTGCATGCACTGACCCAGGTGTGCTGAAGAGCGGCTCCGATGGCGGCGTGAACATTCACCGGGCACTTCAGTGTACGGAGCACCTGTTGAGCTGGTTGCCCCTGTCGGCCGTAGACCCAAAGCTCGTGGACGCCCTGTGCTGCCTCTGCGCGACAGCTGCAGCGTCGGCTTCTCAGGAAAGCCAAACGCAGGTATACACTTTGAAATGCGCCTTCTTCCCTTCATTTTGCTCTGCTAGATTTAGCTGGTCAAAATTGTCAGCTAGTTGTGACTGGGAAGAAAGCTGCAGCAAGACTGGAAATGTGGAACTCTTTACTTGGGAAAACTTGCGCCTGGAAATTGAAAAGTAAAGACGATGCACTGTTTCTGATATGGCAGTCTGATCTTTTGTCAAGGTCACTCGCCATTTCACCTCGACCCACATTATTTCTCCCTTCCTTTGTTGAACTTAGTTGTTCTACTCATGACGGTCATTGCTGCCAGTAGCAAGGGAAGTGTTGAACTGTTGAGCGTGTGGGTGAAGGTCTGGTTCCCGACATGGAGGAAAGAAAACTTTAGGAGGTAGCACAGCACAATGCGATAAAAAAGAAAGAAGAATGGGATGTTTAAACACGCACGTGCGAGGCTTCACTTGTTTCCATTTTCCTGATAATTAAGGGGCTCTTAATTTTGTCCTCCTTTCTCTCGTAACAGGTTGACACCGAGGAGCTGGGTGCCTTGTCCCTAAGCTGCCTGTGCGAGGCCCTGTCGCGGGCTACAGCCTCTGACATGGGATCCGACTGCCTTCGGCTTCTTCAGCAGTTTGCCATGGGCGCTCTGCAGGCTGCCATTCCTTCTGCTGCGGCTGCTTCGTCGCACAACAGGTCGGGGGCATTTAGGCTTAGAGATGTCTGGCATGTTATACACTCAAACCTCTATATAACGAACCCAAATATAATGAAATATCATTTACAGTGAGGTAGATGAAGAGTAATCTTGCATAGATATGCAATCAAATTTCATTATAACAAAGTTGACTCTTACACGAAAATAGGTTCGTTATATCCAGAAAATCGTTATGCAGGTTTATTCCTAACTACATCTATTGTAAGGCTATTTTTTATTTACTTTGTTGTAACCAATATTTTGTTATTTTCAGTATTGTTATATCGTGATTTGAGTCTAGTGTTAACAATATATCCTTATAACAAATTTTCGGAATCAAAAAACCTATTTTCGTGTAAGATGCGACTTTGTTACAATAAAGTTTGAGTGTAAATAAATGGTTGTCCTTCAGTTGCATTGCAGTTTTCCATGGGCAGCCTTACACTTAGGCTGGGTTTTTAGAGGTTAAAACAGCTAGCTGTTTGAGTTAGTAGTCCCCATCTTTGAGGTAATAGCGCAAAGCAAACAGCGGACAGGGATTCAGACAACATCGGCAGTGCCTTTTTTTATTTTCTGACAACAACGAGAACATGCAGTGCATGCCAGTTAAGCAGGCAGATCAAGACATTTCATGAATTCCAATTCTCTGTGAAGCAAACTGATAAGAAGCTTAGCTGATGCACGAGGGACAGCTTTAGTGTGTGAAGCATGCCTATTGCGAGTTTCATTCCATTTTTACTTTAGTATGTAGAAGACTATTACAGAAGAGACCAGCAGTTGGGTTGTCAGAATTTTAGTCGACTGGTGACATCGTGGTGTCATTTTCTATAGCGTTTCTCTTGCGGGTCTGCAGCTACCTCGACAAGCTGATGGAGTTCCTACGCCTTTTCGTGAGTGCCAGCCTGCCATGTTTTGAAGGCAACAGTCCTGCACTTCCTCAGCTGCTGTCTCTCCTGTACGAATACACTTTTCGAGAGGTGAGTCTGTCGCTGCTTTTTTTTTTTTCAGAGCCTCAATGCGAAATTTCGCGTGCCGAATTTGTGAAAGAACGAAAATGTGGGGAACAGAAGAATGGGCTGAAGTAAACATCCAGAGAAAAGGTATTGTCGTTTTCATGGGCAGTAACCGTTTACACATTGTGACAAGTAGCAGCTACATGGTGAGTATTATGGGTAGCAACTGCGTTGCGAGTGTTACGGGCAGCAACTACTTAACCAGTGTCTTGGGCAGCTACTACTTAATGTTATGGGCAGCAACTGCTTAGTCATAGTCAATGTCTTGGGCAAGAACTGCTTTATGTTATAGGTAGGAACTGTTTAGTAAGCGTCACAGGCAGAAAGCGCTTAGTCAGTGTTATGAGTAGCAACCGCATAGTCATTTCCTTGTTTTGGGCAGCTACTACTTAATGTTACAGGCAGCAACTGCTTAGTAAATATCATGGGTCGCAACTACTGGGACAGTGTTTCTGTGACTGGTCGATGTTACGGACAGCAACTGCTTAGTCAGTGTCACAGGCTTCTACTGCTTACCATAAAATCCTGAATAAGCTACCTCCTGTGGTGAAAGATGATTCAACAAGATTTGAGGGGGGTGCCCTTGCTTGGTCATAGAGCAAAATGAGGCACTGTAGCAAGGTTACGCCGTGCTAGTTAAGATGTGGCTGTGACTGCCGCAGTCAAGTGCGGAGCGGTATTGTGTCTGCCTGGAGATGTGGGGCACGCTGCTGGTCCGGCTGGCGGCCCACCGGTCGGCCGACAGTTACCGGCCGCTGCTGCAGACGCTGGTGTCCCAGCTGTTGGCCAGGTGCTGCCAGGCGGAAGGGGCAGCCCAGTCTCTGCAGGAGCCGCAGCTGGCACTGGTTGCCAAAGCGGCCGAACTGACACCCCAGGATGTCTGCGCTCAAGTGGTGAGCACTGCTGGTTCTTTTCATTTCGATGTGTTAGTGCTAATTGCAGAGTCGCTTTAGGAGAGATGCAACTTGAAAAAAAAGTTTTGTTGATCTGTAGCCTAGGGCGATGAAATTTTTGCTGTGTCTTTAGGTTTTGTGCTGATTTACAAAAATGTACAGTAAAAACCCCATTAATTTGGACTTCACGGGACCAGAAAGATTGTCCGAATCAACCAAGGACATGAATTATTACGCCTAGGAACAAAACACTCCAAAAATGTCTCCTACTCCATCGAACTTCTATTTCTTAAATAGGTCTGTGATCTCGGTTTGCTTCACTGAGGCACTGTGTGAAGAAGTCACCATTTCGCTAAGTTCCTGCAGGTGACTTAGTCTGCCACACACTGTCCTTCGTCATTGTGTCTCGGTCAGCAAATTCCCCTTCGTTATCCAAGACTTTGGCGACGATATCGATGCTAGTCACTGTGCCGGCCACGGCAACATTGCTGTCAATTGCAACGTAATCGCTGAAGGTTTCATCGGCTGGCATGATGCTTACGTAGCGACTGTCTTGCTCTTCGCCGCTTTCCTTTCGCCAACGGCACCTTTTTCACCTCACATGTTGCGGAACACCAGCCCGTGCCGCTTCTCGAAGCGGTCGAACCACCATTCTGACGCATTAAGAGAATCTATGTTCATGGTCAGCGTGAACTTCTATGCTTGTGCGCAGATAAGGGGGTCGCTCAGGGGCCAACGCGCATCGCATGAAACGACAATTGAGCGCAACAGCGCTTGTAGCTAGGGGTGCTCTACCGTTTAAAGCCTCTTCCTTTTTTCTCCAAACATCTCGCCCTTATACGCTTGCATAATCTGGTCTTCATTCTTCACGTAACTGCTCAGCGTGCTTTTATGTACCGTAAAGTTTTCCATGACTTCTTTTCAAGATGCTCCCGCTTGCAACGCCTTCAATATTTGCACCTTTGCAGCCAAATCCTTAGCACCGTACTTCACCCTCTTCGCTGTGGGTGTTGGGGCGGCTGGGGTCGCAAGAGATGGGGGGGAAGCCACCCCAGTGTCGCTTGCGTGGTGGCGACGTGCACGCACGCAGGAAGTAGACAATGAGGTCGGTGATAAAATACGGTAAAAGCACGGTGATAAAACCGAAATAAAGAAAGCCCACAAACTTTTCAAAACAAGCAAACAATAAGGCTACAGATGGCACTGATCATGCACAAAAATAAATAATTTAATGCAACTGCACAGTACAGGTGAACAAACCGACTCAGCTATCACACACACGTGTTGGACGCACAAGAAAAAAGTTGGAGGAAAATCCGTCGGCTGCCTGTTGCCCTGTTGCTGATGACATTAGTGGTGCACTGCCTTTCATTTTGGTTGTAAACCAGCGCCATGTGTGTGTGTGTGTGTGTGTGTGTGTGTGTGTGTGTGTGTGTGTGTGTGTGTGTGTGTGTGTGTGTGTGTGTGTTTTGGGGGGTGCCTCTGAGATGCAAAGCTAATTCCTACCCATGAAGGAAATTTTGAATCTCAGAGGCCACAATTCGCTCTTGATGTTGTTTAGCTGTGCCGTCAATTTGGCTGGCAGAATCCGCCGCTGCTTCCCCATCCTACCGGGGTCGTGAGTTTGAATTAATCGGAGCGCGGCCGAACCTGTCCGAATTAATGAGTTTTCAGTCATTGAACAATGCACGTCTTGGACGCGACCAGACGCCCTGGCCAGATCAAACGAAATTTTGAATCAATAGTGGTTGAATTAACAAGATTTTACTGTAATTAGTTTGGAATAAGTGCACAGTTGTTCTATGCCATGACAATCTGTAAAGTATAGTTTGTTTTGAACAAACTATTTATGCCACTAAACCTTGATGGTTATGGGTCATTATTGGCTCATATTTCTCTAAATTAACTGTACAATGTAGATAGCTGTCCAGAAAGTGCGTATAAGACATTTTAATGGACATGGGAAATTGTGAAGTCTGAATTCTTGGAATCATCAGCCCATACTAATTGCTTACTTTAGGTCGGTAATAATTATACAGGTGGCCAAATTGAAAAAGTTACCCAAAACTAGATCTTGATAAAAACACCTTTTAAAGGTGTTAAAGCTCATCTATGCAAAAAAGAAAAGATATGTTTTTTATTTTAAGATGATTTTTTTCATCATGTGAGCTTGGCAATCATGGTATATTTTGAACATGTGGCTTTAGTGGACTCTTCATGCGAAATGTAATGGCAAGCAGCCAGGTCACAATTTTCAGAGGACTCCAGACAGTGAGCTCTTTTTAGTTTTTGCAGCCACCTTGTGCTCTTTAGAAGTGATTTTAACCTATTTCTAGTTTAATTACAATCTTCAATTTTTTTAGTTGTGTAAGTAGAGAAACTAGTTTTTTGTAAACAATTGAGAAAAAGTACAAAATTTTAAAATATGCTTGTATTTTTCAACTCGCATCTCCCCTTTCAAGGAGCCTTCACGCAGGAATTTCACATCTTGTTTTTTTCTGTGGCAACAAGTAGCTAATGACTCGCTTGTCAAAGCTGAGAAGGTCGTTTGCTGTAGCGTGTGAGGGGTAAGGCTTTAGAGACGGTTTTACAGCGCCCCGTCGCAGTTTCGGTTTTCAGGGAGCGCTGAGCGAAGCGAGACCTCGGGTGGGTTTTGTGTGAACATTGCCGGTCACATGAGCACGTAGAACCATGTGCGCACGAGTGCCACAATGAGAAACTTTTTCAACAAAGGCTTCCTAGATGCTGCTGTAGTACCCCCAGAGGCATTGTAAATATGCATGACTCCCAAAAAATGTACTGTTGAGGCAAGGACATCAGCTTTTGTACTCCTGTGCAAGTCTGCCCCCTCTTTTTATTGAGAAGGTCTTCGAGGAAAAAGCACTTGCAAGGGTCGCGGCAGCCAACGCAAATTCGCAATGCAGGGAGCTTTTGTTTTGTGTGCTTTTGCAAATTCGCAATGCAGAGAACCAAAGGCACGTGCAGTGGTGCGACCCGACAAAGTTATTTTTCGTATCTCACGCGATTTTATTATGAGGGGGCTCAGTGGTCATTGTGCATGCTCCGTGTGCACAGTTGAGCACTTCTGCGTGCGAAACTGGTGTCTTGGCTGTTTGCTCGCAGCTTTCGCTGCTGGATCCAGAGCTCGACCATTACCAGTCGCCTCACGGCGGCAGTGCAGCCGAGAGGTTGCGCAGTCTGTCTGCTGTGCTGCAAGCTCTGGGGCGGTTGGCCCCTCACCTGGACGTTAGCCTGGCACACACGACCACCACAAGGCGAGTTCGAGAGTGCAAATCTGGCGCGTTTCATCGACACTTGGAAACACTGCTTAGTGACTAGCATTGCTATAGGCCACCATCTTGGGCAGTAAATTTTTTCTTGTTTTTGTATGTTGTGATGTGAATTAATAAGTTTATGAAACGTCATACGCATCAGTTTGACCATGCATGCGTCCACCACAAGACTGTTCGTTTAGTTGTTAGAGATGCACAACTCAAAGGTTAACTGCCCAACATGGCGATACTGAAACCCCTCTGTAAAATAGTCTTATAATAATAAGGGTAGCAAAATAAGGGACTTCATTTTTTTTTTAAAGTTGAGACGTAGTGTAGTGTCTAATGGATGTTCATAATGGTTGATAGATACATACGCACTATTCGATTCATTATTTGAAATACTTGAATGTTGGCACACACCTAATATTAAGCCTTACGATGTCTTGTACTTACCTGAACTGCTTGTAGGCAATTTTACTTTAGGTACATGAGTGCCACTGTTTTGAGTATTATTTACACAAATCATTCCTCAGTTCTCTGAGTTGTGACGTGAAATTGAAATGGCCATGAAACATAAAATGCATTCGTTACAGCGTTTTTTGTGGATCAGTCATGTAGTCACAAATTCAGAATGCCATCAGCAGTGACATGACATTGCAGTACCTAAGCACACTTGTCAAATGTTTATGCCAAAAGTGTTCCTGTTTTCAAAGATGATGGAGTGTGGGAGCTTATCTTTCTTGCTACTTAAAGCTTTTATTGAATACATATATGCTTCTATCTGCAGGCTGTGCCATGCTGCCATCTACGGACGCCAGCTACTTGCCAATGCAGATGCTGCTAGGGCAGCCGATGTTGCAAATGCGTGAGTGTGTTGTTAATGGGTCCCAAGGGTTTCCATGTTAAAAACTATGGGAAAAAGTGGCTGAACTGCACAATACCTAGACTGTTAAACAACTGTAATTTGGTATGGTCTGATCTTTTTGCGACCTTTTCAGAAGTGTCTCGTCGTATGTTACTGTTTGGTTTCATTGACATTAAGTGTGAGTGAAAACGTGTCGAAACATAAATATGTGTCGGTATATGTATAAGTGTGTATATGTACTAAACTCAAACCTCGTTATAACGAAGTTGAAGGGGAGCCAAAATTATTTCGTTATATCGATTATAACAGTTCGTGACAATGTGTGGTCAGATGGGCGCACGCCTATAAGCATGCAAAGAAGGAAACCGCCTCGCGGCCCGATGTACCGCTAGGCGACCACGCGTGCAACGGAAAATAAACACTGTCGAATCTCATTAATTCAAACACGCTTAATTCGAACTTCCAGTTAATTCGAACTCACGCTAAAGTCCCGTCAAAGCTATGTGTATTCCAATGGGCGAAAAGGCCCTGTAATTCGAACGCGGAAGCACTTGCGACAATTAATTCGAACATACGGCGTTCCGAAAATGCTCTCAGCACCATGCCGAATCCTGCGGTGGCACCTCTCAACGCTGCGCATAAAGAAGGAAAAAGAAGAAAAGGAAAGGAAAGACTGTGGCGGATTGTTTGCTCTCTCTCAGATGCCGATATGCGACGCGCCTGTGCCACGCTTCTCCCTTTTTCGTCCCTGCACGTAGAGACCCTTCTTCTTTCAAGGCCGCACACAAAGAGAAAGAGAGAGAAAAAAAGTGAAGCTGTCGCGGGGGCTCCTTCTTTCTCGATGCAGAGGGTAGCAGCGTAGACTCAGTTGTTGCCAAGTCAGAGGGAAATCGCTTTGCACTGCGGCGCCGCTTCTCGGTCAAGTGACCCGCTGAGCACTTCCTCAATCCTCTCTGCTGGCTGTGTAAGGACGACGGCTTTCTCGGCTGCGCGGGGCTTGGCTGTAAGGTCGGCGCGGCAGTTTTGAATGAGCCGTGCCGAACGAGCGTCAAACTCCGCAGAAAACGATACACTTAACACACTACGGTCGTTTTTTTTTTATAGATTATTTGATAAACTAATTTAGGTCGTTATATCTATTTACCAGTCAATTTGACTTCGTTACAAGGAGGTTTAAAATGCATGGTGCTCAATAGAGCTTTCAAGTGCAATTTTATTTACTTCATTATATCCATTATTCAGTTATATTCCATTACGTTATAACGAGGTTTGAGTGTATATTGTACCCGCTGCCACGCATGCTGTGCATACGACGTGACAATATACTATGAACATATGTGTGATATTGCCGCCCTGTCGAATGGAAGTCTTGTAGACTCATCAGGCTGTTCGAAGAAAGCTTTTACACTACAATCCCCCCGTCTGTATTTGTACCCAATTCAGTTTCAACATCTGCATTGCGATATGTGACCTTCCCTCCTTCTTTGCTCACCAGGCAGGCGCATTTGTTGGCCTCTCTGCGATTGCTCTGCACTTACCTAGGCAGCAAGTCTCCGCCTACAGAACTTGTGGTCGAGGCCGCCTTGCCTCCCATCCTCGAACAGGTGGGTCGGTGCGTTACGCACCGTGCCTCGACTGACACTTGCACCACTGCCGTTTCCTTTTGCCGATCGCCTGGCAGACGCCAACGTGCTACGAACGGTATAGACTTGGGCGCATGTTAAAGTTCGCGTTGGGAATGGTGATGATGTTTCTCGTTCAATGATTGTACTCGCTGGAATGAAAAACAAAGATGAGAGATAGGGACAGACAAAAAAAAAAAAAAAAAAAAAAAAACTGAAGTGCACGTGGGCTTCCAATGATTTTATCATTAAGTTGGCACTTTATTCTTCTTCCTTCATCTGTCCTCGTCTTTCATTCACTTAATTATCAACAGTGAAGCAATTGTAGCTGTGCCACTGGGAAACTCCTCGATGCCACGGGAAGTGAGCAGCCCCATTACCGTGTTATACAGCGGGTGCGAGTGTCGAGTGGAAACACATGAAATATGAGGATACAAAAACAGAGATAGAAAACAGTGGAAATAGAGAGAGAAAGAAAGAGAGAAAATGGAAGAAAGCACCTAATAGAGTTATTTTTTGTTTCATTTTATTACCATAAAGACCCCTCTAGGAGGTGTTACATAAGGGGTGGATGTAGAGAAATTATACAAAATACTATTATACTATTATATATTATATAATTATACAAAATTATACAAACCAAGTATGTTATTTGCGACACAGATAATGCCTTGCACTTCGCAAGAATGAAGTCGAGCAGGTAATGGTGGCATTGTCGTGGGAAAGGTCGTTCCATTCAGATGGTGACCGCGGAAAGGAGATGGCAGAGAATGTCTTGTATGGCTGAGCGGATGCGTAACTTGTAAGGCATGACCAGTGCGACGAGATATGCGAACCGCTGGGTTGATGAAGTTCGCACGATCATAGGAGCTGGAATGAAACTTGTGGAACAGAGCTAGAGTGGCGATGCGACAACGAAGTGCAAGAGATGATAAAGATGATTCTTCTGTCAATGATGACACACTGACGTGGTACGGATACAAGGAATGAATAAATCGCACTGTACGGTTCTGCAGTGCCCCAAGTGCATTTGTTTGATAAGCCCAAGGCGGGCTCCAAATGGCAGCGGCATACTCAAGCTTTGGTCTGATTATGAATTTGTAGGCTAGAAGTTTTAGGTGTTGGGGAGCATCACGTAAACGATGTTTTGGAAATACGAGTGATTTGTGAGCTCCCGCTATTATGTTTGTGATATGCAGACCCCACGTTGGATCATAAGACGATGTTATGCACCGGTACTTATGGGATTCGACTCTAAGTTAATGTTACCGGCTCTGTAAGAAAAAATTAAAAGACTTTGAAGATGTGAGAAAGATAATGATTTACATTTACGGTAGTTGGGTTAAGTGTCATAAGCGACATGTTGCAGCATGCTTGAATAAAGTTAAGACCATGCTGAAGTGCTTGCTGCTCAGATGGATTTGTAATGGTACGATAAATGACACGTTCATTAGCGAACAGCTGTATGTGACGTGAAGCATGTAAAGGTAAGTCATTAATGTATATCAGGAACAATGGAAGACCCGAAACCGAACCTTGGGGAACACTGGACGTTACTGGAAGAGGGTTAAAAGCACACTCATTAACGAAAACTGACTGTGAGCACTCCCTCTCATAATATGGGACTGTTGTAATGAAGGCTGACCACAGCGTGAGTCTGGCGACAATTAAGGCACTAAACAAGTTCAGTCATTCGGGATTCAACCGACCAGTCATTCAAGTAGCACTGTCTCACCTCTTGTTTTCTAGGTGACGATTCTGTGATATCCCGGTATCCAGCAATGATCAGGTCTTTGCCTCATCGTCATGCAGTGCCCCGAGAACGTGTGCCGAGCGGCTTGTGGCCTGCTGCTGTCGCTGAGCTCTAGCGTGCGGCCAGCGCAGCTCCTCTCTCTGGAGCCCATGCAGCAGCTGTGCGAGCAGCTGTGCCAGGGGAGCCTACGACCGCTTAGCCCTCAGGTGTGGTGCAAGATCTTAGTTTCCATCGTTTCATTATAGGAAGTGCGAAACCACATGCCAACAGCAAGAAAGGTCAGACGCAGGAACTTACTTACTATTCCTTTTTTGCTGTCGGCTTGTAGTCTTGTGCTTCTTATGAAGATGGATCTGCGACAATTAGCCTGATCTGCTTGTTTATCTGGTTAATGGAGGAGTGTTTTGTGTGTATTGTGTGCAGTGTGAACAGCTGGTAGTACAGGCGGCGCACGCAGCCTTGTGCCTGCCTTGGTCGGGCGTACCTGCTGCGGCGCAATGCTGGGACCAGAGGGCCGTAGCGCAGAGCAGCTTGGTGAACGCCCTGGCACAGCCCCTGCTGCAGAAGCAGCCACCAGGTACTGCTGGTATTTGCATACCTTGCATACTCTTGCATACCTCTCGGCTTGCCCAGAAAGACTCCCGATTTCTGACTAATCCTCCTGATTGAAACGGCAAAGACTACAAATCTTCCAATAAACAGCTTCGAAGGAGTACTGACGTGAATTCTATTCTAAATATTTTCGGATAGTCATCGTAAGTAAAAGGACTGGCGTTTAAAACGCTTTTTTTGAAGAGAGTACTTTGGCACCTGGGAACGCATCGAGTATATTTTAACAGAAAAATCTGTTAAAGCTAAAGGTTTATCATTGTCGGGTGTCCACGAAAAATTCTCCGCACTATTGCTTATTAGCCGCGCCCACCGACGAAGAGTCTGCTCAGCCGCCACGTCCAGATTGCCAGCCGCGCGGGCCAAGTGCGAGCGACGAAGGCTCGCGTTTCTTCCGGAGGTGCCACTGCCAGCTTTGCACGTAAGCTGTGGCACTGTAGGTAGGACATTATTGCCTGGTCTGTAACAGGCTGTGGTTCGACTCTATTTTGTCGATGCCAAGCAGAGACCTAGTATCAACCGAGAAGGCCACGTTACGACCCTGAGACTAACCAGCTTCACTGTTTAGCGTAACTTTTCCCCTCTTTCTTCGTGCCAATGGCTTAAAGAACACTTTGTTTCAATGTCGAGGGAGCGGCTTTTGCAGCGATATTTCGTTGCGGTGGGACATCACGAGAAGACAGCAACTCCCAAAGTACTAGAGGCAGATCCGTCACCTGCTTTTGGAGCGCATAAACAACGAGTAAATTATTGTCCACTGACCCCGACTGTGATTTCTGTTATGGAGGGACGTCGGGGAGGGACAAAATAGTGGCAACTCAGTTGCCGTGGCTCCGTGACTTCACCCTCTTCGCTCCTACTCGGTCATCCATCTTGTGGCACACTTTGTTTGTGGTCGAATTGCGTATTGACCCATTTCGCGTGGCACACTGTGAAAGTCTTGATTGCTGCTCGGCCAAATGTGATGCTTTATCAACCAATGGCGAACCTTTATCTCTTGGTGTGCGCAATACTCTCAAACCTTTATATCATGAACCCTGATAGAACAAATTATCGGTTATAATGAAGTGCATGAAGAATAGGTTTGTCACAGATACAGTGTAAAAAATATATGGTTACAACGAATTGTCGTATACAACGAAGCAATTTAGTGGCATATGTGACTTTGTTATAGTAAGGTTTGAGTCTATTACATTAGCTGAAAAGATGTACTTGTGGTTCAAGCCAAAAGCATCTAGCTCGACTCAGGCTAACAGCAGGCACGCCACAATTCTGTTGGCAGAACTTGCATATTTTCTCAGGTTGTCACCAAGTATAGCTTGGTAGTCCCATGCCACAGACATATCATAGAATAAAAGGGTTGGCAAGCAGGTGTCGTGTTGAGGGCTCCACAGCATGGCTAAACAGAATGGTACGGTCAACCGTCAATGAAAGAAAGATAGAATATAAGTTTATGGTTCCCACGACTTTACCTTTAATACAGTGTTACAAATACAGTTGACTCTCGTTAAACGGAACTTGTCGAGACGAGAAAAATATATGTTTCGTTTACCGAGAGATGAACAGGGGCGCTGAATTCAGGTGCAGAAGCAATCATTTGAGGGGCGGTTGTTCTAATTAAGTAGCGGTGTGGTTAGTAGTTCTCAATTTACTGAGTGTCTATGGTATACATCTATTTATAACAAAATCTTCTGATAAGCACGCCCAAGATACTCTCAAAGAAATCACCAGAGGGGCTTGGTTTTCCTCTACTTGTACCTAATTCCTCTACTTCTACTTGTACCTATGCTTGTACTTATACCTATGCTTGAATACGCCTGTGCCGTGTGGGACCCCTGGCAAAGTACTTTAAGTTACAAACTTGAAAAAATACAAAATAGATCTGCAAGGTTTGTCCTAAGCCGGTACTCAAAAAATGACAGTTGCACCGATATGAAAAATGAACTAGGGTGGGAATTACTTTTATCGCGTCGAAAGAAACTGCGGCTAAAGCTCCTGTACCAAATATTTCATGGTAAAACCGGCATTCGAAAAGAAAAGTACCTTCACAGTCCTCATTATATCTCTTCGCGAAATGATCATTGTTTCAAGATTTTAAAGTACCGTGCCAGATCTAATTTGTATGCTAATTCGTTTTTTGTTTGTTCCATTAGAGAATGGAATCACTTATGAAATGAACAAGTGTGCTGTATTAATGAAGATGTGTTTTTCTCGACATTGTAACCCCCCTGCTGCAGCGCCTTCGGGCTAAGCGGGGTAATCATTGAATAAAGAATAATTAATGAGAGTGACACTCAGATAACCCAAGGGCAGGATATGGGATATTATTAGTGGTTTCTTTAACTGTAGTCCAATTATTCTCACTTAAATTGAAAGGAATCAAGGTGAACGAAAAATCATGCATTTCCTTGGTGTGATTTGAACCCACGACCTTAGCATTATGCATCCAATGCTCTACTATTATAGCTACAAGGAGGGACACTCCCCTGTTCACTTTTTTTTTGTAGAATATTTATGTATGCTTAATGCCTGAGAGCGTTAGCCAGTGCCACAGGCAGCCCAGGTGGTGAGCGTAGAACATACTTTTTTTCAAGTCGGATGAGACTGCAGGAACACTGAACTTGGGGGAAGGGGGGAACTGAACTTTATCTGACCACAAAGCCAGCTTTTCACACATGCCAGTCTGTGCATTTCATAGGTCATTGTGCTTGAATTGTCTAGTTAACACATCATTATTGGAAGTGCGAAACCACATGCCAACAGCAAGAAAGGTGAGACGCAAGAACTTACTTACTATTTCTTTTTTGCTGTCGGCTTGTAGTCTTATGCTACTTATGAAGATGGATATGCAACGATTAGTGTGATCTACTTGTTTATCTGTTCAATAGAGGAGTGTTCTGTGTGTATTGTGTGCAGTGTGAACAGCTGGTAGTACAGGCGGCGCACGCAGCCCTGTGCCTGCCTTGGTCGGGCGTACCTGCTGCGGCGCAGTGCTGGGACCAGAGGGCCGTAGCGCAGAGCAGCTTGGTGAACGCCCTGGCGCAGCCCCTGCTGCAGAAGCAGCCACCAGGTACTGCTAGTATTTGCATACCTTGCATACTCTTGCATACCTCTCGGCTTGCCCAGAAAGACTCCCAATTTCTGACTAATCCTCCTGATTGAAACGGCAAAGACTACAAATCTTCCAATAAACAGCTTCGAAGGAGTACTGACGTGAATTCTATTCTAAATATTTTCGGATAGTCACTGTAAGTAAAAGGACTGGCGTTTAAAATGCTTTTTTTGAAGAGAGTACTTTGGCACCTGGGAACGCATCGAGTATATTTTAAGAGAAAAATCTGTCAAAGCTAAAGGTTTATCGTTGTCGGGTGTCCACGAAAAATCCTCCGCACCATTGCTTATTAGCCGCGCCCACCGACGAAGAGTCTGCTCAGCCGCCACGTCGAGATTGCCAGCCGCGCGAGCCAAGTGCGTGCGACGAAGGCTCGCGTTTCTTCCGGAGGTGCCACTGCCAGCTTTGCACGTAAGCTGTGGCACTGTAGGCAGGACATTATTGCCTGGTCTGTAACAGGCTGTGGTTCGACTCTATTTTGTCGATGCCAAGCAGAGACCTAGTATCAAACGAGAAGGCCACGTTACGACCCTGAGACCAAACAGCTTCACTGTTTAGCATAACTTATCCCCTCTTTCTTCGTGCCAATGGCTTAAAGAACACTTTGTTTCAATGTCGAGGGAGCGGCTTTTGCAGCGATATGTCGTTGCAGTGGGACATCACGAGAAGACAGCAACTCCCAAAATACTAGAGGCAGATCCGTCGCCTGCTTTTGGGGCGCATAAACAACGAGTAAATTATTGTCCACTGACCCCGACTGTGATCTCTGTTATGGAGGGACGTCGTGGAGGGACAAAATAGTGGCAACTCGGTTGCCGTAGCTCCGTGACTTCACCCTCGTCGCTCCTACTTGGTCATTCGTCTCTTGGCACACTTTGTTTGTGGTCGAATTGCGTATTGACCCATTTCACGTGGCACACTGTGAAAGTCTTGATTTCTGCTGCTTTTGCCACGCGAGTCATTCTCAGAGTTATTCAATCATATGAGTTGCGAAACTGCGCTCCGAAACCCGGACACGCCATTGGCCGACCTAGCAGGAGTGAGCCGATCATCGCGCCATCTGGGAGCGACAGTACAAAACACTGCATCGCCACTTGTGCGTGTGCTTTTTTTTTAGGCAGCTCTCAATAAATGGCCTTAGCTTGCACGGCGCCCGCCGCCGCCTTCAGCTGTTTTCGCTCTGCAAAGGGGTAATCAAAGCCGGGTCGAAGTGTCAAGGTTTATTTCGTCGAAGGTGGTGCTTGAAATTTCGTGCTACCATGGTTTTAACGCTGCACCCCGATTATTTCTATTACTCTTCGCTTGCTCGTTTAAAAATGTGCGCTTGAGATCGATTACTCACGGGAAGTTAGACGAATCCTTTTAAATGTTCCACTCTGCGGTTCACGATGTGTCTGTGATGGCCGCACAAACAAGGCACAGATACAGTAGAGTGCAAACCGAAGCACAACAGTACTGATCAGTACTTACTGCGAAATGGTCGTTTGGTCTTGCACGCAGCGGTCGAATTCCCCTAACCACGAAATCAATGAGACACCGGCTGGGATACCATATAATTATGAAAGCCCGATGACAAGAAAGTAGGGAACTTGAACATCGCTATTTACTTGAAACTAGCACTGCAAGCGTTCTTTTCTCTTCAGGTGCTATGTTCGTGGAGTCTTTCCAATGGCACCGGCGTTTGCTGCTCGGGCAACGTCGTCTGCTGCTGTCGTTAGACTCACAGGTTGGATCCACCCGGATCAGCGCTGCATCCGCCTTGCCGCTCACTATTTTGCCGAAATGTAAACATCGTGGACTCGCCACATGAATCTGATAAACTACCGACTTTGCTGCACCGTTCACTATCGCTGTGCTAGCTGTGTACCTACCTCACGAGCATGCCGCTTAGAGCCACGTTACTTCTAGCGCAATGCGGAAAACATGAAAAATGACACATCAAGAGAACAAGCAGATCCTCTGTCCCTTATTACAGTCTCCTCCACTGCGACAAAGTAACATGTTCAGCACCCTTAGGCACCAACTCACCTAAGAACAAATTCTAGGCGCTGCCATGCTGTTTGACAGAATGCGGAGGCACTCACAATAACGCAAGAACACAAAATATTGCGCTTTCTAGTTAGTTTTTATGTGAAGAGATGGCGCTACAATCGACTCACTTCTGCCATTTCAGCCAATGTTGTGTTCGGATTTTGATACATGTAGCCTATGGGGAGTTTCGCAACTCATATGATTGAATAACTCTGAGTCATTCCGCGGTGTCGTATGGGCTTTAGTTGCTGGCATGGCCGTGCCCATATGCTCACATCTTAAATATTTACGTCTATGAGAGTACACGAGGAACCAGTTCCTACGCTCGGTATGCACTTTGAGTGCCCGAACACAAAATCTGCGCCTGACGAGTTGCTGAAAAATCCAATCAGTTTCGGCCGAAGGTTTGGTCTGACAGGAAACGCAGTCTTTGACGAAAGAGACAGGCGAGTGGAGTGGAGAGTTGTCCACGTTCTTTTTTTCGTTGACCGTGCTCCCATTTGCATTTTTTTACTGCCGCAGGTGAGCCAGTGAACCGTAGCCTGAGGTTACTGAGAGCCTTGGTGGAAGTGCTGGAAGGTTCAGGAAGTCGGTCAAAGCAGGTTGCCAGCACTGGTCTTGCCCCAGTATGGCCACTTCTGTTGGAACGCCTGCCAGCGACCTTGCAAGGTACGTCACCTTTCTCTTCCACCAAAGTGCTGTGGTGGCCGCATTTTGATGCAAGGCCCATGTGCTTAGATTTAGGTGATAGTTGCCATCTGATTGAAATTTCGGGAGTTTTCCACTATAGCGTCTCTTATAATCGTTTTGGGTTTTCGGTATGCGAAACCCCAGCAAAACAAATGGAGTGTTATTCCTGAGAGCACCTAATTTCGAGCTCACTATCAGGAAGTGCTTACAGATAGACCTCAGGCAGGCATCAAGAATTCTCAAACGGTTTCAAGTATTCATCCACCGAGCACGAAATTCGAAAGCACGTTTCGTGAATAATACGCATGCGAACATTTTACTTACCTGTTTTGTTGAAGCAATGGCAGCATAAAACGAGAGTGTACCATTGACTCTAATGTAAAGCGCATTTTTTTTTTCAATAACTTTGCTACTCTGAAAATCGACCTTTGTGTTACAATCGAATACTGAAGTGCGTACGAAACACCTACCCCTCTTCCTGGATGCAATGAAGTCATCGCTCGCGTTCATTGGCGTGCTTACGAGGAGGGGGTGGAGTGCTTGCTCCCCCACCTAGCCTAGTCACACTCAAACCTCGATGTAACAAATCATCGGTTATAACGAAGTGATTGACCAATTGGATAGGCTTCAACATGATTCAGACCATAGAAGACACACAGAACACAGACGAGCACTGACTTACAACTGAGTTTCAACTTCTGTGTATAGGTAATACAGGCAGGTTCTGGCGCACAAAAAGGCTTGTTCAAGTGCAAATAAACTCAGTTGTAAGTCAGAAATCATCTGTATTCAGTGTGTCTCCTATGGTCTGCGTCTGAATCGCGCTCAGGTCTATCGAATTATGTACCAACTTGCCCAAGTCAAAGTGCAATTGACCAAAAGCTTTATCATAAATGCAGTGTAATGAATAATTGTTTATAACAAATTTTCAGATATAATGAAGTTGTAGCGGCGAGAGAAGGAGACGTGAGATGGCGTCGAAGGCGGCCGATGGGGCCGTGCCAATCTCGCCACTTTATTGCAGGCCTGAAGCGGAGCCACGTCGGCTACCAGCGTCCGCCACGCCAGGCGTGTCAGCTCGTTCTAATTCTCGCGCAGCTCGAGCTCGCGCCAGCTGCGCGAGAGACGCGGCGCGGTGATGGAAAAAATGATGATGATGATGATGGCACTACAGGGCTCCCCCCTTAGCGCTTTGCGCGATTTGAACGCATATGAAAAAAAGAAAGAGGGCGACAAATGCTATGTACATGAACGGCAGTCCATAAAGTGTTCTTTGGCCAGTCCAGGTTGTCAACGTTTATGGGCCATCAGTAGGCAGCGGTCTCTGGCGGGCGACACTGGGAGTTGCGCAGAGGACGCCGGAGGAAGTGCCGGGTCGCTGTGGTAGCCGACAAGCGGGTCTCACGGTGACCTGGTCGTAAAGGCCGAGAGTGGACCGTGTGTCGCGAGGTCATGACAGGATGGTGAGTGACAATGCTGGCGCTGGGTGCAGAGGACACTATACTGCCGCCTGTTGAGATTAGAGGTCCCGACAGGGCGCCATGATGGTGGTGGTGGTGGTGGTGATGGTGGGCATGCGCCAGTATCTGCGGCTGGGTGAACGTCGGTATCTGCACCAGGGATTGGTGCTGGTCTGTCTGGAACGCACCCAGTGTGGGCTCGGCCAGCATGGTCTGCGTAGGCAGCATGGCCTGCAGCTGTTGCAGCGTCAGTGGCTGTCCCGGGACTATGGCAAACGAGGGGGGCAACATCATGAGTGGTGGTGCCAGAAAGATGTTGGGCCTTGGCCCCAGGTTCTGTGGAATGACAAGCGTCGGGGTGCCAGGCGGTCCTGGATGTCCCCCATGGGGCCTGGGCCCCGTCTGAGGTCCCAGGGTCAGGCCCGTGGCATGGGGTGGTCGCAGGGCCAGCTGGACCCCCTGTATCTGTCCCAGAGAGCTCTGGGTCTGCCCCAGTGCGCCTTGTATCAGAATCGGGCTGTGACCCAGGCCCGGAATGTACTGGTTCAGGAGGAAAGTGCCGTGCGCAGGTCCAGCCGGAAACATGCCCGGCTGCGGTGCCGCGGGGTTCCCGATGAGCAGCGGACTCCCCGTGTTGAGCCCCATCACGGCTCCGCGCTGCACCGTGGTCGCAGGCTGCGGCGCCGGTACAGGCGCGGGCCGCGGTGTGGCGTGCTGGGCCGCCCGGGGAGACTGGGACCGGGTGGTCGCCGCTGCTGAAGGCGTCGTCATGTTCGCGCTGCTGCTCGACAGCTTGGGCAGGATCTGTGGCTGTTTCGGCTGGATGAGCCGGGGGGGCACCAGAGGTGCGAGGACTGGGGCTAGCCGAAACAACCTGTGCGACGCCGGGTCTCGACGCAGGTGCCTGCTGCGGCGCCACGGGCAGAGGGGCGACGGTGGCAGTTGCTTTGGTGGTTGCCGGTGTCGACGCCGACGATGAGGGCAGGCTCTGGCTCCGCGAAGACACGGCGCTGGGGCCCGTCATAGACCACGAAACAGAGACAGGGACAGGGGCGGGGAGCGGGGACGCCGAGGGTGGTCGGCTGCTGACCGGGGAGGTGCGAGTGGAATGTGGCGAGGCACCCGGCAGGCCATTGCTGGCACCAGTGACAGGTGGCGGAGCGGCAGGGGGCACCGTCGAGGAGCTGACCAGCAGCTGCGGCGAGGAGGAGGCCGAGACGTCTGAGCTGGTGGTCGCGGAAACGGCGAGGGCCACGGTGTCACGTGCCGTCGCTTGCTCTGCGTGCGCTTGCGTGCGTACCTTGCTCTGCGACGCCGGGAAAACCTGCCTGGTGCGGGTAAACGGAAGCGGCCGGTATGTGTTGCCGCTGCGGGCGAGCACCGCAGTGCAGAGGGCATCGTAAGGCTGCGGGCTGGTGCTTGAAGTGGCAGCGAGATGGCGCAACTCTACCGGGAGGGCGTCGAGAAGAATGGCGTGCATCTGCAGCTGGTCCGTGACGCCATTCAGCGCCAGAACGGCATCGAGCTGTATGAACCATACCTTGGGGTAGGTCGATTGGAACGGCGGCACTGGCGGGCAGAGTTGCGGGAACATGGCCACGGGCCGCTCGGCGAAGGGCGTGTTCTCCGGGTCACCAATGTAGCGGCGAGAGAAGGAGACGTGAGACGGCGTCGAAGGCGGCCGATGGGGCTGTGCCAATCTCGCCACTTTATTGCAGGCCTGAAGCGGAGCCACGTTGGCTACCAGCGTCCGCCACGCCAGGCGTGTCAGCTCGTTCTAATTCTCGCGCAGCTCGAGCTCGCGCCAGCTGCGCGAGAGACGCGGCGCGGTGATGGAAAAAATGATGATGATGATGATGGCACTACAAAGTATTTTCGTGGTAAATGTGACTCGGTTGTGAGTGTGGCAGCTTGGGCTAGTTGGTATGGCATGACGATAGTTATAGTGCGAGAACAAAACGTTTTGTTCTCGCGCTATAACTATCGGTTGTGAGGTTTAAGTGTACCGGGAAAGAGTAGGTGGGTGGGGGGTATGACAAAAGGCAAAATAGTCTGCATACATTGACTAAGTCTGACCCCCCTCCCCCCATAAGGAATTCTGCGCACGTCTATGCTCACTTCACAATCGAGTAAACACGGTACGTAATGGGAGGTCGCGCAATTCTCATTTCTGCAGCTGGTGTGGAGGACCCAGTGTTGGGCGTGCTGGCGTGCCTCGTGCGGGTGATGGCGGCGCAGATGGGAGCTACCAGGGTGGGTCCCCTGCTGGCTGTCCTGGAGCAGCGGGTGTCCCGAGAGTGCGAGGAGGCGAAGTCCGCCATAAACGGACTCGAGTGGCTCCTGGCGCTCTTGCTGCCCCTCGTTAGGGAGCCCAGTCTCGGCGAGTTCCTGCCCGCCGTTCTGAGGCTCTGCCTGGACCAGGTCCACCCGCGGCTTGCTCAGGTTAGCATCGTAAGGCAGTTGCCTCTTTATTATTATCGTTTCTCCTTTATTCTGCAGGCCTTATTGAAACGTGGAACAGTTTGCCTGATGCAGGCTTGCCAGTGTTGAAAATGCATAAGATTTAAATTTTTTGTAATGGGGTATATTGCGTGTCATTGATATGAAAATCTCATTGTTGATTTTCATTGTGATACGATTCTTCTTTGATGCTTTATTTATTTATTTATTTACAGTACCCTCAGGGTATAAATACATTACAGAGGGGGTGGGGGTGTGCATAGTAAAAACAAGAGCATGAACAATAACAGCAAAAAAGTAAAACTGGAATCGTTATACAAAATAATCGCAGAAATCTAGTAAAGTGCAATAAATTGGAAAAAAAAACATGTAGTGCTAGAGTACGCTGGATAAGACATTTTTAAATGAAGTTGTATTAGTTATATCAGTTATGAAGGCTGGTAATTGATTCTAGTCACCTACTGTCCTGGGGACAAATGATTGCGAGCCTGCAGTAGATTAAAAATAGGGTATGTCAACCTTGTGATGATGATCAAGTCGGTGTGAGCGAAATGGAGGTGGGTGTATGAACAAGGAACGAAGAGCAGGGGAAGAGCAGTACATTTTATGAAAAAAAACAAATGTGTGATTGTTTTCTACGTGTTTCTAAGGAAGATTGATTAAGAGCGGCTTTCATGTTTGTGTCACTGTCATTGTGATCGTAGTTAGATGAAATAAAGAGAACAGAGCAATTTTGTACTGTCTCAATGCTTTGTGATAATGTAGAGCTGTGCAGGTCCCAGACAGATGAGGCGTATACTAGTTGAGGGCGAATGTAGGTGGTATAAAGCAGTAGTTTTAGTGACGGTGGGGCAAGATAGAACTTTCTTTTTAAGTAACCTAAAGTTTGGTTTGCTTTAGATAATATGTAATGGACGTGGTGTTTCCATGACAAGTTATTAGATATGTGAACACCAAGGTAGCAATAAGAAGCTGTGGTTTGCAGAGGTGAATTGTTAAGAGAATAGGACGGAGAGATGACGTTGCACCTAGTTACGCGCATGCTTTTGCATCTAGCGTCGTTCAGTTCCATATGCCATGTGTGGCACCACAGTGATATCGTATCTAAATCATTTCGTAGTGATGTCATGTCTGAATCGGCAGGAGTCTGGGGTGAATAGAAGCTTGTGATGAAAAATTCGTAAGCGAGGGTTGTATTGGAGCGGATGTTTCGACTTCAGGCTTGTCCTCTACAAAGCAGGCTCAAAGAAGACAAGTCTACTTGTCCAAATGTTAGTCGATTGATCCTTGTATTTTATGTTGTTGGGTATCAATAGTGCAAATCAATTATTTGTATATTGGAATGTTATTCTTTATGTATGCGAATATTTTGTTTGTCGTCCTGCCTGTAGTGACCCCCATGAACAGGGTTGACAGTATACAATGAATAAATAAAATTATTATTATCGTCATCAGCCCAGCTTAAGATCCACTGCAGGATGAAGGCCTCTCCCAACTATCTCCAACCCATCCTATCCCCTGCAAGCACATTCCATTTTATGTCTGCAGATTTCTTGCCGTCATCTCTCCGTCTAACCCTTTGTCATTCTAGGCTTTGGTTCCCATCTATTGGTATCTATTCAGGCGCTCTTAATTGAACATTGATTATCCGTTCGTCAACCACCTGTCTGATACAGTTCTCATTTTTCCGAATCCAGTTCAAACTTCAATAAATTCAGTAAAAGTCAATGCTCTTCCCTCTCATCTGTTTTTTTTTTTCCTACACTTCTTGTTCTGCGTCTGCGATATTGCCTTGTCTCCCTCACTTCGCCACCTGCTACACATTTGCAATCCCTCATCTATTCACCCGTCTCACCGTCGCTTACTCTCTTGCTCAATCACTCGTTAGCTCACTTCTGTTTTATCGCAGCTTTGAGTTCCCGGCTGTTACATGTGTACTTCCCATCACCCAGTGTCCCGCACTGGTGCCTGTGCTGGGGCCGCCGCTGTTTGAGCTGCTGGAACAGTGCCTGGTGTGCCACTGGCGCCGGTTCTTTCCCGGTGGCGTGGCGGCCCCCGAGGAGCTGCACAACGGGCTTGAGTTTGGCCGGCTGCTATCCGCGTACGGCTGGTCCCTGCGGATGGGCGAACCGGGCCTCGTGCGCCAGAACCTGTTGGCCCTGTCGGCGCTCAACCGCCGGTGTCGACTCTTCCACAAGGTCGGCTGTAAAAGGTTTTATTGCTATGTGAAGTGCGTTTGATTCTCTTGCGCCGCCCTAAACCAGTTTGTGGTGAGACATGAGGAGTTTGGGAGTTGTGCTGCTAGACTTCAGAGGTGCCATTTTTGCAAATCAGTTCTGCGAGACCCCGCAAGCAAGGCAATGGAAGGGTTAAGAAAGGAAAATTGATGTCCCCTCGTTTGCAGCGCGAAATCACGAGGTAATCCATATGTATCTTGCAGAAGAAAGTCTTAGTTGCCAAAAAATATGTCCTGGTCGCAGGTTCGATCCCATGACCAACACTTTTCCGAGGTGACCGCTTGATCAATTGAGCCAACCAGAAAGCTTGCAGTTGGCAGTGCAAGGCAATGCAACTCAAAACACATAGACGCGTTTTCGCAAAAAGTATGTCTATGTTCTTCGTGCTGTCAATGGATTTGCGCTAGCACTGCCATTCGCTAGCTTCCTGGCTAGCTCAATTGGTAAAGCAACTACGTTAAAGAGGCATTGGTACTGGAATCGCCATTGCACCGCCGTCGTCAACAGTGTGTACACGCCGGTCACTCTTCGTGCAATAGTGCACTGCTCATGTGCAAGGTACTGTTGCGCATGTAACACATTGTGTTGTAAAATTAATGAAGAGTGTGTTCATGCACTTAAGGTTTGTGCATACATTCTCTAGTGTTCCCGCATTTCAGCAACGTGCTCGCCGCTCCAAGGCACGTGCAGTAATTACACAGCATGTGTGCACTCGTTTAGTACGTAGACGGTTGAAGTAGCAGTAATAGCTGAGCACGTTATGAGCTGCCGCAGCGTATAGAGATCCTACTGCGCTAGAATTTCAGGCAGCACAAGAAGTCTCCTTTCAAATAGTGTAGAACTAAACGAGCCTTTGTGAAAAATGTCGCGTTTGAGTTGCGAGTGCATGTGTTGTGAAAAACTTGTAGACGTGGCCACACTCCTTTCTAGGTGGGGTTAGGCTTTGGCAGCTGTTTTGTTTGACACTTCTAGACGGATGGCAGAAGGGGTGTTTTCGCTGCTACAGTCTTAGTTTTTTTTTTTTTTTGTTCGTACAGGCAGCCTTTCGAGAGTGCTTTTTAGGTCAGTTCGTGGAGGCCCTGCTGAGCTGCCTGGTGTCGTCGCCCGTGCGCGATCTGCTCAGGGATGAGTTTCAGCAGCTGCTGTTCGAACTGGCTGCCGTGGATTTTGAGATGTTCTACGGCCACCTCCTTCCGGCACTGATTCCACCCGAGCCGCTGGCGAGTCTCGCGTGGGAGCGCGACTTGCCCTCTTTCTCTCGACAGATGGAGCGTCTCGTTGGTGACTTGCGCCGCGCCGCTGGCTGATGACCGGGGAGTTGGCAGGCGGGGCTTGATTGATGAGTAACACCTTAAGGTGTGTCGCCATCTTTCTTGGAATGTTGTCAAGTTATGATCCTCTAATAGATGGCTTTGTGTCTGTCCTGTGGGGGACAGTTTAAAAGGATATTTTAAATGCATTGAGCAAAGGAATTCTGACTAAACTATGTTATAATTAACGATATTACCCAAAATATGCCCAGTACATCCACAGTCGCAGTTATCAGTCCAACCACATAAAAAGAAAATGACTTGGCAGTATTATAGTTGTTCATGCAGGCTGTGAATTGAACTAGGACTTTTGTGTTGTCTTTGATATAAAGAAAACTGTAGCCTAAAAACCAAAGGCTATGTCATTTCAGGAGGTTGCTTTCCTATTGAACTTTGATTCCATCAAGAGTTGTTTATGAGCAATTATCCTAATTAATTGCATAGCGTAATATATTAGCAAGAAGCATGAAAAATTACCTTAGAAAATATGGAATGATTAAAAAGTTACAAGTTACTGTGTCATGAAACATGAGCAAAAACCAGGTTTTGACTGAAAACAAAGTTTTCCAAACACGTCTTTTTTTTTTATTGGTGGAAGTTGCAAAAAAAAAAAAATCAAAACTGATTAGCACAATGTGATAAACAGGTAATTTTTTTTCTGCCAGAATTCTGCGTGTTTGTGCATTCTTGAAATGCCAAAAAATAAAACTTCTATTTCTCTAAAAAAAAAAAGTCATCTGTAAAAGTGGCGACAAATCTGGACGTTTCTTCTTGTCACAAACTTTATGTTACAAGGACCAGGTTTGAGTTGCAGTACAAGTCATCATTTGCATTTTATTAGTGCCAGATACACTGAATCATTAGATGCAGGCATTGCTTTTAAAGAGGTCGTGTAACATCTGCACTCAACAGGCTAGTCAACCTGTGCTAGCTACATTGTGCCTTAGCACTTCGTGTCTCTTAAAATACTTAATATGCTCTAATGTGCTGAATGGCGAGCCATGGCAATCGACGAGGCAGTGCAACAAAAACACAGTCGCGCACGCATTCCAAAATAAATGTGTGCAGTCCAGCACTCGTGTGGGCGTTATTTTTAAAGTGTGTGTGACTGTGCCCGTTGAGCACTGTTTCATAAACAAAATAATATAAGGTTACTCGACGGGTTATTAGAGTAATGTTACTTGAGATAAGAAGTAGTGCCCCTTGCTGGAAACGTTCTCTGCAATATCGGCACCAGCTTCACTAGATACATCACAAAATGCACTGCTATTCTGCGTCACACATTTTGTATTTTAGAACAACTGTGCAACTATTAACTGATTTATTAAACTAAGCTAGCATCGCTTAGAGAGCAGCGTTAGGTTAGGTTTTAATGGTCACTTGCCATGTGCTCTAGCCAAACAGCGCTTATGGCCCCGCAGCGGTGGTCTAGTGCCGAAGGCACTCGGCTGCTGACCTGCAGGTCGCGGGTTCAAATCCCGGCTGCGGCGGTTGCATTTCCGATGGAGGTGGAAATGTTGTAGGCCTGTGTGCTCAGATTTGGGTGCACGTTAAAGAACCCCAGGTGGTCGAAATTTCCGGAGCTCTCCGCTACGGCGTCTCTCATAATCATATGGTGGTTTTAGGACGTTAAGCCCCACATATCATCAATTATCAAACAGCGCTTATGAATAAAAACGTTAACCAATACACGAATTCCTCCATGGTGGCATAGTGCTTGCGGTGCTCAGACGCCGACCCGAAGGTTGTAAGTTCGATCCCGGCCAGGGTGGTCGCGTTTTCATGGCGGCGAAATGCGAGTGGCACGTGTAATGTGCGATGTCGACAAAAAAGGACACCAGATGGTCGAAATTTTTGAAGCCCTCCACTATCACATTTCTCCTAATCATATCGTGGTTTTGGTGCGTTAAACCCCAGATATTATTAACCAATGTACGAGGTGATTGTTAAGAGCTGTTCTTACTGCTTTTCAGGTGGAAGTTTTGGACGGTCGAGAAACTTCTAAATTCAACGGGTTCGAGCCCCAACAGAGTCAGTCTGGGGCAACGAACTGAGCAACCGTGATGCTGTGATGTCCATGACCAAATTGGGTGCAGTGGAGCACCTACGGCACATGACTGTACTTTGTCTCACATGGATATTGCCGGGCTGCAGCTGCCGGCACTCTCACGACCAACGAGCCGGTGCATTTCCCCCATTCCCCCCAACCCCCTAGAGTTGTGTACTTGCAAAAGATGCCAGTGAGTTTACTGTTACACGAATAAATAACTAAGAACTCCTGTGTATCCGTAGCTTGGATGAACAATTTTAATTATTGACGACGTGTTTCACCTGATGTGCGCTGATACATGTGCCTTCTGGTAAAAAAAAAACAATCTTGTCTCGTTTCCTTATGAGTTGTGCAAGTCTCTTGTGCACAACTTATTCACATCTTGTGAGGTCAATCTAGTTTTGTTAGTCATTGCATGACCTTATCATTGTTATTGTTACAGCTAAACCTCGTATCAAATTTGCATGTGATACGAGAGTACCATCATCAATTTAAGAAAAGATAAACGTATATTAGTCAGTGCAAAATGTCGAAGTTGTGCTTGTGTGCTTTGTTATAATTGAGAACCCGCTTGATTGGTGTTCTTTATGTGAATGTTTTGCCGTATGTAGCGGCAAATTTGTTTATTTGAGATCTCAATAACTTGCTGCACGCTCTGTTGAAAAGCCAAAAAAATGACAAGTCATTCGCCGAATGTTAGCATTTTGGGCGCGTGGAAGTCTTGCTTCTTCCGTGTGCTCATTATTGTGGTGGAGACTTGTACCGTCGTGCCAATCTTTCTAAGCCTGTGCAACTTGAAGTCAATGTGGCCTCTTCGTAAGACGCGTGAAGTTTGTTGTGTTTCTACGTTTTTCCCGTGGTGCAGAATTGTTGACCTCGTCGCGAGGCCTACATCACACTACAGAACACCATTCCGTTTGCTCCCTGTTGTCACGCTTTGCACTGCCCATGTGGGAGCCCTGGCGCATTTGCACAGTGACAGGTGCATTGATTGATTGATATGTGGGGTTTAACGTCCCAAAACCACCATTTGATTATGAGAGACGCCGTAGTGGAGGGCTCTGGAAATTTCGACCACCTGGGGTTCTTTAACGTGCACCCAAATCTGAGCACACGGGCCTACAACATTTCCGCCTCCATCGGAAATGCAGCCGCCGCAGCCGGGATTTGAACCCGCGACCTGCGGGTCAGCAGCCGAGTACCTTAGCCACTAGACCACCGCGGCGGGGTGCATTGTGGAGTGGTTGTCCATATTCCGTAGTACCGCATAGACCGTATAGTACCGTATAGATCAGTGCCACCTGGGGTCGTATTTCTGCATGGGCATTTTTCGGAGATGTCGCTACCGTTGTGCACTGATTGGCGGGTTGAGGAATGGCGGGCAAGTGGTTGCACGAGTCATTGAACAACTGAGATCACTATACGTAGCACAAAACAACACTGTCACCGAAAAGAGGTTGTTTCCGACCGTAGCCCTTTTAGCCCAGCTCATATTTGTTTCAGTTGCCTTTGTGTGATTAGCGAAGACGGGTTTACACGGCGCCTACCCTATGAGCGGCAGTTGGCAAAGTGCGCAACGCGCCTCTGCTCCGCAATGCGCGAAGGGCAGGTTCACGTTGACTTTCTGGTGCGGCACAAAAAACTCCACCGTAGAACTGTCTACGATTGTCAACAAATTCGGGTTTTCGCTGACCCGGGAAGCGACGTGACTTGCGGGCACAGGCCCGCTGTAGTAAGTTCAGTGTGCGAGCCATGTCCGCCGTGTTGCCACTGAAGCAGTGATTTTCAGAGACAAAAGTGGACTGGAACTGCTGGTGGGTTAATCAAGAATAGAATAGCAGGCTTTCTGTCGTCATACAGTTCAACCCGGATATAACGAATCTCAAGGGGATGGTAAAAATGTTTTTTGTATGTTGGTAATTCATTATATAAAATGTTTTTTATACTAAAAATATATTAAAGAGTATTTTACAACTGTTTGACATACAGTACAATAATTCATTACATGTGGGTTCATGTGCTACTCATTGGTGTTTGTCTTGAAGGAGACAATCTTACCAATTTATTGGCTCTACAAACAGGGTTGTGTTTTAAAAAAAATTGTTCAACACCTTCATAGCCAACTAGGAAACTTTTCGCAACTGTCACTGCACTCTGATTAAGTGCACTTTATGAATCTATGCTATACCTCTGTGTTCTTCAATCAGTACTTCAACGGATATAGAAAAATCGTGCTTGATAATGTGCCATTGTCTCTTACTCTTCCATTTCAAAGTACGATTTCTACAGTGTTATTATGAAAGCTGCCCTTGTTTTAATCGGTTAAGCTACGTTTAGATGTTTGCATATAAAAATAAAGCAATGTACAAGCATTGTTGGCTACAAGATTTTCACTAACCATAGCTTTATGTGGCTGAACCAAGTATCTTGGTTTTTTCCTTTCTGCACACTTAAATTAAACCTCGATATAACAAATTTTTACATAAAGAATTATTGGTTATAACAAAGTGAGAGATAGTTTTGACATAAGTACAGGGTTAAAAATGTATGCTTATAACAAATTTTCGGATATAACGTAGTGCATATTTTTGCAGAAAATGTAGGTTTGTTAAAACAAGGTTTGAGTATACTTGCTTCACTCACTGAAGTACAATGTGCATGTTCGAAAAGTGAAAACGGCATTTCACAAGTTCCAAGTTCAAAGCGTGAGATGTGGGTCTCGCGCATAAGCTTTAGCGAGAGGTGTTTCTGTGTGCATATTTCCAAGATGTGTCTTTTTGCACATGACATTTTGAATGTGTCGTTTTCTTCAACAAGTCACGTCAGTGAGCGTCTTGGTTGTGGAAACTGTGAGGTTCCAGTTGCAAACTGTGATTTAATCCCAATTGATGGTGTGTGTACAAGTGTACAGCTACTGGCATGTTGGCGCAAGCTTAGGAAATCAGGCGTATTTCTGGAACAGAGCCAGAATCGAAATATTGAAAAAAAATTGGTGGCAGACTTAGTGATTGGAATGAGGTTGCCACAAGGAAGTGTTGAATCTTTTAGTCTGCTTGAAATATTACCTGCTGTTTGTATACAAATAATAAAAAAATGCGCAATAGCTTAATTTTGTTGTTTTGTACATCCACGTCTTGTTTTCCTTGCTGTTCACTTCAGCCTGGAATCATGGGACATCGTTGTACTCCAGCGTCAAATACTGTTAGCTGAGGGCCACGAAAGGCATTGTATTCAAAACTCAATGTACCATCGCTGGCTACTTCCGAGGATTCTTGTTCTGCAGTTGTGCTTCGGTAATGGTTTATCAAAAACACTTGCGGCGTTTTCAACTTGGGTTGTTTTGTCTGAAATCTGCCTCCAGAATCGGCACCCTCGCATGCTATGGGCTTGCTGTAGCGACCTGCTTCAATTACAAAAGGCACATTGCTTCTGATCAGTGCATTTGTGTCTCAAGATCTAAAGCTTCGATGCATGTGCACAGACACCGTGTTACCAAAGCAGTGCTGAACGAAATTTTTGTAGTAATGTCGTTAAGACACTGCACTGAGATTTAGCCTATGGGCTTAGCACTCAGTTGAAGCATCTTATGGAAAAGCCCTTAACGTAAATGTGCGAAATTAAGAGTGCCAATGCAGTTTGCTTCATGGCTGTAGTGTTACAACACATTTTTTAATCATATGGCAATGCTGAAAAAAAAAAAAAAACTACACATACTCAGCATGCATTATACAATCTTCCTCTTCCAGTGCAATAGAGATGGCACGAGGTAGTAGACTATCTGTTTGTGCAGTAGATACGGCTATGTCTTGTGACTTACGTGTGATTCGCACATTTGACTTTGCTTAAGGCTGGCTAGAATTATTTTCTCAGATCAATAAAATCCTTTGTGCCAGCAGGGGAACAGAATCGGTTTCAACTGGAAAAGATCAGGGCTCGATCACGATAACGATTCAATGTGCTTGGGTGCCACTGATGTCGAACTTTCTCATTCGCAGCCGCAGCTGGGCAGAAAATCTACGTAAATGAACACCTCATCGTTGTAGTCTCTCTTTTGCACCGTCTGTATCGAGCTGGGTCTGAACTGTACTTTGTAAAGTGTGTCCTACTGTATTGCATTCGAGTTGTGTGCCGCTCCAAAGAATACTATGTTGCTGATTCTGTTCTAATATACAAAACATGCCAATTGGGGTTTTTACTGGAGTCCATCTGCGGGGCACATTTTGGCCATTTCTCTTGCTTGAGTGAACTGTTTGTTGATGTTCGTATATTTATAAGCCAAGCAACTGCAGCGGTCGGTGCATTGCTAGTTCCTTTTACAGCTGTGTAAGCTGTTTAATCTTTGCTCTGGAGGCAATTCAGTTGTACAGGGATGGTCAAATGAATTTACCAGGCCATTCTGCCATGGAATTACATGGGATAGCGGCCTGAGAACTCTTCACCACCCCTGTACATGCACGTCTGTATATGCGCTTACAGACAAATGGGTCTCGAAAGCTTTTGCTATTTTTTGGTGTTATGCAATACACTTTCCTAGAATTATAATACTTCTACATGCATGTTATTTTCTAACTAGTCTTATCAGCATTTTGCAGTGTCTTTTGTGCAGTCTCCTTTTATCACCCCTTTAATGCTGCTGCACAATTAACAGTTCTTGATCGAATACTGCTCATGTGATAACTTTTTTATGAAAAAATATTGTGACCTGCTGCCTTAAAGCAGGTTCTTGATAATGAATCATGAAAATATGAAGTTTATAATGATTCTAATTTTACTGTGGCGTAGTGCGTGCTGACATACAAAGAATTCCACTGCCGCTGCTACAACCGAGTGCTTCGTTGTGTGAAATGTTTCTTTGGTGATAACAAGGACACTTATTAAACATAGTAATTTCCTGAATATAAACATGTCACAAGTTATAATGTCGAAATGTTTACAGCACACTCTCAGTAAACAAAATTGCTGCTTAAGGGGACATGTGGCTTGTATAATTTTTTTTTATTAATTGGGTGAACTGAACGAAATATAATAAGCTGATTGAAGTTTTTCAGCAGATTCTAAGTCTAAATAGATTTTTAGTAGCTGCATTAGAACAAAATATATGCAATTACTAAAAGCATATTTCGAAAATATGCATATTTCAAAATATCTCGCATTGTAGGGAGAAGTTATTTTCACCCTCTCAGATGCGACCTATGAAGAACTGTGTGTAAATATGTCAAATTGCTACTACGTTATTTCAAGGCACTGGATATTCTATGGTAAAGAATGAAGAGCTAATTCTTTAATTTATGAGTCTTATAGCAACTCATCCTAATTAAGTTGTATTAAATATCTCTATACTCTGAAGTCATAGATGCTCACTTTTGGCATAAATAGAATAAATCTCAGGCTAGTAAGTATAGTGAAAATTCATTTTCGGTGATGTCCATGTTGAGCAAAGAAAAAGTCTTCTTTTCAGATTGCTCGCAGAAAGCAGCATGTCGCATGACTCGTTGAACGTGGTAGTGCCTTCAGAAAAGTGACCATATGTAGCTGTACAATCAATGCAAAATGGGGTTAAATTAAGACAAATCAATTATGAAGAAGGTTCGATTGTTCCAAAGTACAATATAGCTTGCTTTAAAACAGCCTCAAATTATGCAAATAGCAAAAACGAGTGATGTACACAATTGCGTACATAGCATCTGAAAGGGTTAACCGACAAACATCCCCACGTATGATAAACATATATAAGACCTCTTTACTCACGCATAACCGACTGTTATCTTGTATGTTATTGTACTACTTCCAAGAATTTTCTAATGGTACTCCTACTTTAAAAAAAAATTGAAGACATATACAAGGTGGTCTTCGATCATCCCTCAGGATTGCTTTTGTGTAAGCATCATATTTTACAAATTCCCTGTCTGTATTCTTACCACCTCTTCATAGCGTGCAAATAAAAAATTAAGAATAAGGACCAATTCCCAGCTCAAATAGCTTGACTAAGATGGAGGATGCAGACATTCAGTTTACCGTGCAGAGACTTGGAAAATAACATTACGTCGAAGTAATTACAGGACACAAATGTTAAAACGTGAGCTTCCAGAGTTATTAAACCAGTGTAGCAGTGAAAACAAGCTACCGGAAAGACCCTCCACAAAATATCTGCGTGCTTTTTCTCGAATTTTCGAAGGTTTTTTTGTTAGCTTTGCAATTAACCTCCAATCACATTTTGATGCCTGTTTTGACGCATTGTGTTCTGCTGTTTAAGCTGTTTCAGCATCACTGTCCCTAAAATCTAAAGCATGTTGCAATGTTTTCATCATGTTGAAGTTCAACACTGGATTCTCTGGTTAGGAGTTTTTCTTTTGTTTTTGTCTTGTGATGTGCTCTTTTAATTTATATTTTAATGAATATACATTGTATTGTTGCTTATAATTTTGTCTCTCCATTCTTTTATTTTCTTGCTGTTAATTTGCCCTTTTATTTGGACTGTTTATTAACCTGTAGCTGCATAATTCTATTTTTGATTTTTAATTACGTACAGCGCTGTTTGCTGTAAACGTGCCAAGGTGTACATTCGGGAGGCCAGAGCTGCTTCTCAGCTTTTGCTCCTAGTTTCCGTGATCTTTTTGATGCAAAATGAAGAACCTGTTATATTTCCTTTCTTGTTTTTTGGCAACTTAGCTTTGTCATAGACAAAAACAAAGTATGTGTCAAGACTGCAAGAAAGTTGGTCTAGCCAATGATGGTAATTCGATTGTTTTTAACGAGCTTTGATTCTAAAATTAATGGACGCAAACATGAGTGAAATTTTTTTTTGCTGCATACTATTTCTGAACTTCAAAAATTATAATTTGTTGAGAATTGGAGACGAAAATGCGATACGCCCGTGTGCTACGATTTGGGTGCATGTTAAGGACCCCCCAGGTGGTCGAAATTTCCGGACCTTTCCACTACGGCGTCTCTCATAATCATGTGGTGGTTTTGGCACGTTAAACCCCACATATAAATTTTTAACGACATTATAACAAAATTAACAACATAACTGCTTATACAGCTTTCTGGCAATCTCACCACATTTTTTTGTGTCTTTCAAAGCAAGGTTGCCCAAAATCCCCAAAGAAATATGCTTAAATATGCATTAAAAATCCATATCATTTTGTTTAATGTAGCTGTTAAAATTTACTTCAAGATTGCGAACCTGCAGAAAGAAACTGGATAAGTATACTAAATTTCATGCCATTCACGCAACTGCGTACTTAAAAAACATTTTTTTTGAGGACCCCGTCTCCCCTAATTAATTGGCTCTGTACTTGGAATTGTGCACCTTGTTGATCTTTCAGCGAATTGCACTCCTGGTAAACAGAATGTGCTTTCCCAGTCCCTTCAGATTACGCGAGAGTATAGTATGTGATATTACATTGTTAAGAGGCGATGGTTTTGTACTAGGGGAAGTACAAATATTCCAAAATTTCAAACAATGAATTGAATAGTGTTGTATTCAGTTAGGTACATGAATCACATGGCATATATTTGAATTAGTACTGAACATTTTTCAAATACTTGCCGAATAATCAACACCATTGGAAAACGCCAAAAAAAAACTCCAAGTTGGAAGAATGAAGGATTGTTTTTATTTTTAATTAATGAATTGCCCAGACATATGCAGTTCAAGCTTTTACTGGGGACTAGCGATAAGCTTTGCTCGTCACTGGGAGAAAAAATTTCCCCTTTAAACTCCTGTGTCGCGAAGCGAACGTGTTCTTAATGCACTGTCATTATCGTGGGATTCATTTTGTTAATTCGTGAAACATTGTTGAACTTTTAGGTCTTAGTGTTGTAAAAAAGCTGGCGACAAAGTACCACACTGAAGTGCTGTGTTCATACTACAGGCAAAAAGTACCAAAAAGGCTCCAGTTGCTATTCTATACGAGCTTACCTTATATAATTATGGTATTTTTGTCCATTAAATGTAATGCATTACTTTGTTGAAACTTGTTAGTGTTTTTCTGAAATAAAAAGTTAGACTGAAGTTGGTGAATGTAGCTAGAGGTTGCCTTGCTATTTTCAAACTATTTGAATGTCACTAGATTCTAAATTTCGCCATTTGCACACCGCTATTATGTTATCACATTTTTTGCAGCATGTGCATACCATGTCCACTAGATGGCTTATGTACACTTTCACGGTCTGTAGTATGTGCAATACATATGCACAACGTCCATTGGTTAGCCTTTGTTTCTTTCTATTCTGGTTTGATTGGCGATATCTTGCGTGGTTCTTCAATGTTTGGGTCTATCGCAAGGGAGCCAGGATCTGATACACTCGCACACTCGGCATTAGACACCTAGGCCTACCTTAGTTTGTAATGCTAGCCCCATTGGTGGAGGCATGTCTGCATTCACCAGAGGTAGAAATGCCGCTGCTTTCTAAAATTTCACCCAACTGCAGCGCGTTGGTCTACTTACATTTTCGTCACCGAGACGTTCGTAAGTACTTGGTGGAGGCTGGCACAGAACAGTTTTCAAGTTATAACACGGAGAAACCTCCCTCGGTGAACACAAGAAGCGAATGAGTGCTATCCCAGGGCATTTACCGATTCTTCTTTTCGACGTTCCAACAGTTTTCCATGATAATTCTAATCATCTAACGAGACTTGTAAGCCTCCTTGGAAAACTTGAGTATTGAGATCTAGCCATCCAGTGGTAAAAAAATAAATATATATAGGTCAGCTGCATAAACCAAGTGCAGAACTCATTAGTCTACTGTTGCATTGCGACTGAATAAACAAGACGCGGTCCGAAAAGGAGCTGCTCGTAGAGCTTCAGTCCAACCAGGAGGCCTTTCAAGCAGTAGAGTTTACGCACAAGACGCACAAACACAATTTGTGAGCGCAAGTAATATGCTTGGTAATCGAGATGTGCAGTGCGACCTACAGGTCACTAATTCATGCTTTTGTTTAGTTGTTTACTGCAGTTGCAGAAAAATAAGTGCCTTTATAAGCTTTGACCAAAGGTAAAGATTGTTTACAAGATGGCTACACAGACTGCTGTCAGTTTCCATGAATTGGCCAGGTTTTTTTTTTCAAATGAACACCATAAAAAGTATGTTGGTAGCAGAAATTTTATGTCCTAAAACTACACAATGAGGAATGGTTCAGTGGAGGGCCCTGGGGATTTTAACTAACCGGTGTTTTTTAATGCGCATCTAAATTCAGGAACATAAGCCTCTAGCATATTACTTCTATTGAAATGCAGCCTCCACAGCCAGGATCCTGCAACATTTGAGTATGCAGCTGAGCACTATAACTAGGTATTTATTATACTCTGACGCAACTCAGGGAAAAAACTGCGTTTTTCCGCCATAGGACCCCCTCTCCAGCCAATGGCATCACAGTCGTTTTGATTCCTTCTCTGGTGAGCATGGCATGAAGGCCATAAGCGCCATGGTGACACCAATTGCTGGAGGGGGATCTTTTGACGGTGAAAAACTCTACCCGTACTCGAGAGTAGACTATCGTGCCAAGTATCCATGCCAATTGAAAGTCGACAATGCTTTCGACTGAATGAAGGAAAAAAAACCCAGAGAAACTGTACAGCCACATGGGAAGCTTTAATGTCTTCGTGATGGACAGAGGAGACTCAGGCCCAGTTGGAGTCGGCACCGGCACCCCATTCGGTGGTGGTGGTGGTCGGTGCGGCCGGCGTAGCAGACCAGTCCTCGACGGCCGGGGCAGCAGTGGACCAGTCGTCTGTGGCAACTGGTGCCACGCCTACGGCAGTGGGTGCAGGTGCAGCGGCAGCAAAGCTTGTCACTTCGGCGGTCGCGGACCACTGCAAAGAATGCGCCACAAGGCCCAGTTTCAGATGGTGTGCATGTGGAGAAGCCTCAAAGCATAATGTCACATTCGAAATACATGCAGAACTGCCATGAAAAGGAACTGAATGTAAGTAATTTTGACATCGATACAAAAAGTACTGGTATTGCAGGCTAGAAGACATTGAGGCAGAACATCTCTCAGAGCCGGCATGGTCTGTTTTGTACTACTTCTTCAGCTGCACAGTGCTTGCAGATTGAAATACACTCAAACCGCGATATAACAACTTATTGGTTACAACAAAGCAAGCGAAAAATAGACTTGCAATACATATAGCGTTTAAAATCAACCTTAACAATAAATTTTCGTGTAAAATATAACTGTTTAAAGAGGTTTGAGTGTAAGACAATTCAGGGATATGCATATATTTGTTTCTACCATCTTCAGTTGAAGTAATATCGTAATTTCAACTTGAACGCATAGATCGGAGCGAACGTCATCGTTTGAAACCAGAATCTTCAGCAATGGGATGGAAAGGTGGGCTAGTTGGTAATTCATGATGGTTAAGCGAACTGGGAGCGCGGGGGTAAACACAGACACAAAGCAAAGAGGAGGCACACAGCATGAGCGCTCGTGCTGTGTGCCTCCTCTTTGCTTTGCGTCTGTGTTTACCCCCGCGCTCCCAGTTCGCTTAACCATCAGATTCTTCAGGACATGACGTGGCAATCTCGAGCAATTGCATATACACAAGTAGTACTAAACTTGATGTTACATTTCAAGTTTTCGATTCCAGAGTACTGTACATGCACATGAGGGAAAAAAAAAGGATGGCTAGGCGCTTGTAAATACCGCACTTTCTCACGTATAGGTAGCTTGCATGAATGACGGCGACGCTATGCACTCTGGGTAGCAGCCATTTTTTTGTCAGAGGCGGCCAGGGAGTGCAGCAGCACAGTCGTGCTTGCGAGCACTGGCGTAGCTTGCAGATGTGATCAAGTGGGATCGCGACGCGTGTGCGACAGCTCCAATATTCACGAATTTCTCGATCCAAGGACGAGTTTGATTTCCAGGGAGCTGCTCAAGCCGAGAAAGACAATCAAGGGCTACAACTTTGTGACAAGTGGCTGGTTGTGGGAGTCGTGAATGAAGAAATTCACCGCCGATACCGTGATAGCTGTCACTCAAGTAAGAGGTGTTAAATTGCTCGATTTTGCTGTTGATGCTAATGTTTGTTTCTGTTCAGGTTAAACTCCCAGTGTGTTAACAAGCCCCCCGTCGACGTCTTGTTCATGGGCAAGAGTGATGGCGAGGTCCTTGCCGCGCACTGCACATGCATGGCCTGAAAGAGCAAAGCCTTTCAGGCAATGCTTTTGCGCTGACCATTCCATTGCGCTGTTACTAAACATGGAGTATGACGCACGTGCACGAGAAGAGCGTCCCTGAATTTACCACGTCTTACTTGAGTGACTACGACCACAGTGTTGGCAGCGACTTTCTTCATCCACGGCTCCAGCACCCGGCCGCTCTACACAAACTTGTGACCCTTGTGGGCCTTTCTGAGCTTTACCTGCTCCCGGGTTTTCGAACTCATCCTCGGAACGAAAAGTTCATGAATATCAGAGCTGTCGACGTGCCGCCACAAGTGCACGTCGCTTACACAGTCGTCCGCACGACGCGTGAATGGGTCCACTCAGAACAAATTCTCGTCTCTCCTTCGTACCACTCGAGGTCTTTCTGGCACAGCGTTGCGGTGTAGTCTTCCGGTTAAGCTTACAATGTGCATGACACTTCTTGAAGTTTAACTCGCAACGCAATCGCACTCGATCACATCTGCAAACTACGCCAATGCTCGCAAGCAAGACTGTGCTGCTGCACTTCCTGGCCGCCTCTGACAAAAAAATTGGCTGCCTACCCAAAGTACATAGCGTCGCCGCCGTTCATGCTAGCTCCCTATAGGAAGATTATAAAGTGCTATCATGATACTATATTTTCCGGCATGCAGCCCGTGCAAAGATGTACAACCCACAGAAAATTTTTAAGGTACTTGCATACTGCCGTAAAGGCAGGCACCTAGGACACTGAAATCAGCGAGCAAGCCACATCCAAAGTTCAACTTTGAACTTGTGGCATTTTGTTCCCCCTTTGCTTGGGTTAAGCACAACACGATGGGGTAGTTCAACTGGTAATGTGCTGCTCACACTGTAGAAGTTGCGTCCTCAGCTCCCACAACGTCCACTTGTGACAACACTTCATCAACTTTCTACTTCGTATTACTTCACCACAGTGGCGTTGCCAACACTGCACGGTGGTGCCGATGTTAGAAAACAACTAACGACATAAACACCGTTCCAACCACTGGGTAGTGGTGCATTTCATGTTTGCCAGCGCAAGTTCCTGTCAACCTCGGCCATTGCGCTGAAACTCCCAGAGTGCTACAGCACATTACCTAAGAACTATCCAACAGGCCTGCAAGAAAACGGAAAGTGTCACTCACGTCGGTGACCTCAGCAGGGGCCGCAGTCACGTCGCCACCGCCCCACTGTTCGGTGGAGTACTCAGCGGTCTCTTTGACGGCCCGTTCGGGAACGACTGCCTGAGCCTGCTCCTCCTTCTCGGTCTGCAACGACAACGGCAAGCGGTAAGGACAACCGGTCAAAACAAGTCCCAGCAGGAATCCCAAATCAGTACAGAACCTCGTTTCTACATTCCCATTTTATGCAATTTCTCAGTGCGCGCATTTGCGACATCATTATCAACGTTTTGGCAAGTTCTAATGAACAAGGTTTTGCTGTAAAAACCAGCGACTCGGTTTCTCATCTTGCGTCAGTCCCGACTGGTATACACAGTCAACGCAAGCACAGTGCCAATCAAGATCATTACATAAATCTTTGACCTGATTACTGTATCCAAGACCCTGGCCTACCCTCACCACAAATGCGAGCAATCAGATGAAGCAAATTACGCCTCAGATAGAAATGCATCAACCCGGGTACATGTTGCTGATGCGGAACATGCCGTTCATATCACACAAGACCTTTATAATCAACCCGCCGTATGTACGCCAACTATAAGTCAACCCTTGCAATCGGCACAGTGCTTACAGCCTGCCAACACTCGTTTTGCAAACCCCAGCGACAGGTCATGAACCATGCCACTCAAATAGGTAGTGACAGGGTGTTTTACTTTGTCATTGGTGCTACACGTCGCAGATGGTAAGCGAGTGCTGGCAAGCATGACAAAGGGAAACATTCGTTTAGAAAATGTACAAGTGATGAAGATGATGGAAAGCGCATATGTAATGGACATGGATCATCACATCACAGTTTTCAGTTCGTCGCTATGCCATTCCTGTCAACCACTGTTAATCGCTGGATGATCGTGCCGATACCGCAAGCAGAATGTTGTTTCAACAACTGAAGCAGAATCGAAAAGAGCAGCAGCAGGAAAGGCATAATATAATTCAAATGAGGTAGGAATTCAGGGGTAACTTAGAGCACGGGGCGTTAATGGAGTTAAAATTTCAACGAGCAGCCTTGTCTTCATTCAAGGTGGCCCTACAGTTTGCAACACATGGCGCATCCTTCAAAAACCAGTCCGCAACGCTACCTTGTGAACACTCACCTCCTCAGGATCGCGGTAGAAGAACAGGTCAACCATGATCTCCCAGGGGATGTCGCGGAGGATGGATCCGCGCATGCGGAGCACCTCTCGCGTCAGCATCCACCACAGCAGCCCGATCGAGTGCTGGCTCTTGTTGTTGCAGGGGATGGCGATGTCCACGTAGCGGAGGGTCGCGTCCGTGTTGCAGAACGCAATGACGGGCAGGTTGACGTACGATGCCTCAGTGACGGGCTGGTGGTCCGCCCGCGGGTCGCACACGACCAGCAGTCGCGGCTCGCGGAACGCAGCCTGGATCTGTGAACAACACAAAGGACGCACCGTTGTAGTCCCACCAAGGCAAATCCAGGAGGAGCACAAGAACTGGAGCTTGGAACTTTTAAACGAATTCTTGAAACTGATTCAGGGAGAAATTAAATTGAAGCCGATGGGGACTGCACCCGCAACCTCTACACGCGTCCCTACGAGTTGAAAGAATTTTGTTGTGTACAAATAGTGCAAGTGTTAGCCAGCACCACTCTTGGCCGTGGCAATCAGTATGCATTGGTCCTTTTGAATAACTGCATCACACAACATTTGAATAGGAGCCATTCACCGAGCTCAGCCATACGGCGAGTGCCTACATCCAACCGTAGCATTGATTTTACAGTGATGCGGCATGCGACAGCCTGATCTCGTGCAACCGTTCAGAACCGTGCGGCCAGATTCATCTTTTCCGATTATTCATACCACACAAGCGTAACACTTCTTAAACGTAAAGCTAAATTGCCAAGTCTCAAAACACGACGTACAGTAGCACGATTTTGCCTCTTCCACAAATTCTACAACTCGTTATCATGCGAAAGCCTCCACAAAAAAACTGCTCACCACCCATCGAATCGCCTCAACCACTCAAAAGCAGTATACCCAACTCGTGCTTGCACGACCGCCTATCTAAATTCATTTCCTGTTCTGACAGCCATCGAATGGAACAGCCTTCCTGAAAGTGTCGTCACCAAAACAAACCCGACTCAATTCAAAGCTGCCGTTGAGAAACTTCTGCACTGATTATTTTTGTGTCATGTATGCGATTATCCTTAGTGGTGTTATCTGCTTCGCTGGTTGGCATTGTATGCTTTTTATGCTTCGTTGGTTGGCATTGTATGCTTTCTATTAACAGAGCGTGCTTGTAACCCTTTCGTGATACGCTCGTGCAGTTTTTGTTTTCTTTTTTTTGTGTTTGTTGATCAGTTGTGTAATTTTCGTGCTTCAACACCCCTCATGTAAAACCCCACTCATTGGGGTCTTTGAGGTACCTGTAAATAAAATAAAATAAAAAAAATACCAAGACGCGCACGGCCAAGCACCTTGGTCATAGTGCAACATTAGTGACCACTGACTGCTGCCCTGTCCCTTGTAGACGACATCACGTGATGTAATCCTATACAACGATTACTTTCCCGATCTCTGAACTTTTGCATGCTACCAGAAGAGGAGCACACATTGCACAATGCAGAAAGTGGCAACCTGTGCAAACCTAGTCACTTTGCACAAAGCAGAAAGTAGCACCCTGTGCAAACCTAGTCACTTTCAAACGTAGCACTGCGCTTTGCAAGCAAGGCGCCTCTCCGTACCTGGTTAGTGAATGTTCCGGGCGTGAAGCGGCCGGCAATGGGTGTAGCACCGGTGAAGGAGGCGAACTTGAGCACGGCCCGCTGTCCGTACGGGCGCGACGAGATGGCGCACACCTCGGCCGGGTTCTCGATGGCCACTATGGCGCGGGCGGCCAGCAGCAGCTTCTCCCACGTCTTCTTCAGGTTGATCAGATGAATGCCTGCGCAAATTGCGCCCCCCCCAGAACAATTGGTCGCGATTCCAAGGTAACCACCTCCCTCCACGCAATGTACAACGCGTGTATGCTTTCCTTTGGGCACAACGTCTTCAGGAGGTCAAGCAGGTGTCTGAAATATCCACGCAAGAGAAGAAAAAACGAAGTATGAAGTAGTGCTCATCGTAGCGCTATCCATGGAGCGACAATGTTTATATAAAGGATTGCGGCATTTGTTGTAAATATGATGTATGTAATTTGGTTTCATGATGGTTTATGGATCGTATAGGGCACATTTGTGATGCCATTGAGGTATGCATGTCTATATATTGGTTCCTTGATTTCAATATAACCAGTTGGTAGTCTGCGCTCTACCCAGTCTCTTTCCAACTTGCGCAGCAAGTCTGCATTTCAGTACCACCTAGCCTGCCAAGTATTAACGCGATTTGTGACGCTTTGGCGCCAACATCTCGCATCGCACGTAGCACTCTATTAGCGTTACCGAAACTGGTAATACTAGACATACCATCGGGCCGGCGCTTGAAGCAGTACTCCTTCATCTGGAAGTCCAAGTTGTTAGTTCCCAGGTGGGTTTTTGCAGTCAGCATACGCCTGACGTCGTCTTCCTTCAATGCCAAAACGCTGCTGCCTCCCGACATCGTAGTAGGTACCGATTAGCAACGACGGACTCCTACGAAAAGAGGAATGAACACACATGACACGCGCGACACACTATCGAAAGCTAGGCCTAAAAAAACCCCCTCGCAACACGTGGACTTTCCACCGTGTACACGAACTTTCCCCAGTCACGCTAATCTGCGCACGCGACATCACTTTGCGATTTTCGAACATCACTGGGATGTTCGAAAAACGTGACGCGACTTCACACCGCGTAACTGATTACATGCGCAACGCACAGCGAATATAGTTGCTAGCGATCCCAGCAACGAGTTGTCCACGCCGGCGCCAGAGCCGGCCTGCGAGAACGACTTGCGAAGCAATTTTACGCCAGAAAACGCCGCGCTTGCGGTATCCTTCGGTAGCGGAGACATTGATCCAAGTTTGCGGCGGTTCCGCAAGAAGAAATTAGGCGCGTAAATTACGAAAAATTAGCAAAACAGTGGGACCACGTACTGAACAGATGCCACTTGGGAGGCGATGGCGATGAGAAAGACCCGAGCGGAAGTTGAAAGCGCGCTTCTCGCTGTTTCTGGTTGAGTCCTAATACTCATACTTAGGCGTGTGTAATACAACGCGTAAAACAAGCATGTAAAAACGCAGACGCAAAAATATTATTAAATTATACTTTATATAACCTAACACAACATTTGAAAAAATTATTAGGCTTTAATGAAGGCATTTGTAAACATTTAAGTGTATACACTACGAAAATATTAGTTTAGGTATTAGTGCAAATCGTACAAGAGGGTAAGAGGCGAAAGAGGTACACAACAGGTTGAGTGGGGGAGAAAACCGGAAGTGGATTCGGAGGACAGCGTGGTGCATGTCAATCCCGACTCCCGAGTCGCAGCGAACTTCGGTGGCAATTTGTTTACATCGGAGGCGAGGACTAGGGGGCTCCGCATACTTTGAGTGATGAAGACAGCGTGAATACAAGAGCAACAGGTGCGTAGCTCCACGCCGCTGTCGCATTTCGCGAATCCCGCAGTTGTCGTGGAGCGTCAACCTAAAGACCCCGGAGTGGGGGACGCTTTCGGTCCTTTGGAGGCGTGACCAGTCAGTCAGTCGTGCTAGCGCTGTGTCGCGATCGGCAGTTGTCACTTGCTGCGGCTTCATTCAAAGAACGCTTCCACTTGGCGCTCGTTCGCAAAGGCGTTCGCGTTTAGACTCTGCATTTCGTTGCTCGGCGCGCTTAGCAAGGCAGCGAGCTGGAGGACGAACGAAACCCGTCGTGTTCTACCAATTAATTCAGCTTGTGCATCTCTCGTCGTCTCATCGATTAGCGAAAAAAAAACGCCCATGCAATCGCTGTACGATCTCCCGTTGATCCCTGTCGAGTCGCTGAGTTTCACTGTAGCTCCGTTTTGGAAAGCGGGTACTTAAGCTATGTCATACCCTTCCCCCCTCCTTTCTTGCAACCGTCGGGTCAAAACAAAGGACCGTATCGGCTTCGCATCCGTCTCGGGCTAGGCCTAATTAAGCTGCTTAATTATCGCTAAAGCGCGGCCGTGACGTCATCGTGCTTGGGCTTCGACTCGGAGAGCAACTTCGAAACGTCGCAGTCTTCAAAAGTGCTCGTCGTGCAGTCGTTCCTTTTGCGGCGGCTTTCTAAACTTAGTTCAGAATCTTGCCCGAACTTCAGATTTTACAAGCTTGCAAACTGGTTGTGTGTGTCTCTTTTAAGTGCGTTATGAGTTACTTCGACTGCGAAAACCCAACTGCTGCGTTTTGAACTTGTACTCAACTCACTGCGATGCTAGTTTAATTAAAAAAGATATGTTTGGGTAATAATTACGTTTGAGTCGGCGCTCGCTAATCCGCTGAAGCAAGTCGAAACGCCGTGGTGGCCGGCCTCAAGATCAAAATTCTTTTTTTTTTTTTAAACTCCTGGCTGTTAGCTGATGGAGGCGACGAATAAAAGAAGGGAAGTAGCGTCACTTAGTTTCTCTTCGCAAAATAGTGTATAAAGAACATTTGACGTTGGTGGAGGTTTACACTTCCTTGTACAACGTTCTACCAGCTGATCCCCCTTGCGCGCGCTGCCGACCTGGTTCCTTCAAGGGGGCACCTGTTGACCCTTATCCCTCGGATAATAAACCGCTGCTGCATTGTTTCTTCCTCCTCTTCTTGCTATTTCGCTGCCTGGTCTGATAGCTTCCTCGCAAACGACCCGTTGTTTTATGCTGGCGCTGTGCAGCCGCCGGTTTTTGCCTGGTTGCGCGGTGCAGGTTCGGAGGAGCTCTACTCGAATGGGGTATGCGTGTGACATTAAGCGGTGAAACACGGTGTGAGCACCGTTAGGCGTTTTATTGTATTTTTTTTTCATCCTTCGTCGCCGATGTTGCTTGTTTTAGCCCTTAGGCTGGTTTTTCAATTTCGGGTAAGCCTGGCTGGCGTACTCTTTTTTTCTTCTACGAAGGTTGAGAGATTTTTATTTATTTGTCATTTATCATAGTACCCACAGCGCCTAATGGAATTACATTGGGGGGGGGGGGGTGGAAGGATACAACGTTACAATAGAGAAATCGATTCCAACACATCAACATTACTATAAACGCAATTCACTACACAATATAAAGCAGGTTAGTACAGTTTTGCCCTTACACAACCGTGTGACTGCGCTGCTGGAGACCCAGCTGTGAACTTGAAAATACTTCACGTGAAGTAATTTCGGCAACACTGGAAGAAGGTGGAATAGGTGATTCCACCGTACTGAGGAAAAATGACATTTAAAATGCGGCACTCCCACAGCATATTTCCTTTAACTTATTGGCATGATCTGGTCGCTTTGAAACGTAATCCGGTTTACTAAGGTATCGCAAGAGCACCAGACCTGTTCGGATGTGAAAAAGTTTCAACCTCGGATAGTCTCTTTGTTTGCGTAGACGTTCCCAATCAAGCTTTTTTTTTGCTTTTGAAACACCGAAATTCTAGGTGTAATCGGAGCAAACTAACCGAACAGCCATGTTCTGAATCCTTTCTAAATTGGACTTACCTTCCACAGATCCCACGCGACACATGCGTAATCTTACATCGAACGTTAGACATGTGTAGTTGAGTCTTGGCCTCAACTGGTAACCTTTTTGCATTTCTGTGCAGGAAGCCTAGCACATGTCTGGCTTTACTTTTGTGGTTTCCGCTATGAAGGAAACACTAGTATATAAGAAGCTTGCATAATGAAAAAAAAGGGGGGACTAACCAATTTAATACTAACATTCATCGACATTTCACTGTGGAGTAATGAGACTGTGTTACGACATGGTTAGGGTAAATTAAAGTCTTTTAGTTATTAGAACGGTATCAACTCTGATTGGAGTCCAGTAGATTTGTTTCTGTCGCTAAATCATAAGAGAAGCCTGAAAGGTCACCGTGTTGACGGCGTTCCTGCCATCCTACTGGCTGTCAGCTTTCATGAGGTGTCAACGAGTTTCTACTTTATTCAAGATCTCCTGAAAAAGGGAAGGAGGCACTTGCTTGGGATTTTACGGTAGTCGTATGCCTTCCAATTTAATTCTTTTCAAGTTGAACTATTCTTTGACTGACAGTGATTTGTGATCCATCTGCCCACACTAGGTTGTACTTGCATTGTTAATCTCCCTTTTTTTTTTTTTTCACCCCCGAATGTTGTTTAGTTTCTCAGAGATTTATGCATTGTTCCCTAGCTATGTGATGGCCGCAAGAGTGCCTTTAGAGGAAAGAAACAGAGAAGGAAAGAAAGATGCTTGCCTGCAAATGTGTCTAACTGGATTGTTCACATGATGTGAGTGAGAGAATGCTGCGAGATTCCTGTGACCAAGATGCACGGGATTCATCATTTAACTACCCACAACTGTTATGCGAGTGTCTTCTATCTTTGCAGACCGAACTTCAATGCTTGTCTAACACTTCTGGCACTGTTTGAATTCTCGCTATGTCTACAATGTGTCGATAGCTGCACGTTAGTGTGAGTGCACAAAGCGGAAATTACACCAACGGTTTGGACCAGCGTTCCTGTTCGGTCTTGTACCATTGTGTAGGTGCATCACTTTGGTTGTTTGCATTGAAATCATCTAAAAGTGTCCCGCAACTTTTTTCTGCTTACTCAGAATGCCGTTAGTGATCAACGGGGCCGTGGTTGACCAGCTTCCGCCCGACACAAGGACGCTGTTCGAGACATACCCGCACTTCAAGGTGAGTATGAGGATAAAACAACTTATAAATCTAGGCTAGATTTCACTGGGCTTTGAATTGTTAGGCTTTACCTTTCAACTGAAAAATCGACTTCAGTTCTGTGTGTGTATTATCCCTCATTGAAAATTAGTCACGATTAACGTTGGTGGATCGAGACATATCTTTGTCAAAGCAGCTTGCTTACATGGGGAGGCAATTTCACTGAATGGCTTATGTACATAATCGCTTCTGAGCATTGCAGTTACTAAAGATATGCGGGGTCGGGGTGATTCACAGAGAAGGGGTCGTTATATGAAATTGGCATAGCAAAAATGTGAAAAGTAATGCAGCCTTGACATATTTAGCAAACTGACAGTGGAGTGGAAGCGATGTGACCAGAGGAGCATTTCAGCATTGCAAAGAAATTTACTAACTTGATGACAAGAGAACATATGCATGGATCAAGTAACCATGCATATGTTTTCACTTTTCCAAGTAGTCATAGAATGAATTCACTAAAGGAGCTTATTGCCACACGAATTCATCACCACAAAACTTTTCAGAATCTGTCTAGTATGAGCATTTTTTCTTCTCCTGTCCCGACGATTGTGCTAGAAACTAAGAAAGGCACAGGGAAGGAAAAAATGTCACGCGTGTCTCAGGACCTTGAGAACTTTCTCACTTTTTTTTTCGAGTACGCGGCTATTCATTGTAAATAAATGCACGCGTCAAGTTGTGACCTCCAGCGGCGGCCCCAGTAACGACCATGCGTGCCATGCTCAAATCAGCCAATGGCTGGTATTTGGCCTGGCCTGTAGTGATTCTTGAGCCTGTTGCACCATTTGTCGAGAGTAAAGAAAGTCATCTTTAGCTGAGTTTGAGAATATATTTTTAATTTTGGGCCGGGGGCGGTGTGCATTCGAGAGCTTCGACTAGCAATTGGCAGCGTTTTCTGACCATGCTGAAAACGTATTGCAGGGTTCCTTTAAGAAAAAAAAGGCCTTGTTTCGGGTGTCAATATGCAGCAACAGTCTTCTGACGCGTTTTGAAACAGCGAGCTTGCTATGCTATGTTACACCTTTAGCATGTATGCTGTTCGTGACAGAAATACCGGGTGTGCAACTATTACATAAGGAAAGCACTCCAGGTACATTACGATTGTTGTGTAGTAAAACAGGCACCCTTTTTTTTTTTTTGGTGAGTTTTGGCTGTGAAACGAATCAGTCACGAATGCTCTGGAAACAACTTCACGTTGTTACCACAGTAGTCTCTCAATAATTCAAACAAAATTCGATTTTTGGGTTGGCCCTCTATTCCTTCAATGTATTTAAAAACCTCTTAATTTAAACTCCCTCATTCGGTTAATTCATATTTCTTGGGGTTCCATAACAGAAAATATCTGCTGATTTCGCACTACTATTCAAATTTACATGCTTGTATAATCCTAACAGCGTAAATATGAAAAGCGCCTCAGGTCTTCAAGGAAAAAGGCTTTGCTAGTAAACAAATGTTTGAAATGAAGCACATGCATGGTAAACCATGGTGCTTCTCAACTGGTATAGAGAGCTTTCTGTTGAAGGCGCATATAGCAAAGAAGCAGTTGGGAATTCGCGGTTTCTTTAAAAGGCCTGATCATAAGTAAATGGCCGATAAACTTGTGCACCTTACACCTCAGCTAGGGTTTAAAAACGCTTAAAAAAGTTTTTAAATCTGATGAAATCAATGCCTAATCATAATGTGTGGTGTCACCTCACCCACAGTCATACTTAAGAACTACTCATAATTCAAACTTCTTGATAATTCAAACAAGATTCAGAGGTCCCTTCGAGTTTGAATTAACGAGAGTCGACTGTATTTGTGCTGTTGTGTGCACTACGGACATTCGTGTTTCGCAGTTTTGCTGGCCATCAAAACTGACAAAATTAACCATTTTCGTGAACCCACATACGGCAAGTACTTCAACTACCACTCGCGCCTCAAGTGGGAACGTTGCTGGACATGGTAGATTTGAAACCGTACTCTGCAGCCTAGTGGTATGCAAGCTACCTTGCTCATAGAAAGCTGTTGTTCATTGCATCATCTGCACTTGCTGTAATGGTTCGCGTAATTTTTTTCTTTGCAGGAGATTGCGGCAGCGCTGATTTCCCAGGTTCCCAAGGTCATTGGTCCTCTTGGACTGTTGTATGTCCACCAGCGAGAGTTTGCCGTCACTGTACCACAAGACAGTGAGCTGCCAATTCCGGTGTTCCTCACGTTTAAAGTTCGAATTGTGAAAGCTGGTTGGCAAACGGTTCATTGATGATGTTGGCAATTCTGTCTTTTTTTTTATTCATATCTGTGATTTCACCAGTGCTGCCAGCCAACTAAAGACAGTGTACAGGTTGTCGGTCGTCTATGTAGAAACTTCATTTTTCAAATTATAGGAAGCAAAAAAAAAAATCGGGTTTATGGAGTCAGACGAGCGTTTACATTCGCAAATTATTTTTGTGTTTCTAATCTTACATTCATGTCTGTTACAGCTACCGTTCTTATTTTCGGATTTCTTTTTTTTTTTTGCAGAAAATGTCAGTGTTCTTGGAACTGATGAAGCCACTACATGCACCATGGCTATCATCCGGCACACAGGTAGGGCGATCCACTGCTAAAAAAAAATTCAAAAAGGAAAAATTACTCGTTTCGCGCTGAGAATACATATACATTGCAACACAATATCTGAGTGTATGGCTGCTGGTTGCGAGGGTGAGGGCATTAGTGACGCGACTTTACTGTATCTGGTAAACCCGTGATCAGTGTGGGGTGCTCGGAGGCGCTGGGAGTGCAGTGCGACCCTTCGTAACGCACGTAATCCAGTTGCAGCCGCTTTGTGCTGTGGGGAACATGAGGGCAATGCGTGTTAAAGCCACTGCAAGCAATGCGACTGACAGACTCGATAACTATTTAGGAAATGCAGTCATGTGTCACTAAATGCTCTGGCGCTCACTGCCACCAGCCACGTGCTTAGAGTCTAGCATTTCAATAGCCGAGTATCGTATATTTCCTTGGATTCAAAAGGCAAAGTTCGGTGATATTTCTTCTGCACCAACACCCCACCGGTCTTAAGGGGACCGACAACTAGCCGGAAAATGTGAATGATTATATCCTGTTAGAAATGATGAGGCCGTGAATCGGGTGACAGATTCTAGCATTCTTTTCACAATCGAAGTAGGATTTACATTTTAAATAGCGCTTAAAAGCCTCAAAAACCGCAGTGTCACGCAGCCTAGCAGAAGTCTTGGGTCGTACTGTAGGTAGTGCGTTGCTTTAGTGTGCATGCAAATGAGGGCCAAATTTGAATATGCGTATTATTGTTTATCCCTGGTATTTCTACGTGACTTAGAAGGTAAGAGTCGCAGAGCACGAGAAGTGGTGCTGCCTTTGTGGCTACCAGTGATTGATATGCAAGACAGGGGTGAACTTTTTCGTGGTTGTTTTTATGGAAAAAAAAATAAAATGAAAATTCCACCTATATTTTTTGTTTTTACGGCAGGTTTCTCTCTATTCACCGCTCTAGTGTAGTTATGGTGCTTGGCTGCTGACCCGTAGTTCGCGGGTTCAATGCCGGCCGCTGCAGTCGCGTTTCGAATGGAGCCGTATTTCTAGAGGCTCGTGCGCTCTGTAGGGTCGGTACACTTAAAAAAAAATTCCAAATAGTAAAAAGTTGCATAGCCATCCACGATGGCGTACTTCGTAATCATCTCCCGGTTTCAAGACTTAAAGCTCGAGACGCTACTGTGGTTGTCTCCATCAACGTGTTGCGGTGGCCGGGAGTAAAACGCGCGGCCTTGGAGTTGGCAGTCTGACACCCTAGCCGTTGGCAACTCTGGCAGGCCGACCGAATGTGCCATAAGTTTTGTGTTTCTTTCATTATTCTGTCTCGGGAAACTTCACCTTCTTCAGTGCAGTCACGATGAGTGAGAATATTGTGTTCCAGGTTCCGGAGCTGTGTCATTAGCACACTTCGATGGCTCGGGCCTCGAGCAAGGGGTGGCGTCCATGGTGCGCAGAGTGCAAGAGCTTTCTCTTCCCATTCCAGAAGGAAGGTGGGCATGTTTATCTTTTGCCTTTTTCTTTTTTGAGAAGCTGTTTGCAATCTGTAGACTTCATTCTTAGCATCTTTATCCGCTTTGATAGTACATCTTGTTACACAACATTCCGTAAGACATAATCATTGCACTTCTGCAAGTATTAGTAGAAGAAGGTACAGACTTGTAGAAAGTGAATTTGCAGTATGCCAGGTGTGGCATGTCGGTAAGAATGGACATCTCATAGTGTGCTGCGCCTAGACAAGGACAGAACAAATAATAAAAAAATAGAACAAAAAAAAAAAACAAGAACCTAAACGGGTCATAGTGTGCTGCTTCATTTAAAGTGTCGCAGTATCTCACTCACGGATTCTTTACATCATGGATAAAGAGATTTATTTATAGAGTAAAACATCTTTCTTAGTGCTTTTGACGTCAGTAGCCACTTCAGCGCTTGAGGAAATCTGTGATATAGTCTAACCTCATTAGTACGTACCCATCTTAAGTGTACCGTAGTTGAAATGTAGTTGCGACGAATCCCCGGCTGAGTATGATTGAGAATAATGCATTCGCGGATCGCATGAGCCATAGTGGTTCATCTTATGCCTACCGGTCAGCATGTACCAATTGCGTACAGTGAAAACTTCTTGCGCCATAAAAGTCAACAGCACTGCTGAACTTGCAGATGCCACAATGTGTGGCATCTGCAAAGCGGTTTCCGTTTTTTCCGTCATTTTCCGTGCGTGATTCCGTCATTTTCCGTGCGTGGTTTTCCGTCATTTTGATAAGTGCGTGATAATCGTCCAATCAACTATTCCGGCTGCCACACAATTGTGGCATTGCCTTTGCAGTCAATCGTAGGGGGAAAATGAAGGTGAGGTGGCGACTGCCAACAAATGTGCCGGTATGAGTTATCGTCAACCAAAAGCCTAATCACTGTAAGCATCCCCAGATATGTGCCCGGGCATGTGTGTGGCGTAACGCCACTGTAGGCACATGGCATGCTTTTAATAGGCGACTACCTGAATGCGCTGGGCCGCCGATCGTTGCTGCCTCATTGTGCGAGACTATGTTCAAGCGCACCATTTTGCAGAAGCGGACACAGCTCTTGCTGTTTAGTGTTGGGGGTTGCAGGCCCCGAAAAGCATTCACTCCTACATGCACACAGTACAGCAAGCATAGTGCTGTTGTAGCTAAAAGAGCCTGCGCCCGCTGGGACTGCTAGAAAATCATTGAGTGTGCATTGCTTGCAGAAAGCTTGTCATCACTGCGTTAGCCCAACAAGCTACTTGCAGTATCTGTGCACTGTCTGTAGTGGACGTTTTCTACAGCCAGCAGATCGACTTTGATGGCATGCACCGAGTAGGCAAAACGCTGCATGCAACTAGCTAGCAGACGATTCGGCTCTCTTTGGTCGTACTGCATTTAAAAAATTATGTCAGTTTTTGCTTGGAAGCCGACTGCGTAACAAATTTGTCACGGACAGCGATTGTGTCTGTTTTGTCTCTATACCACACTGCGTATCCTGGACCCCGCTATAGTTTCGAAATGTTCCTCGGCGTCGCCGCTGCAAGTTTGTGCGAGAGTGACAAAATCTTTTCTGCACTTCGGCAAAACGAAAGAAATGGCTTTGTGGTGATCACTTGTGGGAGTACAGTCGAACCCCGCTACAACGAACGCCGCTTCAATGAAATTTCCTCTACAACGAAAAATTCTCGGTTTCCTGTCAGCATTCCATAGAAGTCAATACATCAATATTCTTGCCGGGGCGAACACTTTTTCTTCTGCCGTTCCGCTTTAGCGAAATTTCACGATGTAATTACAGGCTTAGATATTTAATGCCGTGCAGTAAACACATTCTTGAACATTTTGATTATTTTTCAGAACGTAAAAGTACATCTAAAATGTCTAAACCTCATATTGCCACCACCAGAAACCGTCGCGGTTTACTAAGCATGGAGGCCGCCATTGCTCAATAGCGATGGCAGTGAGACTGTCCTGCTTTCGCCACTGGCTTGCTTTTGGGCTGCAGACAATCCGAATCAGAAGTTTAGTTTCCTACACGCTGCTGCTGGGTGCAATTGCGGAACGATGCCTTTTCTAATGCCAGTGCTTTTGGTTATATTCAAGCTTGACCTGTGTGGCCACTGGTCAAAGCGGCAGTTTGTCCGCATTATCAACCAGATAAGCCAGCCGCTACTAGTGGAGGATGAGAATTGCATAGAATGAGGCATAAGTCACCGCTCCGCATACCAAGCCGACATTTCGGCGTTGTTGGATACATTTTTACGGAGGACAGCTGCTGGGGTTAGCATGTTAGTGCAACTGTAGTGTTCGTTCACGAAAGCTGTCGCGCCCGTTGTTTCAGCGTGCTTTTCAATATGGTGTCGCTATGCGTGTGGGAGAATTGCGTCTAGATGCTTCTGGGAAAAAAAAGGAAGTGGCCAACACTTTTCCAATTTTGGAAGTAAAAGTTCCGTTGTTTTGCTAGCTCAGGTCTGCTATAGTTTATTTGATTTCACTACAAATTTTTTTTCATGCCCTCTCAGTTTTGTTGTAGTGGGGTTTGACTGTTTGCTTTGGCACTGTTTTTGTTTCTTTGTTAGTGGCGATGGCATGGCGCATGTCAGGAGATGACAAATTTGTAGCCGGCGATTGATGCATAGTACATTTAGTGTGCAGTTGTGCCGCCGTTCCCAGCAGGTACGTATTAAGATAAATTTTGTCCTTGATGCAGGTTTGAGGTCTACCTTGTTGGTGGCTTTTTGGACCGTAGGGGTTACTCTGAAAGTTTGGCCAATCAGCTTCTCTGTGAGTATTCTTCTGGTTTTTGTACTACTCGTGTTGCTTTTTTTTTAGTGTCTATGCCGCTTTGTTGCTCACATTTTGTGTTAATCGTAGCTTTTTGACTTGCCAAGAAACACAGCGTTGTAATAAGAAAAAAAGTAAGACTGCAGCATAGCAATGGAGATTTTTAAGTGAATGGGGGCAGCCAAAGCTCCATCAAAGGTTTTGAGAATGTGTAGCTAGGCAGGCAGTGTCACACGTGAAACATAACGATTACCACTAGTGTAAAGTCCGACCATTTATTCGGACTCTGTGGGAAGTGCCGAGAGGTCGGTAGGATGAGTCCAAAAAGAAATAGATTCACCAGGAACAAAAAAAAATTACGGCAGATCCACGAAGAGAATGCCGATAACTGGGCGAAGGAATGTGCATTGGATTGTGAATCGTGGTCTTCTATTTTGTTCTGGTTAGCCGCCCCTTATTTTGTTCTCGTTAGCCTTTTGCTCTGTGATATGCTCTGATTGACGGGTGGGGAAATGTCGGTGTTTTCACAGTGCTGTGGCGTTTTATTTTGTAAAGCAATATGCGCCCTGTACGCTCTGTATAAGGTATTGCGCGTAGATGTTTTGCGGCTGCGCTTCAACCTGGGACCATGATGAGTCAAGCCTCGGTTTCGACGGCCGGTCATTGTGTGGCTCTCAAGCGCTTCACCCCTAAAGGGCGCCTTTATTGCCCTAACAATCGGAAAAACTTGTCCATGCACGTCCGCACACAAATGTTCACACGGAGCAAGGTCATCCTGTATTTCAGCCAGTGTTTGGCCTTTGCGGTAGGTCCACAGTAGCGTTATGACCTGCGCTAAGTCTGCGTTTCCCGGGTATGCTGGAAATTCATTGCTGGGTAATCGAGGATTTCACTTGGAATTGTACTTAGTCGCAAGCGTGATTACCATGTCAACTTGGTGGCTTCAGGACTTGTTCCATTGTAGGTATGACTGAGCATGTGGGTGTTTTTCTGCAGATGCCTTGCACAAGCAGCCTGTCAACCTCCACTTGGTGACTGCCTGTGTTTGTGGTGAGGATCAACGTAGCTTCCTTACTAAGCCAGTAACCTTGCTCATCTTACGCACTTGAATGTTTCTTCTGCTGCATGCAGTTATGGGCTAGCTTTTTGCTTTCATATGCCGTGACACTTTAGTTTCGCTTATATAGACTCACTCAGCTGCGACAATGGGCACTTGTGTAATACACTAAAACCTTAATATAATGAACCCATATATATTAAAATAACGGTTATAACGAAGTGAATAAAAAGTAGTCTTGCAACAGATATAGTGTTAAGAATAAACATTTGTAACAAATTTTCGAATATACCGAACTTAAGTTTTGTAAGATGCAACTTTGATATAATGAGGTTTGAGTGTAACAGAATCCTACTACAAGCTGTAATAGCATATACGTTTCGTGTTGTTTTATGCTTCGTTAATGAAGTGTTGGGTGACAATTGCAAATGAGTGAAGGTTTTTGAATGAGTTTTGATAAATGTTTTGACTTTTGAGTACTTTGTCGAATCAGAACTCAATGCATGTGAAAATATGACCATTAGCAGAGAATGCTCGCTGCCGAGTGGTCGACAGTTTTTGAAACAAGAATGAGCAGTTTTTCTTCTTTACAATTCTGACAACTCGATAAAAATGCTTTGTCAAAAAAGTCTTGAGATTGACAAGGAGGCATTTTTTTACATGTAACATCTGAGTTTGTTTTCACATGGTTGTTCACTGGCGTGTGTGCCTTTGGGTTGACACGAAATATCTCGGACGTAGATTTTTTTTAGGTGGTGTTCTAGAAGTCACCCTAGCTGTCTTCTTTTGTTGCAGAGCTGAACAATGTTCTCCGCGGGAACCTGAATTGGCCGACTATTTACGGCATTGGTGAGCAGGTTTCTTTATCTCTAACATGTTACTTCGATTGCACTATGGTCTTAAATTAAAGGGGCAGACTGGTCTTTGAGGCCAAAAAGTGACAAAAAAATTAATTTTTTTTAAATCGACATATTTGGTTTCTGCAAGTATTTTTTATCTCTCTACAAAAAAAAAAAATTACCATTTCCTGGTGTGTGAAAATTTGCAATGCCATTCTAACTGTCCAAATTCTTGGTGCTGTTAACATGCAGAACCTGCGAAGAAATGGGGAACCGACTTCGAGGCTTCTTTGTAATTTGCCGGCGCCTGTGTTAGAAGCTCTGCTACGAATTTATGAGCACCTTTGTGAGGATTGCAAAACATCCGCACCATGATTGTTGCTTTTTGAAGAAGCTGTGTGTTTTCAGTTTTTTCCATTTTTCTCAAAAAAGGTAAATTTACACCTGCTTAATTTGGAGGCCTCATTATCTCTGCAGCTAGGGCTAGTACAACAATTATTCTTTTTGCAATGGAAACCTGTATGTGTGAAGAATGCAAGTATGGGAGAAGAATTTGGAGCACTAGCCTTTTTAATTAATTACTCATCAAAGTTTTAACATAATTTCAACTGCTTTTGAAAATGGATAGTTCATTTTTGCTGTAAAATAACCAAGAAAGACCTAAAAACAAACAAAAAAACTCTTGCATACTTTCAATCTATAGTCATTAGTCTATGTTGGCATATCTTAAATATCACTTTTAATTCAGCACTTTTTCTTCTATGGTGGCCTCAAACAAGGGGGGGTGAACTTAAGTTTTCTCAGGAACAATATGAGAGACAAGAAAACTAATTAAATATTTGAAGTTGGCAGAAAAAACTACATAATCCCATGCAGTTTGATCAAGATCACTGAAGAAAATGAACAAAAAAATGTCTTAAGACCAGTCTGCCCTCCTTAAATTGGTGAGCTCGTCAGTGCCATGCTTCTAAGGGTGTCATTTGTCAGGAGCTTTCTGTGGCATGGGATCCAAAATTTTTTGTTTTTAAGTGGGCGCCTATCTGGGCCTCAAAATCTCTGATGCAGTGGCTTATTAAACAGCTACTGACTCGAGGTTTCCACACTTTCTGCATCATGCAAGGTCCTCTGTGTGTATAAAGTAGCCATAAGCCGTTGACAAACTGAGACTTTAATAAACATGACTGCCAAGTGATGGTTTGTGCTCTGTGATGGTTAGTGTTAAAAGTGTTATATCAGTACATCTGAGTATTTAAGAATAAGCTATGTGGACCTTACAGTAAGTATTTTGTAGGTTTAATAAGTCGCCCTGACAGTTCTGTATTATCAGTAAAGGAAACTCCCTTGTCAGGTTTCTACCCACTTGCATAGGATGAAAGACTAGGCTTGCAAAATCGTGGACACAGTGTGAATTGGAAGGGGACGAAACAAATGCTTTTTTTTTTTGGCCATGCAGGTACATTCTGCAGCTTTCTTTTCTGCCACTGTGTGACATTTCTGTTGATTAGTCAGCCACTTGCATTGACCTTCTCGTTGGTGTACCTGTCTTTTCCATACAGTTTACCTTGCATATATAGAACCTCCCCCCCCCCCCCCCCCCCCCCGGAAAAAAGAATTGGTTCAATAACTTTTGTAAGTGCTAAAGGCACATACGTATAACGAGCAGAGGACACAGAACAAGTGTCCTTCGCTGGTTTTACGTACGTGTCTTTAGCGCTTTCAAAAAAAAAAAAGGATCAGTACCCACTAGCCTGAACACAGTGCCTTCTTAGTTCAATATATAGTATTATTGAAGAACCTGGGCTATTTTCGGTTTGCAAGTTGGCTTCAAGATAAATCTTGGAAATTTTAGAGCAATACTTTAATTTTTCGAAAAGAGCTTGCCATAAAAGATCATTCGATTTAAGGGGAGATGCGGGTCGAAAAACGTGAGTTTTTTTCATAATTACAGATTTTTTATTTTAGCCTGTTTTGATAAGATTAGTACCTCTACTATTATGAAAAAAATAATACAGGTCGAGACTTGACTGGAAATGCTTTAAAATTGCATCTAAAGAGCACAAGGTGCCTGTTAAAACGTCGAAAGTGTGCAGTCTTCGAGCACCTTGCCGTCGATAACGCGCCGCCGCTCGCCATTGTCGATCGCATGAGTCGAAGAGTCGAGCCTCACTCTTCAAATAACAACAGTTTCTCTCACTAATGCAGTGCAAGAAATAATAAAAAGAAGCACTCTTCTGCGTGTTTTTTGAGCGCCTCGACTGGCTTATCGCATGGTACGAATCAGAGACCACCATTGGCCGCTGCGTGCCTGTATGTTCTGTGAAATCTGTTTGCGGAGTCCATGTCTTGTCGAGCAGGGCAGCTGAACAATGCTTTTCTCGTGTAATTATCTCCGTTATGAATGAAAAAAGGCATTGCTCGGAAGTGAAAGCCGTTGTGCGGCATGCTCTGTAGGAATAGGCTACGAGCAGCTGGTCCGATTTGCGGCAGTTGTTTGCTTGCAAAAGCCCATGCATCAAAAGTCATTTACACCCGTCAGCCGGAAAGTTCGTGATGCGGCAATGGATGACGTCAGCGCCAGTCTTGAGAGGTCGAAAGAGCTCGCAGTGAAAGCAGGGACGACATTGGCATTATGTACGACAGTATGTGCCACAAGCGTGGCTGCAAAATGGCGTGACATTGGACTTAGTTTGGATTTCGCAGTCCTGTCAAACTTCTTCCTAGCTTGCAGTTGGCCCAAGGCTCTGCCAGATGGAGTGGAAGTTTGGCAAGCGTTTCATGGCCCTGTCTGTCTGTGAGCGAAATGTATGTGAGGAGTCGGCTCGAAAAAGCCAAGAGGGACAAACTCATGGTGCTGGCGTATTTTAGTCACAGTGGCCACTACAAGAAGGATTGTTCTTTCTAGTGTGCAAATTTAATCTGATTTAATGATATCTTTTATAAATAAAAATTCAATTTCAGCTTTAAAACTCGTTTTTCTCAAAACACAAATTTTGCCATTTTTTCCAATGTGCCCCACCTTTTTCGGGCACTTCTAGTGCTCGGATCTGCATGAAATTTTGCCCAAAGCTTTTCCAAAGTATGACAAATGCAATTATCTAGTTTGAATTTCAATATTTTATTGTATAATAAAAACATTGTATGTATACCTTTAGGGTAGGTGAAATATGGACTTTTTACGTCTATTATTTTTCATGCATATTGCATATTTTGTATGTGCTTCATAATTAGATATTTGCACTCTACAATTTATTTAAAGCATTATGAGCTATCAATGGCAAAAAATTACAGAAGTTTAGGGATGAAAAGAAGGGGGGGGGGGGGGGCAAAAGGGTTAAGGTTTTCACTTTGTCATGTTGCAGAGCTAAAAGTGTGTAACTTGCAAGAAAACTAATTATATATTTGAAATCAGCATAAAAAGTTCCATAAACAGCTCAAGTGTTATTGCTCTAGGGTGAATATTAAAAAAAAAGTGTCTTCGAGTAGCATCTCCCCTTAACTGAGCTTCATATAGTTAGGTATGACTATGTGAATTCCTACTACCATGCTCAGGCTTGCATTATTTCAAGGTCAGTAACTGGGAGACGTTTTAGATTTTTTGAGTTTCTCTTGGAGGGGTGGGAAGGGGAGATTCTTTGTTGCTTTCCTTGTAAACTTGGAAGGGTATTCTTTTGGTCTCGCAATGACTACAATCAGTCAGCCTGCACCTTGTGACTGATCAAGTGAACTTCTTTGAAAATTCAGGTGTGAACATCAAGAGTGGCGAGATCTTCCCGGCCACATTCCCCGACAAAGGTCCCGAGCTTCCGCTTCGTTCGGCGAGACACTTCACCGGCTGCCACGAGGCAAGTGTTTCCAAAAGGGTGTCGCGTGTTTCAAAGCTTTACCACTGGCAGCACTTGTCAATTTCGCTCACCACTTCAGCGTCTTCTGTTAACACTTGCTTTAAAACTCGGTATGCTTCTGTTTGTCAATCCCTTTTTTTGTGATCTTGTTTTTGTTGCATCATTTTCGTCATCCGCCTTTCGCTCGACCTCAGTGTACGTCAATGGTGGATTGGAACAGACGCCGAAAGGAACACGGAATTCCTCGTGAAAACTTGTCACTTTCACAGCAATAGCAATCGCTTAAGGGGGGACGCGGGGATCAAATCGCGAAATTCTCGCAAAAAAACGAATTTTGGATAAGGGCAGATTTGGATTCTGCATCACCATTTCTATCATATCTAAAAATATTTCCGCCGAAAACGATCTCAAAGTAAGCTTAAAAAATGTTTTTCTGACCGCGGATCGCAAAAAGCTGGCTGAAATCGGCGCGAAAATGGCCCATTTCCGAGCGCGATACTTCCGCGCCTTCGCCGCCGCTCGCGGAAAGCTTGGTGTCACTGGAAAGCTTGCTTCACCGCCGTACTTCTCCCGGTGAAACCACGACTCTACGAGCTAAGATAAACGCACAAACAGAAAAAATGCGAAGGCATCCGCGACGCCTTAGACGCGCACCCATTGGTCGCTCCTGTCACGTGGTACTGAGCGCGCTCTGTGAGTGGCTGCTGGGACGCGCTTGCTTGCGCTGGTCGTCTGCTCTGCGCACGCACGTCTGCTACGCACACGCTGGCGCACTATAGTTTGCGAATCCCCTGCCGATACGCCGATACGGTCGCCGATACGCCAACTCTTCTCTAGCGCGAGGCTTAGCGCCCGCAATGGATCGTCGCGTGGACCGGAAGCGCAGGACGAAGTACCGGACGAAGTACGCTTACGGGAAGCGTAAACGCAAGCCTCCTGTTGCGAAAACGAAGCAGTCAGCAGCGATTGAATCATACGAACCGAGTACCGCGTCGCCACCAAGCTACGTGTCGTCGGAAGCCGACACCTGCTCGCTGCCGATGCTCGGCAGTGAGGCCTATGACGTGGGGCCGTCAACTAGCCGCGACGTTGCGGTGCGGCCCGAACGCGAAAGAAGTTTCGTTTTCGCTGCGGCGGGTGACGATGCGGTGCCGGCTGTTCAAAGTGACGGTGAATCGACGCCTGGCAGTGACACTGAAGACCCGGGGCCATCAACTAGCCGCGGCATCACGGTGCGGTGTGAACGCGAGAAAAGTTTCGTTTTCGCGGCGGCGGACGACGACGTGGTGCCAGCTGTCCAGGATGTCGGCGATCGTTTGCCTCAGCAGAAGCGCACCGTTCAAATACACCTGGAACCTCGTTTCGTGTCCTCGGAAGGCGCCGAGAAGCAAGCCAGCAGTGTCCGCGATGCACTTCGCGAGGTGTCGGCAACGGAGCGGAAGTTCGGGTTCGCGCAGCAAACGGAGCAAACATCGGCAACAAAAGAGGATGAGTTCACCCTAATTCAGGTTTCTGCCATGAATTCCCTAATAGGACCTGCACTCTGCCCAAAATGTTGTAAGAAGACTTTGTCAGTGCAGCATGGGACAAAATTGGGCCTGGCAGTAAAACTGGTACTTTTGTGTGCTTCCTGTGGCCCTATTCGTTCACCTTGGTCATCCAGTAGAAAATCCGAAGGAAGGGCTTTTGAAGTCAACCTAAGAGCCATGCAAGCAATCAAGTCCATTGGAAAAGGGCCCACTGCCCTGAATGACTTCTGGGCTACAATGAATGTCTCTCATCGGGGCATTCATCAAAAAACCTATCAGGAACACCTAAAAAAAACATTCAAACCAGGAGCAGAGGAAGCTGCACAAAACATCTTTGCAGATGCTGTGCTTGCGGTAAAAGACGTGTACAGTAAGATGCAGCCATCAAGCCCAAACAACATCACAGTTGTGTATGACGGCACGTGGCTTACAAGAGGCCACAGCTCACACATTGGGGTAGGATGTATTATTGAGTTTTACACGGGGCTTGTGCTGGATTGCACAGTCCTTTCCAACTTCTGTCTTGGGTGTTGTCAACAACCAGCAGAGAGCGACCCCAACTTCGCCACTTGGGCTGAGAAACATCAATGTCAGAAGAATACTGATGTTGGCTCCGGACAGATGGAAGTGGAGGCTGCTCTGACACTTTTCAGGCGCTCTGTCAGCAGGTATGGCCTCCGCTACACCAACATTATATGTGATGGTGACAGCCGAACCTATCTTGCTCTGTGCAAAGATGAGGTGTACACACTGACCAAAGAAGACTGCGTGAACCATGTGCAGAAGAGAATGGGCACCGCTCTCCGCACACTGGTGACAAGAGCTAAGAAAGGGGAGCCATTGGGTGGGAGAGGTGGACTGACGCAGGAGTTGATTAAAAAACTGACCAGCTGCTACGGGTTAGCCTTGCGAAAACACACAAGTGTCCCTGACATGCAAAGGGCCGTGATGGCCACTTTTTATCACGTCACGTCCACCGACGACGAGCCTCACCATGAGCTCTGCCCACCTGGCCCTGATAGCTGGTGCAAACATCGTTCAGCACAGGCCAAAATGGAGCCAGCACCACCTCACAGGTATAACCTGTCGAAACGTGTAGCGGAGGCTCTGCTGCCTGTATACCAACGTCTCTCTGACCCGCAACTGTTGGAGCGATGCAAAGGCAACAAAACTCAGAATGCGGCGGAAAGCTTGCATTCAGTTATTTGGTCACTGACTTCAAAGGACCAACACGCTTCATTGTTCGCAGTGGAGACAACAGTACATGAAGCAGTTGCACGCTACAATTTTGGGAATTTGCGAGCCTACACTGAAATGTGCAAGTCCGTGGGCATCAAACCTGCTAGCCTCGCCCTTCAAAGAGCTGAAGAAAAAGACCAGCAAAGAAAACGAAAAGCACGCAGTGCAGAAAAAATGAAAGAGAAAGGACGTAAGAAGACCCTCGCAAGCAAAGACACAAAGTATTACAGTCCCGGGGCATTTTGATGGACCTTTACTGACTGTTCAACTTTAACGCCAGTTTTCTCAGAAACGTGTTTTGACGCGTGTTTCAAAGCTTTACCACTGGCAGCACTTGTCAATTTCGCTCACCACTTCAGCGTCTTCTGTTAACACTTGCTTTATAACTCGGTATGCTTCTGTTTGTCAATCCCTTTTTTTGTGAGCTTGTTTTTGTTGCATCATTTTCGTCATCCGCCTTTCGCTCGACCTCAGTCTACGTCAATGGTGGATTGGAACAGACGCCGAAAGGAACACGGAATTCCTCGTGAAAACTTGTCACTTTCACAGCAATAGCAATCGCTTAATACTGACATTTTTCCTTAATTTTTGCATAAACATTTTGCAGCCTCTTTTGCTCACCGGAGAGATTTTAGACTACCCTTTGGTCACCATGTTGCCACACAGGTTGTTTAACACTTCCCGGCTTACCCAATTATAGCCTGCTTTCGATGGTTTTCAACTTCGAATTTTGTGTGCTAGAAGTGCTTATGGACAAGTAGTGTCATCCATCGTATATAACTAAAACTACTGTTTCGTTTTGCTTTTGCTTAACTTTTACTCATCTGAGAGACTTCACTCTTGCTGCATTGTGTATGGTCCCACTCCTGCGAAAGGGGCTGGAATAAATAAATCTAGTTGTAGAACAGTCTTGTAGGCGAGCCCTTTTGATGTACTGATACATCACAAACTGAATATCGGCGCGTGAGGAGAACGGGAGCATGCTTGCTCAATCAGCGCAGAGTCCATTGTTTAAGGGATGAACAGGCAAATTAGCCGTTGCATGTTTTTGAACTAGCCCAGAGCTACACTGGTGAACATTTCCAGGTACAACATCTAGGCATAGTATCCCAAGTTGTGCCAGGCCTTAGCTGGAACTATCAGCTTATCTTTGCGCTACACAAGTTCGTGGACCTCCTTTGAGGCTTCGACAGAGAACGGACTGCTTTCGCTTGGAGTTGGTAGCGTGCGCTTTGAAGCGACTGCCTTGACGCGTGTAGCGACCTTACCGAGCCGAACGGGGCATTACAGATGTGCGACATCTACGACTGCTCGTTAGGGATGATGCGCATCGGGCCCTTCAACTACGAGCCGATGCGGGGAGTGGACCTGTGGCTGTCGCAGAACGACGACTTCATCCTGCAGGTACGGTTAATCTCTCTTGTGTTTGCCTCTAATGCCAGTGAAATCAGCTGGTCACTGTAGCAGCCTCGTTGAAATATTGTCGCCGTCCAGATGCAAATTCAATAACACCTCAGTGATGCGAATCTTGTGGGATCACACGAAATGTCTGTTTTACCTGGAGTATGTCATGAAGAAGTGCATGTGCTTGTAGGCGAAAAAAGTTTGCCGATTTTGAACACCACTGCAGGTACAATGCAACGCAAACCTAGGATGATTGCATTATTGGGTTTTTGCCATACTACAATAAAGATGCAGTGGAAGCCTCAAATTGGTTTCTCAAAATGTTTCCAAGTTTGCAGAACTTTTTTTTTTGCCAGGTTGTGGGTCTGCTATTTACTGTATTTACTCTCGTAATCCTCGCACTCGCATAATTCTCGCACACCCCACATCGCCCAACAAAAATACGATTTATTTTTTTCCTCGAGTAATTATCGCACCCCGAAAACTACTGCAATAATGTCGTCTGCTCTTTCCAGCCACTGATGATGATAGCGCACGCCATCTGGCGTCATCTCTTAAGCATCAAGCGTACTATTGCACACAGATTCAATCCAATTCAAGCCAAGCTGAAGTGGCCAGTGCACGTTGCGGCGTGTTTTATATGTTGCGTCAGTAACCTTGTCAAGTTATGGGGCGATACTGAAGCTGTACGGCTGCTTTCAAGTTGCAGGTGATAGATCATGCACTAAAGAACGGCACAGGGCTGCCGGTAGGCCCTTCAGAGCCTACAAGTTTTGTGTTCGCTACTGGTGATGGCTGCTGAAAGCCACCAAGACGCATTGGGCCTGCCGTGCGCCTAAAACTGGGATTGATGGTAAACTTTATTTCTTCAGAAGGACACTGCAGACCATTCTCTTAAATAGCCATCAGCCCAATACTGACGTCCCACGCTTACCTCTTGAGGGCTCCTGTTGAGCGACGAACGCTACCGCTACGCCCTCAACGTCCGCAAGCTTTGCGTATGGTATTCTAATTCTCGACTATTTGCTTCCACTTTTTGTGTCTCAAATAAATCTTGTCTTGTGTTGAACCTCTGCTTTTATTTTAAGTTTTAATTAGTACTTCTTAAAGCTTGCTGTTAGTTGCTGGTGTGAGAATCCCGTTTTGCGGCCACTTCGTTTTCTTTTTCGCTCTGTCCGTTTTCATAAAAAGTTTTCCCCGCGTAATTCTCGCACCCCCAACTTTTCATCGGTTTTCCGGCAAAAAAGTGCGAGGATTATGCGAGTAAATACGGTACTTATGGGAATTCTTGCTTTACCATCTCAAATAACTTATGAAGGCCTGCAGGAAAAAAAAAAGGCTTACTAGCTGGTGACACTAAGCAATGAAAGAGTTTATCAGCCTTATTGATCTTCCTGTTTTCATATTCAATTCTAAACAGCGTGACACACAATAAACTTCTTGTAAAAGAGAGAGAGAGAGAGAGAGAGAAAATGTACGTTAGTTGAGCATTTCTGGTACATATATTACTGCACTTGTTTGCGCTGTTGATGCAGCACTTGTCGACGTCCCCCGAGGTGGAATCGCCCATGTTCGTGATGCAAGTGCGGGCTGCCCTGAAGTACATTCAGCAGCACCCGTTTCCAGGCGTCACCGTGTTTCCCGACAACCGGCCGCACTACTTCCGCAAGGACGAGGGGGGCGCCTGGATACCGTTCTGTTACTGAACGGTGCTCGTTTTGCACAGTGTCTCGTGATGTAGCGAACGCTGACTCGCCCTTTGCGTGCACTGCTGGGTTGCACTGTTGCCGCGAATGTTTCTTTTGGCACCTTCTCCAATGTCGCCAATTAGTATTATGGGTGCGACGGTTAGTGCTTCCTTGACGGAGTTCGGGCAGCTCGGAGAGATCTTGTCTCCATTGATCCAAGTTTCAAAGAGCGGCATTGAGACGAGGCTGCCCACATCCATGGACTTCAGATCTTGATACTCGTGTTACGCGTGGTGAAAGTTCATTCTCTGAATCTCTCATTTGTTGTGCCGTATGTAGTCACTTGTGCCGCATGCCCAATGGTGTGACCGTTAGCACGGCATTTTAGAAGAAACCAGAGCTCTTGAACGTGCTCTCTGTTCCGAGAAGTTTTGCCTCTACTTGTTGAGAGCCTGAATAGAAAATATTTTTAATAGTACTTCTCGCAAAGAGAGAGTGTCGGTAAGGTGGTGTATGCATAGTTTTTTTAATAGCTAAGCTCTCAATGGCAGGTTATGCAAAGGCCCAGTTGTAACTACGTCACTTTCGCCGCTGCTGGGTGGTGCAGGTGATGCGTTAGTAACGACCCCTGGTGGCGAACTTTGCAGTTATGTCAGAAGTGACTTGTGCTTTTGCATGGTTGGTCCACAGCCAAAGTAAACTTTGCCAGTGGTTACGATGTTGCCGGTGTACCAGCAAGTGGTGCCATATTTACAAGAAGAAAGAACAGCCGGCTTTTCTTCCAAACTGTCAAGCTGGGTGAGAAGGGGGAAGAGAAGCAACTGGCAAATGTGTTTGCAGTTTGCGACGCTTATTAATTTTTTTTCTGAGCTTTTTTTAATAGTGCGAAGGTTTTAACCCGTATGGGTATTGGTTTATATTGTTATAATATTAACATTGAAGCCAATGTGGGCTGGAGGTTTGAATTCAAGTACAAGGTTTGATACTGCACTACTTGAAGGGTCGTATTTTTCGAAAGGATGTCCCACAAATATTTTCAGCTGTCGGACCTAAGTGTTTGTTGTCGTGATGTGTTGATTGTTTGGCCTTGGGCATAAAGCATTCGCATGTTAAATGTACTGCACATTACAGTTGTAGACAACACTCTTTCATCTTGTTTTGGGATGGTTGCTGTTCACCAAATATTGCGAATGCGAGGTCGATTAAAAGACATCATTCTGTAATGAACTGATGTACTTGCGCTTTGATGCTTCTCAGGCCATGGGCAGACAGGTTGTTAAGGTATGCACTATGAAACTACCATTCAGGCAGGCATTGAAGTAGCATTTAGCTTAATGCATAAAGGCATGCCCTTTTTAGTAGTGTCCACTTTGAAGCTACAAAGTAATCTGACAAGCCAGCACAAGTTTAAATTGTATTCAAGTGGTTGTACTGCTCTTGGAACTGTGTATTTTCACTAACAAACAGTCATGCTAGCGTGGCAGCTGTGCTGCTTGGCAGTTGGCCTGCTAAGCACAAGGACTCAGCTTGATTTCTGGCCAAGCCACTTACGCATTTATCATGGCGATATGCAAAGAAATGCATGCACTTGCCTTCTAAAGCACGTTAAAGAACCCCATGATGTGGTCAAAATCGATTTAACAGCGTGCCTCATGATGTGTCGATTGTGACGCGTAAGGCCTCGGGAACAGGTTGTCTTTTTCCACCAGGTAGGTGGCCCTTTTCAGCAGTCTTGTGGGCATGGGAATGCTTCGCTTTTGCTTCCATTTGCATCTGCTTTCTGTACTAAAACAAGACAGTTAGTGAGGAGTCCTTAAACCTGTCGGCGCGCGACACCTGGCGGTGCTTCAGTGAAGAGTGACGTAGCCCGATACTGTAACGTGTAGGATGCGTGTGCTACTGCTGGTGGCACCACCTTGTGTAGCTGCACAATTTAACCGTGGTGCAGGGAACTTTAACAACGGGCACCGAACTCCAACTGTGTGCCACTATTTGCTTGTATGAACATGTCCGCAGGTGCATAGCTATTGGAGGTTGATCCTTACATGCGTTGTAATTAAAGGTAGCAGCTGGGTAACTCACTCATGATTTTTAGCGAAGGTGGGCTTGTTGCTGCATCGTTGCGATATGTCGCCACCAGCTCTTTCATGCAGAGATGCGTTATCTGCTTTTACATCTCGCCCCTGCGGTAGACCTCCTTGGCACTCTTAAATCGTCAACCTGGTTTCAGGAGTTGCAGTATTGTGGTGTTTCTGTGTTCACAGTTACGACACGTGGCAAAGTGTCACGTTTGTGCAGTATGCAGGGGGTTTTGTTTTTATGAACGTATATGTGCGACTCTAGAGAGTCACGAAAAGGGTCACATCTCTACAGCTGTCGATCTGGCTTTTTAACTTCATTGTTGCATCTAGTGGCTAAGATACTCAACTGCTGACCCGCAGGTCGCAGGTTCGAATGCCGGCTGCGGCGACGACTGCATTTTCGATGCAGGCGAAATTGTTGTGGTTCCATGTGCTCAGATTAGGGCACATGTTAAAGAACCCCAGGTGGACGAAATTTCCCGAGCCCTCCACTACGGCGTCTCTCATAATCATATGTTGGTTTTGGGACGTTAAACTCCACATATCAATTAACTTCATTGTTGCACATACTACTTGTGTGGTTTATGACTCGGTCATCTATTTTTCCTTGCACTGGAAATGACTGTTGTCTGCTTCGGGTTATTCCCTTGAGATTGTTTTGTTAGCTTTCGCATAAAATGATGGGCCAATTTTTTGTGAAACAGTATTCTTGTTTTGATATTCTCCTCCATCATTCTTAATGAAATGAACAGTTCGTACGATTTGTAGTGAGGAGCAGGGCTCAAACATTTTATGAGCAGTGTAATAGTTTTTTTCCAGGTCGTTGACTGAGAACTGATAATTCTTTTTTGTTTGCATATCATCAGCTTCTTTAAAGTCAAACTTTACAACCTAGGCATTATGGCAATATTTGCGCAAAAGACTGAGCATTAGTTTGAGGTGTCATCCTATCTGTATTATAGATCATTGTCATGTTTGACGGGCATGTAAGACACCTGTGACTTTTTATTACATTATATCAAATGTTAAAAAAATATCAGCATTTCAGCATTACTGTTCAGTTCTGATTGTGTAGCAGGGCACTTCACTTTTTTCCGGTCCTTACGCTCAAAATATGTTATTTTAAGCATTGTATGTGAATTCTAAATGTATTACTATGCACTGATACCGCTATGTTATATAACCAACGGCTGCTATTGCAAAGCATTTGCCTCCTATATGTGCCTTGGCTTCGATGGATCATGTGAAATGCCTGTAGTATGGCAGCCCACACAAACGGAAGTGTCCTTTTCATAGTTGTTTGTTCTGTTTTTTATTATGCTCATATATTTTAGCTGAGTTTCACAGAGCTCATTTTAAGCCAGTAGGTTTTTCTTGGCCTCCTATCGCATACGCTCTTATCTGTGTTGGTGCTCTTTGGTGCAATGAATCAAATTACGTGGAGGATGTTACCATTACGTCACCTTTTCTTTTACACAATAAAGTTCCTTTACACCTTTCCGACTTTCGTGCCTGTATCGTTACTCTCATTTCGGATGTTTACATATGCTGTATATACTTCAGGATGTGTTGATGTTAGCTGACATACGCTGCACCTCTTCAAAGCTGCATAAAGTCCAATGCACACTTTCTGCATGTCAAATAATTCCTTATAGCGCTCATATAGATTATGGGAAGCACCTGTGAAAATGTTAGTGTGACGCTAGTTGGCGTTGAAATTCCGGACCCGATACTGCACATCATGCTGTCTCTATTGAATGTTTCTATGTGGTCAATTGGTCAATGCATCCATTTGGTCAATGCATCCATAATGCAGCGTGTCCGTAATGTGGCAAGTCTGTAACACAGTGCACTCACATTAAGGTGTATTCGTAATGAGACGTGTCTGTAATGCAGTTCATCCGTAACATTGCCGAAGCTTTGTTACCGACTCGGCAAGCAATACAGAAAAAAAAGCAACGCACGCACTGAGCTTGCGGAATTTGTTATTTTAATAATGACATAACAAAAAGAAAGAAAAGACTTGTTCCCCCAGCGACACATCTCTCGTTTGAGTTAACAGGATCACAGCTTACTCGCCTCTGCCACAGAGCGAGTCGCACCTTCAGACACGTCTTTCAACATTCGGGTCACTGCTACCATCAAGGGCAGCGAAACAGTCGTGTCGACTATTTTCAATTACATTCGACACTTGCTTTCGCCGTGACCCTCGCAGAACTGCAGGCTCGATTGACGACGTCGCTTCTCGACAAGTAGTGTACACTTCCGCGGAAAGGCTGTCCGGTGTTGCGCAGGAATTCTTGCACCCGGCCGGGTGCTGTCTCTCGGCGTGCAACTGAACGTCTCTGCCGATAAGCAGGGAGCATTGAAACAATCGGGGAAAAGGGCTCGCAAACGGCGATTGCCAGCTTTGCGAGACACGTGGCGAACAGGCTAAAGGCAGTAAGGCAAGTTGACGGTGGCGGGTGACCCTTTTCATTACGCGGTTTTTGTGTAGAGAAAAGCTGGTTGAGCGAGATTTATGTGAAGCAACATGACGGCACTGGAAAAGGGTACGCGAAGACTTGAAACGCCTGTACAGAACTCTGCATCTCGCATACCCGAATGTGCTTACCATAGTATGCTACATGTGCACTCATTAGAAATCTTAATACTGATGACACTTTTTTCCTTGCAGATATGGGGGGGGGATGGGGTGGAGGTATGGGGTTTCTTGTTTATGAGAAGAATCTGGTCACCTTGCCTCATGTTCCTTTGAAGCACTTCAATTATGTTGGCATGTACATGTGGGCGTTAAACAGCTGCTGCACAATCATGCGGTCGTCTTTCGACACAGTTTAGGTTTGAAACTACAAGTCTAGCTTTTGCGTGGTTCGTGTCAGTGTGACACAAGGCTAGTCTGTGCAGCTAAGCCATACCGAATCCAGACCATTTTGGAATATGCATGGACGTTTTGGAATCAGTGTTCCGATCTCCAACTCCTGGAGGCAACCGGAGGTCAGTGCTGGTAGCTGAATCACTACAAAAGTAATGTAACGAGAGGCGACTTGCATGCACTGGCATATCCTGCAAACTTTGTGTTTTCACTGGTTATTGCCACACCCTACAAAAAATGTAGGATCTGTTGACCCGTTGGCTACCACACATGACATTTCCCATTCTCTAGATTATTTATTTATTTTTCTGCCTTCTACATGCACTATTCTTCCATCCACTATTGTGTAATCCAATTTTCTACAACCTTAAATTGTTGAAGTGGCGAAGAATTTATTATTTTTTTTTGCCATAAGAAGCGTGTTTCAATTCAGAACCATAGCTGTCAGATTCATTTTTCTGTGGGCTAGTTTGAAACATTTGGGCAGATGGAAAGCTGTACTGTGCCTTTCACTAATACTTATCCCTCTTCTCTCCATACTTTCACTTTTGTTTTATTTTTGTACTGAACTTCAAAACGGCATAATGGATATATTATGGGGCTCACAGGAATGATCTAACATGGGAAATTCTCATAGCACTGTTTCAATTTGCATTCGTGTTGAATTACATTCACAAGGTTTTTAAAAAAATTAACTATGTAATTTGCCTAGTACTATTGACATTTCTAGCTCATCCTGTCTATGTTTGCTGTTGTGCCATCTACGAATAACTTCTCAATCCAAGAGCGCTTTCTGCCCACTGAATCGGTGGCTTCAGCACCATCGCCCTTTTTTTTGCACCCTACACTTTGCTGGTTTTGGCATCCAGTGGGTTAATAAATGTTAATCTCAGATGCTACGTACGTACCACTTACATGGAAGTGCCTAAGAGACCTTACTTGTGCAACAACATGCTGCACCAGAACGGTATGGGTAATGTTTGGTCAAGGGTTGCCTCTGGAGGCAATGTTATGACAGGTTCATCAGGGTCATGAAAGAGGAAGGCTTGTCAAAACAATGGTCAAAAATGTCAAAACAATGAGGGTTGTGAGAGAAGGCTTTTTAAAACAATGGATCCACTGAATTAAATTTCTTGTTTCAAGTTATCTCAGTGAATTCATCATCCTGTGAACATTAACTTGTTAAAAAAGGCTGCTATGACTGCATGCGAAAAACTTATGCAAAAATAATTCTAGAACCGTTACGTCTAACTTCGTTCTATTCTGCTTTACAAAATTTCATTGCATTAATGGAGAGGAGTTGTCCAATTGGTCAGCAGAACTATTGTATTGCAGAGAGATGGCTACTGAAAGCGGGGTGAGATGGCTCGACGTCGATGCTTGTATGCTTTTTGCGGTGTGTCATGAATGGGCTCTCTTGCCTCTGCCATGCCAGCCAGTCGGATCGCGCTTCCGGAGGGTCTCCGAGGGGATGGAAGTCGGACTGCAGCCTCCAAGTTGTACAAAGGCAAGTGTCATACACACTACTTGAACACTTTGGACAGTCTCAACATTCAAGTAGCGCAACTAAAATTCACTGTCTAGACACCAAGTGACGGATATCAACAAACAAGGCAGTCACAATATGCGTTTCGCAGACTAGCTATGTCCCGTCACAACAATATTCATAGTAGAATTAACCTACATGCATGGTGTTCTGGTAGTTCACTACCCTATTGTTTGAGAAACAAACCGTGAAAAGTCGTCTTCTTTCTTTTTTTTTCATTTGAACAGCACCACTCATTGGAATTTGAGTGAAAAGCAAACACCGTCCATCAACTGTTTCCCAGTTTTACTAAGCTGCTGGACTTGCAAGGTGGGGTTGCTTATTTACAAATGATGGCTCGCGACAAATGTCAAGCGCTTTTTAGTTCCAGCAAGACAGCACACATTTTAGCAACATCACAGTTCGGGAACGTAGGCAGTGAACACTATGTACAAACGAGGGGCTACGACAAAGCGATTTCAAAGAGGAGTTCATTCGAAGATGTTGAGGTTCGGCTACAACAGCGTTGCAACACTCAAAATGCGATTCGAGCACCCGTGAGACATCACGAGGCGTGTGTGCTCGGCGCGCACAACTCACGACACTTCAAACACCAGTGTTGCATAGCAATGAGCTGTGTGAAAAGGTCTTTGTAAAGCGAACTTTCATGCATTGTGCTTGGCATCTAGATTTTTCTTTCGCATCAACTCTGTCCGTTTGGAGCGAAAGAGTAATAGGTTAAAGGTATAGCCAATGCAAGGAGTGCCAGAAAGAAATTGTCATCAAAAGCACTGAGGTGTCATTTTGTTTGGCGAAATCGGCATACCCTGAAAGGTTTACTTCGCAATGTACTTCATAGTTCAGAAGTACCCGCTGATCTGAACAGTATTTGGCATGCTGCTTGGCCTTGTAAGTTTTCAATTTATATGTAAATTACCTAATTTTTTACTTAATTTATTGTGAATTTAAGATATGCTGCTTGGATTATTGTATATTTTGCTTATATCAATGTTTCCTAATCTAAGACATCATTGACATCATTTTCTGCGAATATAAGAAAATTGCCCAATCAATAATGTGTTCATGTTCAACACTGAAATCACCGTGTTCATTGATGGGCTCAGCTGCAATACTAGGGTTGCTGTGTACGAAGGATGGCTTGTCTGCAAGGTGGTGCCAGTGATCCAGCCAAAGGCAAGTGTTGTTTATGTGCCGTGTCTTGTAGAAAATTCGCAAGTTATGCACGATCATTTACATAATCATGACAAATGACACTGCAGGCATGCTGGAGCCCCCAATTACTCCTCGGAGGGCACCGTATTCAGATATTTTAAGCGTAACCATGTGGCCTCCAAGAATGTTGAATTGACAGGAGTCGACATTACTTAAGTTCAATGCCTTCAATATGGGATGTGCCCAACTGTAATGGCGAGAATTGACCCTGAATCTGACAGCAGATGACCAGAGACTGGTTTCAACACTTGAGGCATCATGATGAAGTCATTAGTAGAAATGCTAGTGGCCTAAAAGAAAAAAAAAATAAAACATCGCATGCAACACTGCTGTGACATAAAAACATGGCAGAGCTGGTAACGATGTGTAGTTGTGAGTCTAGTGTGAGGCACATGGGGAATCCTAGTATCACGTAGCGAAAGCCTGAAAAGAGGTGGCCACTTGGTGTTCGGTGAGGCTCGTGGTCTCTCTTAAGCCCTCCTAAATACACCAACTGAAATGTGCCAACAAGGATGGAGTGGTCCCTAGGAGGTGTCATTTGCGCCAACAATTGGAGGAGGCTACGTTGGCCAAAGGCGTATCTTTACATGGACTGTGTCGAGGGTCGATGTTTCGACGACGGAAAACAAGTTGCATGAGAGAATTTTTCGCCGAACGACAACAGGCAACACTTTTTAACTAGGTAACAATCCGTGTAAGTCTTTATGAAGCTCCCTAGCTTTCAGGTCTGGAAGAATGCACTGTTAGGCATGAATTCAAACGCGAAAGAGTTAAAACAACTAGCACGCATAATTTTTCTGGGATTGCGGGATGCCTTTAAATTTCGCTACAGAGCTATTCCACGTTGAAAGTCCACGCAATAGTAGACAGCTGAAGTCCTGACAAGCCTTTGTTCTCGTTCGAGCTTCAATTTTTATAACTTGGTATAATTTGGTTTTGCAGCTGACATATAATCTGTGTTTAATACCTACGTCTCTTGCTCAGTGTCTATTATGCGAAAGAGAACGCTCCTTGCACTATTTCGTTAAGTATATATTCATGCAGAAATATCGTGGAAATGGCCTCTGTGTGGGGGAAAGCCCTGCATGTTTCCTGAGGTCTAGTAGGCTTCTATCTACGTGGATGAAAGCCTCCCTTGCCGTAACATTCTGGCAGCTAAAACCGCACTTCTGCACCACATTTCAATGAGTGACGGAGACTGTGAGCGATTGGTTTATGGCGTGCTCTAAGGTGGGTGGCGTCGAGACGAGCTACAATCGCGTGAGCGCACAAAACTGTCTTGGCGTTTTCGCCCAGCGACTCAAAACAGTGCTGCGGAAAGCACCAAAGTTGAACACGCCACATAAAACAGTACGCATTCGCTAAGCACTCTTCGAAGGACAGGCCTACGCACACATGCTTGGAAAGAAAGAAAAAAAAATATATGTATGTATTCAATGAGGAAAGAAGGTGAGGTAGCGGAAGTGCGCGCTCCGTTTGCGTCGGAAGTTCAGGAAAACCGCTTTCCTTCGCAATGCTTTGCAGGGGTCAAGCCTGGTTGATAACCCCGAACGCACACATCTGCGATTTCAGGATTTGCGGTGCGAGATGAAAGTAATGAAAATGCAGCGCCACCGACCTGCTGCTGCAGGCGACGGTGGCAGCGTCAAATCTAGGAAGGTAACGACACGCAAGCGACGACAGCGCATAAAGTGCACGGCACACGTGCTTTGCTGGGAACCAGCAGGGTATGGCAGGTCGGGTAGGGCGTGACAACGGCGATAAACATGCACATATAAAAAGGGTGTTGGTATCCTTCCTGGGAATTCCTGTCGTCCCCGCATTAGAAAGCGACTTCGCTCTGTGGCCTTGGCTTGCATACAATATTCTGCGTTTCGAGTCACCCGACACACCACTGTGGGATTTCGGCAAATGCTCGTTTGTAACAACAATGGCACGAATGAAACTAGAAGATGCGCTTCCCTTTTTTTTTCTTTCGTCATCGCTATTGAGACACCTATAAGCCTTTCTTCAAGAGGAAGGGGGTAAGGGGGAGATTTCACAGTGTTTTGTTTTACAGCAACGAAAAAAAAGAAAACTTGTTTGCTTCGTGAATTCTTAACGTCATCAGCATTTTATATCAAACTTCTAGAGACTCCACTGCACCTCTTGCTTCGATGAGGCGGGGGAAAGCTCTTCTGTGTGTTTTAATGTACATGATGAGACGATCTAGCGTATAGTTTCGTTTTTGACTCGGTGGTTGGATGTCTCCTCCACTTGCCTGCGCGCATGGTTACATGGTGACGATTACGAAAGTGTCGGTGTGACATCTGAGCTGCAGTGCATGCGGGTACGTGTGAGGTAAAATTATGCAATGTGGCGTGCGGTGTATTCTTTTTTTTTTTCTATTGTGGTGACTGCGAACTTGGGTTCAAAGTTGGGGGGGAAAAAAAGAAATGCTGCTCTATAGAGTCTAGAAACTGAGGGACCCAGATAATGGCACCTTGGTTTCACGGAGATGCAACGATGGCTGGCCTTCTAAAGCTAATTTTCATCTTGACGTCTCTAAACTCACTAAGTTGCTGTTCTGGAAAAGAATGGTATTGGCACAGTCGTCCGTGAAATTGTCTCACGCCGTTGCCTCCTTATTTTTTGTTTTTGTTTTACAGCTGACAAAAGCATGACAGAACGTTAATTTTGGAAATGGCTAAACGAAATGGTCAACAGCTAGCACTCTATGACTTGAGAAAATTTCTGTGCTGAATGTATTGCCTACTTGCAAACTCAAGCCAGGCATTTCTATTTAAGAAAGAAAAAGAAAAACTGCAGATGTGCAAGTTGGCAAGGCTTTTGCAAGATCGCGAGATCGAGAGCTTAACGTTTGATCACAAAGCTTCGCTGGAGTTCCCAACTTTTCTTTGAGCTTTGGGCGAGTTGCCCATTCGAAGGGATGGCAATGTACTGCGAAATTTCTCGCAGAGAGATGTGTTTGCCTTTCGATCAATTGTTGAGTGCACGACTGGATACTGTTACACATCATGTTAAAACCATATACAACATCATTAGAGTCAGCTGAGCCTTTCGGTTTTCTATCTGCGATTTGTGCTGCTCAATAGAGCTACAATACTCGACAGAAGTGTCGAACTTTCATAAAAGACATCAGTGGCTTGCTGCCGCTATTCTGTTAAGCACATCAAATGAGGCAGCGACTCCTTCTCAACAAACTTCAGGCTAATGAAAGTTGTTGTTTCTTCAACATTCATTTGCTTGGTTCCGAGCGATCCCAAGCTTTCTGGACCCGAGCGGGTTTCAAGCAAACGTGGCAGCGGAACATTTGAAACAAGATACACTCTTGTCTACTGTACACGGGACGTTCTACCACTCGCACTTGCAGGCGCACTACCCACTTGGTTGTGCACTGTTTTCTATTGGGGCAAACGAATGGCAACATTTAGAAAACTGCCTAATGCTTCCACACCCTTGATTAATAGACATAATTCATCGTCTTGCTAGAAACAAAAGTGTTACTAGTTGATTCCACACTACTTTTAAAGAAAACTGAAAGACGATAAAGATATATATATGATATATATATGTATTGTATACATAAATGATTGCTGGTGAGTGTGACATGGGGCAAGGTCAGCACCATTCTCGGGACTACTAGCCTTACCTTATATTGGCAGAAACAGACATCTTTTTTTTTTTAAAAAAGTGAGTCGACTCACTTTTAGCATGGCACATGTGGGCTGGTTTTAACAACACGGGTTGTGAAAAAATACAAGCAGCTTCAACACGCAGGGTTTTAAATCTAAGCACACCTGCTTTCTCTTCCTCCTATTCGCTCTACGGTCTTATCTCTGTTCACTATTTTGTCATTCCTCTACTGAAAAAGTCGGAAACCAAGATGCCAAAGGATATTTCTTCAGGCTTTGTTCTAAGGAGCAAGAAGAGACTGCCGAGCCCGCACGAAGGTCGACTGAAGGCCTACTAGTTATTTAGCGTTCGTAGTTGAGCAGACGAAACACGTACGAGCTTGTAGAACAGTTTCTAAGACGTGCAGCTGAGTGGTGCAGCAAGGGTCGACAACGTAAATGGTTAAGTCCGGTGCGACATAAGCTACAACAAAAAGCTTCGTTTCCGGCAAACTGTCTACCCCGCACGAATGCTGCGCAAATGAGTTGTCGGCCAGTTAAAGATGGAGTGAATGAAAATGTCACGCCTCTGGCATTTCTTTGTATGAAAAACTGCTGGAACAGTTGGGCCTTCGGACAAATGCATTTTGACACGGGTGAGGTGGCTGCGAAAAAAACAAACAAAAAGTCACTCATGGGCATGAAACTAGCGCAGCTGCAATTGTGACTACGACAGTACAGAAAGAAGAAAAGATCTCAGTAGAAAACGAAAAATTCCACTCATTGGCTGGACAGTAATATCAGTGTCACCACGGCTCACAATAAATGACAGTCGAACAAACAGACAAACAATAGCAATTGAAATGAGGCTAACGTGGCAGGCACCTCGCATGACTCATTCATACGACTCTTGCGTGTAGCTTGGTCAGCAAACGGTTCCGAAGGAGCAAAAACACTATGGAAACAAAGAATGTTGGTAGTGGAAACACAAGCTCGGCTTAACAAGAGTTTTCCCTCGAGGTCCTTCTTTCTTTGCACAGAGCACAGAGCCAAGCTTGTGGCGCGACTCGGTGTGCCCCGCACTTTTTTCACCCGCGCAGAAGAGAAAGTGTCATAGTTGACAAACAATAGAGTTCTGAGAGCACTGTGCTGGGGACAGTAAATGTGCTGTGAAGGTGTCTTCCTGCAGAAACATGGCTGCCTGCGGCGTTTCTCTATGCCACTCGACCAGACGGCGCAGCAGGTACTTCACACGGCACGAGATATAATTACAACTGGTTCTCTAAGAGGTGAGACTACGCCACGGTCACGACGCGGAGTCACTTCCGGGCTGGATTGCAACAAGGTCGCCATTGTTCTCCTCGGCGACAACAACAACGGGCGCCACAGTCGCCGTGTCGCCGGCAGCGAGCGCTGTAGCCGTTGGCGTTCTGGCGTCAGCATCTTCGTTTTCATCATCGGTCGCGTCCGCACCCACCGTCGTCCGCAGCGACGACGGAAGCTCGGCCGAAAACGTCCAGGATGTCGACTCGCTTGAATCGGGGTCGACAGCCTTGCTCAGTTCGGGGTAATTCGGGAGCAGGTAGCGAAGCTTTGACGTGGATGTGCTCGTTGTTTCCGACTCTTCATCGGACGGGGATGTGCTTCCGCTGGTGAACGTGGACGCCTGCGGAGGCTCGCCGGACTGTTCGGAGTCAAAAGAGTCGCCTGACCCCGGCTCCACGGACTCCTCGCGGGGATCTTTTTCGTCAGTCGACGTGGTCATTTGCAGGTTTTCAGATTTGAGGGCGCACGAGCGTAAGTCTGCTACGGCCACTTTGTCGGTCGATCCGTTGTCGGGTGATGCGCGTCGAAGGTTGATGTCGGGTGGAGGAGCCGTTGTTTCAACACAGGCAAGCTCAACGTTGATGACATCGATGTCTTCAGGTCCGACTCCCGAGGATGATGACGATGAGAAGCTCTTTTCTCTGGACATGACGTCCGGTTGGTCTGGAATGCAGATGTTGATTACCGGTAGCGTTGATGACGTGGACTCGCCGCCTGAAATGGTGATAACATACACGCTGTAATCTCTGCTTAGCAGGTCGATGAGTATCTAAACAATGAAACTGAATTGCACACAACTGGTTGCAAGTGTTTCAAATCTGTCTTTTAAACAAAAATATGAGTAAAAAAATTTGCTTACCGGATTTTTAAAGCTTACACAAGTGAATGCGTTCAGTTTGTAATTAGGTCATAGCTATACATTGATATAACGAACTTAATATGCCATTCTCAATGTAATAATGTATATCATTATATGTCTATAGATTATCGTGTATCGCGGATTTAAGTAGGACATTTTAGGGCTAAGTAAAGCCCATATTTTCGTTTCCACTGTCTTCAGCTCGGGTTATATTGGCATAATTAGGACTAGAACGAGTAGATCGGAGCCAACATTGTCTTGGAAGACCCCATTAGAGTCGTGGTAATTAGAGACGCGTGTCAGTCCTTATACTTTGTTGCGGTTGATTCTGCAAGTACTGTTCTTCAGGAATGTTTGCATGATCTGATACTTTGTGGTTCTGCTACGTGGCAGAATTGTGCACTACCACGTGAGCCTATCTCAATAAAGTAGTCTCTGGTGCTTTTCTCCCTTCCTAATTAATGTCGAGGGTCTTAAAATAGAAAGAAATATTAAAAAAATAAACTATGACTTTTGGAAATCACAATATGAGGCATTTATTGTTCAAATAATGCTCAGGAAAAATAGGTTTCAGCAAAATACTTTTTAGTTCTCTTACAGGCTCAATAGACTAAATTACAAATGTTTAAGGAGGTCGGTCGGCAAGCTTCTATTGCTCGCGGCTTGTCCAGCGGCGGCTGCCGGTGTGTACACAAGTATGCCCAGTGCATTCTTCTCCGGTTGCCACTTAAGATTGCTGCTTTGGTTCCTTCTCCGGTGATTCCGGCAATGCTCACTAGATGGCGTGCCCCACCCAAGACGTCGGTTTTTGATGGCCGGCGCGCTCGCCTCCTCGCCACTACGTTCACTCCGTTCTCGTCACTTCGTTGGCACAGCAGCACATGACAAGTTCCTACGTTAAATGTTATGCACAGGTACCGATACCCTCCCTCACCCCCCTCACCTGCCTGCTAGAACGCCTGATAGGCACATGTCTGCCATTTATGAACATGAGCCATTTGACATGTGGCCGTGGCCAGTATGGCATAAAGGGGCAGGTGGTTAACGTGCCGATCGACGTAGCCAACACGGTGCAGTGCCGGCCGCCGAACGGGCCCAACAACGCTGCCTTCGACGCACACATCATGCGCCATCTCATTAAAAGCATTCCTACAAAAATGCTCTTGCCAAGAAACACCCCATACACCTCTGAGCATGCTCATCTAACATCACTCACTTTTCGGAAATGGCGGTGAATATTTTTTAAACTTGAAACGCAATTTTCTTGGCTTTGTTACTTTGTGAAATTAGTCTGACTAGCAGAAGCATTGAGGAAGTTTCTGTGATCGTATTTAAGCAAACTTGGTATCGTTTTTTTTTTTTCGCAGCACTTGAAGTGCAGGTGAAAGTTTTTTTTCTCAACTTGGATGGAATTGTAATTACTTGAAAAATACGAGCTATACAGTTACTGGAAGCTCAGGTATCCCTTCCAAGTTTTTGTTTCTCGTTTCTGGTGGATGATTGTTGGTTAAAGAATCGGCTGTTTTGACATCTAGTTTGGTTTAGCCTAGCGGGTAGAACTTTTGAAAGAACCACATAGTTTTGAAAACTGTCTTTTTGTATTGTAATGTAATTCAGCATAATGGTGTTTCGTTATTTCTTTATTTCTTGTTATTTATTTTTTCTTCCTCTTTAAATAAAATATTCGAAACTTATTGGCAGAGTTGGAATCTTCATTCAATGATGCAAATGCACGGTTATCCTCATTAAGATAGGATAATAAATAAGCATATAAGACTGTCAGGGCACAAAAGAGCTAGATGATTTTCCTAATATTAGTAAACCACTCATTCTCAATACCAAAAGCACCTTATCTGCAGCGAGAAGATGCTTAGTAAGCAAAAAAATGCATAATAATAAAATGTAGGTGGTGACACCGCCTTGAAGTTTCCACACCATTCGTTGTGACATCACATATTCTGAGAACGCCTTCTAAAAGCTACAGCGTTTCTAATCGGTAAGAATGAATCACAGTGTCCTCTGAAGGGGCCATTGACTCAGCATACCAAGATTGAGGAAATTTTGTGGAGCCAATGGCCCCAAAACATATTTTAAGTACACTCTAAAACCAGAGACTTCACGTGTAAAGATTTCGGCACGAGATTTAAAAATGAAGCATTTACATGAATAAATCAATGAAGGTGGCAACGACATATAGAGTTCTCAGAGTACAATGTATCAATAAGTCAAATAATTATTGCTCTTTAGTGTCCCTTAAGATGTCATGAACTAATACTGTTACTTTTTATAATGACAAATTACGGCATTCAAAAATTACAGTACAAACGTTAGCACTTTCGAAAGGTGCTATAAAAAATATTGTGAAGAAACCAGTAGCAGACGTGTTGTTCATTCCATGAAAATCTGACTTACCAGCATCATCACACTGGAAATAAAATGTGAAATTGGCTGGCAATGATGACATCTTCACAATGGGCCTGTGGAGCTCTAACTTTGCCTCCATTGCCAGCTTGTTCTGAAACGAAAGCCCAGCATTTCGTTAGCAAACTTCACTTTACGTAACTGAATTTATATAGCTAGGAAGAAACTTTATCCAAAGATAAATGCCTGGGTAGTAAAGAACATTAGTTAATATGCAACAAGACTGAAATAAAAGGACAAGAACGCATTGTGGAACGAGGTTGTCAACATAAAATAAGAAAGATAAGTAACAATAAAGCAAGAATGTAAAACAATAAGCAGATGCAAGGAATTACAATAACAAAGCGAAAATTGGCACAGAATCTCTGTGCTTCACTGCAAATGCTCTCGAAGTCCTCTGTGTGGAGGCGTTACGTGAGATAATATTGCCATCTGGCTGTGCCGTTGGGAGACAAGCTTTTGCGGTACCCAGGGCCGCTGCCAGGTGGCAGCACCATATCGCTGGCAGAGCGCTTTTTCATGCATAGCATTGCACTTTCAGCACAACATCATAAACACTTAAGATCTTTAGAATTGCGTAGCTATATATTTTGTAGTAAAGGAACACACCACTTAATGCTTATGTGTTGATTCTGCACCTCTGGTATGCGTAATATTTGCTTTTTGATTGACTGCGTTCATAAGTATGAACGCAGCCACCAGTTCAAGATGGCTGGATGTTCAGAAAGGGCCTAAACTTTGGCCAGGTGGCTGCATCGTGTGACAGACCGACAGACAGATAAAAATTGCTGCGTTCAAGTATACCAAGAAAAACTTGTCTTCAAAAATTGACCCGCCATCCTGCCCAGTGAACGTGAATGTCCAGCAAAGTTGTATCAAGTGCTACACATGCATGGAGCGTGGGGTACGCTTTATTATTACTTTTGAGTAATAGCAGTGAATTCATGAACGTAGACTAATAATAACACAGCGGTAATCACTGGGTGCCCGTGCCACGGACTTATTCAGATTCCACGGTAGTGGGGCATGCATTTAGTGTAGTATATGTAGCATTGCTAATCGCTACACAATGGCACTAGGGCTGGATTTGAACTACCTTTAATAGTAGATGTGATTCGTCTTTATTTAGTCACTTGCCTTGGCCTCAAGCAGTTGCCTCTCCTCCTGTTCCATCTCCTCTTGGAGTTCAGCTTCCATGTCCAGCTCGTCGTCGGCCTGCTTGTGCGACTCTTCCAGGTGCTTCATAAGCACCGCCACCACCACGTTGACCAGCACAAACTGTGCCATCAACACAAACACCACGAAGTACAGTGGTGCAATCACCGCCGACACGCAGCAGTTGCGGACGCAGTCACTCCTCGAGTCACACTCGTCGCGTAACGTATCCTGCGCACGGGGAGAAAGACAGAGGTTGCACATTACGGTGCATGCCATTGTTTTGGGATGCGACAATTAGTGCATCTGTTGGCCAAAGTTCGCGCCGAGTAATAGCAATTTGGGCGAGGTGGTTTACGTTCATAGTGAAGACGAGCAGTGCGGAGCACAGAAGTGCAGAAGTACATGTATGGGAAGGATCTCACTTTTGCTTCCTCAGTTCATCCTTGCCTGTGCTTCTGTACTTTGCGATGCTCATCTTAACTCTAAGAGTTGTGCAACTGAATTCTTGGCATTGCCAGCTTTGAAAGGCCAACTGGCCTATGATAGGAGAATCTAGGTTAGTGCATCAACGAGCATATATACTCATTTTCATTAATTCTGTAAGAATGGCTTTGGCATTCATTGTAAAACTTATGGCTTCGTTTAATTTACAACCACCATTAAAGGGTCCTTGCATCACTTTTCTGCATGATAAAAAAAACAACGCTGCCCATCAATAGTTGAGGTTCTTTATAACACACGGCAGGCACGTAGCCACAAATTTTTTTCGGGGAGGGGGTGTGTGCACTGTTCGAAGGCCTTGAAAAACACCTATTTTAGTCATTCATTTGTGATAATACACCCTCTTTGCATCCCAACTAAGGGAGGGGGGAGCTCGGGCCCCTACAGCACCTCCTCTGGCTACGGGCCTGACACGCGGGCCAAACAATATAGCGCAGCACGTGGCCTGGAATTTACAATTCTGACTCAACTAGTAATTGTTCTCTCTTCTCTCTACAAATGATGTCTTATACACAAATTACTGGGCCATATACCGAAAGTTCGCTGCCTGCAGCTGATTTGAGCATCGTGAGCTGCGTAGTTATCGTATCCGCCGCTTGATGCCGCCACGTCCCTGTGTGCCTGTCCCAATGGAATCCAGGACTAATGATCCCACTCACCAATCTTCTCGCGGCACAAAAAATCAAATAAACTTTTTATTCTCTCTCTCCTCCAATGACAGGGAACGTAAGCCGCGCAATCGAAGAAAAGAAAGAAGAAAAGGGCTCAATGTCAAGACGCGCGCTGACAAAGAAGGGAGGGATGCATTCTCATGCTCTTTTCTCTAGCCCCTCCCCATGTAGCTTTCAGTGCACTCTCTTGACGAATGAAGAAAGCACGACTAGCCTCCTTAACTCCGCTCGTACTTGACTGATTAAAAAAAAATGTGGCAGCCGATTCATAAGACTATAGGGTCGCTTTAGCCACTCGACGATTACTTGGAGATTTATTTCAGGGCAACTTAAAGAAAAAAAATTCATGGCAGTGCATCGTTCGCGATCCTGCTGTGGTCGCTGCATACGACACTGATACACCACAGGCATGCCCATGGGAGTTGGGGCACTCCTTCTCGCTAGACATGTAAAGGGGGCGCCGAATCTGCTCAGTTGCCTCTGTCCTATCCTCGTTCGAAAAGCAGGGTTGTGACCACGCTAGTTTTTAATGATAATAACGGCCAAGGATTCTCATGTCGCGCATCAAAAGCTGTTTACGCCACTCGGTTGCCCCCGGAAACTAAAAAGTTGATTCAGAGGGGAGCGGAGTTGCATGCTTTGGAAAAAACCCCCTACATGGTTTGTTGGAGCTGCATGTTTTTGTGTTTGGCGTACAAACATCACGGACGCACGAAAAGACACGCTCTTCTTTTGTGGGTCTCTGTAAAGTTTCTGAGCCAAACATGAGGGAGTTTCGTCACGCATAGGCGATGGGAAGCGACCACACATGCACTGAGACATACCTTCATGATGCCGTTCCAGTTGTCTCCTGTAGCGACTCTGAACAAGGTGAGGAAGGCCATTCCAAAGTTGTGGAAATGTGCATGCTCTCCGAGGCCTTGACATGGGTGGCTTTCGTCGCACTCTGGAAAAAAAACAAAAGACAAGCCGAGCCAAGCATAGGTGGGCTCAGATACAGATAGACTCTATGGCAGCATGTCAAGTATCGTCGATTGGAACAACGACAACAAGATTGGTAGTACTGACCGAGCCTGCCAAAGAGCTCGACGCCAAGTGCAGCGAAGATGAAGAAAAGAAGGAAGAAGAGCAGGCCGAGGTTTCCGACCTGCGGAAGCGCTTGCATCACGGTATCCAGCAAAGCACGGATTCCCTTGGCCATCTTCAATAGTTTCAGCACTGCGTGAGGAGGACGGCAGTTGTTGGTGAAAAGCCTCCGCTAAGCTCCGAGATATTCTTCTTTCTGCTATCTTTAACTTGCTTAATCTGCCACTAGTCTGCACCTAGCATACTGCATTCTGCTCCAGCGTTTAATTTCATTTTCACTAAACAAAACAGGGGCAGAACATGTCTTGACCAACTTTTAGCATTGCAGTGGTTGGTGAGGGTCCCTGAAGCTCTCGCAAACCTTGTCCTTGCCACTGTTTACTAGTGTGGTCTGCTGAGTAGTCTATGTCTTACATATCGTACTGTGCTACAGCGTTTAACTTCCTTTTAAATAAATTAGTTGTGGGGCACGTTGTTGACTACCTTGTAACATGACAGTAGTTGGCGAACACCTCTGGAGCTTTGACAAACCTTGTCCACGACATTAGGGTGATGGGATGAAAAGCTTTTTGTTTCAGTTTTAGTTTCGTTGCATCGCAAAAAGTTCCATTTCGTTTCTGTTCCAGCACGAAAAAAAAAAGAATGTTCTATAACGATACATAACAGTTGAATTTGTATGCAAGATTCGATGTTAAACTAACGATTGCACTCCGCTTAAAAAAGTGGGACAGGGATGAAACATACTCTTCAGAGGAGCGGAAGTAACTGTAAAATAGATTGCTACCAAGTAGCGCAAACGAGTACTCTTTGAAGTCTATTATTTGTTTTTTCATAAGTCGGCAACGAATATTTATGCGAGCAAGCTCAATGCTTTGCGTCAAGGGAGTGAGCATCATCTCAGAAGCAGGGCATCGTTGATTGTTTCTTTGATATGTGAGACCACTGTTCTGATAAGATAAACCAGCGCCGAGGCTGCCCTCTTTACACTGGCCAGCGTGACAGGCACACGAGAGTCCACTTGCGCTACAGTAATCATTTCTTGTGGCCCCTGTTTTCATTTCTCGCACAATTTCACGGCATCTTCATTTAGGAATTCCTGCCTAGAAGATGCGCTATTACTGCATTCTGAGGTTCGCATTATTGATTTATAGTTTCGGATTACCAAGTTTTCTAATGAGCCAAGAAACGATAGAGAAAAAAAAAATCGGTTTCACTCTTCAATGAAATAATAGGTAAAGTTTTGGTTACATTTTTCTACCGGTCAAAAATATAGTTGTTGTTTGTCGTTTTTAGCATTCAGTTTTCATTCCGTTCAGACACACTGCCTGATGTGATTTACTTGTATGGCCTACCACTAGTCCACACTTTAATTAATGTAGTGTTTTCTGCTCCAGAGTTTAACTTCCTTCCCAGTAAAGTATTTGGCAATAGAACCTGCCACCTTTATCACCTTGTAGCTTGGCAGTGGTTGTTGAGGGCCTATGGAGTTCTGACAAGTCTTGTCTGTGTCATCTGTGGCTCCTCTATTGGATACCCTAGTCGGCTGTATCAAGTTACGTAATTCCTTTTAAGTAAGCTACTGAGTCGTTGTACATGTAGCCCTGACCACATCCTAACGTGATATAGATAAATGAACATGGCACGCCATAATGGATGCTTAGATCATGATATGGAGAGATGACACTAGAAAAACTCAGCGGCTCCTGCTGTCACCCTGCTTGTCTAGTTTGTTTTCCTCGGGTTATGTCACTAGTCCTAACGATTTAACCTGGATGTCTAGTAATCAGTTAAAAACATAAGTCTTGTTGACTTATGGCTATTACAGCAGACTTCTAACTTAGGTAAATTTGATAATTTGGTGTAATTAATTCAGGGCATTGTGTGGAGAAGTTAAGACAAATGTGCAGATGATGGCAGACAACGTGTCAGCACTTTTTTGTCATATCCTAGCTTTGGCTGCTTTGTCTGGTGTTTTCCATGCCGTGCTGCGAATCACACGAGGGAGTCGTATTATGTTTGCTTAACAAAAAAGTTAATCCAAACGCAAGCTTGGGTTAAATTTGAATATGAAGTTAAAAAATATGGTAGGGCATGTTAGTTTGCATACGTGCAAGAAATGTGGTTATCAACTCGCACCTGACCAACACTCTAATGCGATGGCTACTTGTGCTCGCATAATTACACTTGTGCAGGCCGATCAAAGCGTAACTGCAAACGAAGCACAATAAAGTTGCAGTAATGATGATTGCAGTGATGAGGGTGATGATGGTGGCTGTCTTAGAGAAAACTAGACGGTGCGACTTTAAAAAATTGCAAGCATCACTGTGTAAACTTGCCTCGGGCGATGCGAAGTACACGCATGACACGTATTATGGTTGGGTTTATAGGAATCAGGTCCGACTTCATCTCCTCCAAGACAATCCCCATGATGGACAGGATGACGATCAAAATGTCCAGTTGGTTCCATCTGTGGAACAATGACAACGTGTGTGGTTGTTGAACATCGACCGAGTTGGTATGATAGGCAGCAATGACGGCATCGAGTTCATTGAATTACTGATCATTAACATACCGTCGAACCTGCGTATAAAGAATTATCGTGCATATAGAACAGTTGAAATAATAGTACCAACTGGGCTTAATGTCTCAAAACCATTATGCGATTATATGAGGGACGCCGTTGTGGAGGGATCCTGTAATTGTAATTTTGACTAGCTGGTGTTTTTTAATGTGCACTGACACCGCGCAGTACAAGGGCCGGCTTTCGCCTCCAACGAAATGTGACTGCCGGCCGAGATTAAATCTGCGACCTCCGAGTCAGCATCTGAGCGCCGTAACCGCTACACAACCACTGCAGACTATGGAGCAGCTTTGAAAACTCCTTGAATATATTTATGATATGTGAGATATTTTGTATATTGAATTACTTATACATAGAATTCTTTGTGTGATTCCCTTCAGATACTATATACTGGGGTTCGACGGCAGTACAGTATTAATTGAATTGGTGGGTCTCCAGGTCCAAGAGCTGTTGGCCACCTCCTCATTAATTGTTAAGTGGCAAGAAAATTGCAGGGGCAACGAGTGATAATAAAGTTACGTTTAAAATGCTGCGAAAATGAAAAAAAAGATGTCTCCAAAAAACTGGGCATGAGCATAAGTGAAATTTTGCTGTAGAAATTTTGCAAGTCATTGTTGTTTGGGCTGTTATTAAACACTGACTGAAAAAATCAATTATAAAAATCAGCTATGGTAAAGCTGTCAGTCACTAATTAATGATTCAAAACAAGACAATGTGCCGAATCTGAGCTTTTATCACTTTGAGACAAGTCTTAAACCAGTCACCAGACAAGTGATTTGAGACAAGTGATAAATTGCACCTTTTGTGCAGTTATTTGTGCTGGTTTTGTGCTGTTTATCGGCAAAGTATGTCGAATCCCATGTGCCTAATAAGTGATGGATATTTTTTTTTATGAAAAATATCCATCAATTACGAAAATTATCCAGCACTAAACTTTAGGAACACACAGAAATACACTGCACTCCAGCTATGTTCATTTAAACAGACACATGGCATACACTCGGCAAGCAAGAAGATACTTGGTGCACGCCCAATATGTGTCCAACTTGTTTCGCGTATTGGACATATCAGCATGTGTAAGAGTTAAGCTTACAATTATCCACAGAAAAGGGGTACTTGTGACAAAAAAAAAAGACCTCGGAAGTGACACGAAAGTGTGTAAAGGTATGTAGGAAACAGAACGCCACTCAAAAACCGCTGTACAAGCTGGTGGAACGTAATGTAGCATCTACTCACTTGTCAGCGAGGTATCGAGGGATGCCAAGTGCAACCACTTTCATAGAAAGTTCCAGTAGGAAAACGGCGGTGAAAAAATAGTTGAAGATCTTCAAGGCATACTCCAATTCCTGCATTGTTTAGGAAATGAAAGCAAAATACATGTGAATTTGCACTTGCAGCATCACTTGCCGTGGTGAACAAGAATCTTGGCCAGAGGCACGAGCTTGAATAGCTATACAGTTTCTTGTACTGAGTGTATTTCTACATTTGATAGATGACTTAGAGTAGTAAACACACACATACCATTTGCAAGTGATACGAGGTTTCACTAACAGGTACATGGTTTTCACTTCAGGTGCACGGTTTTAGTTGCATAATATATTAACTAAAATAATGCTCGAGCTTATCCTATCAGTAGCACTCGGAAACTTAATTTGCCAACACACGTTTATGTTGGCAGCTCCTTGCATGGGCTCATAGTTTGATAATTTATTTCAAAGCATGAATTAATTCTTATATAATTAAAAATATATTTATTTAAACGAAATGATTGAGACTGTAAGGTTTGTGCGTCCCCTAGTGATTTTTCTGGATAAATGCCATGGTCTCCCCTTTTCAATAGAGTTGTAAATTCTAGAATTTCTGTTAGAGGGAATGGTCGCTGGTCTCATGAAATAACAATGGTTAGTTAACAAAACCCAGTGCAAAAGGGTACCTCTCTGCAATTTACAGCGAAAATGTGGCCGACTTGCACTAATGGGGCAAGGCTGGACTAAGAGTGGAGCTTGTGGTCGACCTAGCTTTTGTCGACTACCGTAAGCTCGACTAAGTCATTGCTAGGTTTGTCTAAGTATTGCGAAGATTGGTAATGTGGTGCGTAGAATATTACTGCTTGTTGAAATGTCGTGGCTACTTGATGGGAACAATTAATTAGCATGTTATTAACTCAGTCTTAATTACTACCATATTGACATGAATGAAATTGACATGTTTTAATGAACTAAACTATAATGAACAATTATTCTTAATTAGCATGGGCTTGGGAAAATTAAGAAGAGGACGCTGGGAGTCACACCATTTGAGCAATGTGCTAGAAGGCAGAGGCCAATCATGATAGTTTTTTGTTCACTATGCACGACCTTACTTCAAGCTTACATGGCCTCACTATTAAAAATTTGTCTAGCAACTCGCTGCGCTGGAATAGGTGGGGATACGGGTGGTATAGTGCATCACATGCTCACCAGGGGCATGCGGTAGAACTCCATGGCCATGGTGACCACATTAAGTCCAATGACGGCAGCGATGGCGAGGTCAAAGTACTTGCTGGTGACGATATTGTGGGTGAATAGGCGCGGGCGGGAATAGCCCGCATAGTAGGGCGTCTCGCGCATGCGACGCCGCTTCTTCTCCAGCTTGCGAGCCCTCTTTGCGGCGCGCAGGGCCCGCTCCTCGCGCTCTTGCTCTTCACGGCAACGGTGGAAGTTCTCCACCACAACGCCCACAAACATGTTCAGCACGAAGAAGGCCACCAGGAGAAGGAACGAGATGAAGTACAGCAGCCGCCACTCGTTGTAGTTCTCGACGGGCTGCGAAGACACATAGAACGCGGTGATTTGAGCAGGTCAATGATAATATCTTGAAGTGGCTCTACCACACTTTTTGAGCACCGTCAGAAAACACTGCCGATTGGTAGTCGAGGCTTCTGAGTACATGCGAGCTAAACATTATGGTGCAGCACGTGGCCTGTAGTTTACAAGTAATTCCTCAAGCCAGCTGGAACTTGCTCCGTCGTCTTTCTACAAACGACACCATGTACCAAAACGAGCCGGCCATGTACCCAATTTTACGGCCTTTGGTTGATTTGAACAGTGTTATCACCGCGGCTGCCACAAGAGGCCGCCATGTGCCCGCATGCACATTTGCGATCACACTGAAAGTAAGCCGCGCATTTGAGAAAAAGAAAGAAAAAGTTGCTCACGGACTTATGACACACGCTTGACGTAACTTCTTTCCCGTGCGTTATCTCCCTGCTTGGTTTCTAGCTTGCTTGTCGACATGATAGAAAACTGAAACGTCTTGTAATTTTTGTACAAAGCAGCATGCTATACTCTGCACATCGGTATGCCACATGCACTCACCTGTATGCCTTCTCCGACGGCGTCCAGTCCTGAGTACATGATGTTTACCCAACCGTCTTTTGAGGACAGGACAAACAAGGCCATCAGCGCCTGCAGCAAGGAAATGACATATTCCAGCAAAAAAACTATTTACTAAACATTTTGTTCCCATGTAGGCTACAGTTGCACATTTTGCAGAGATGCACCGAAATCGCCCCTTTGACCTACATAAAGATTCTCCCTTTTACAGATTGTTTTTTTTTTTTTTTGTAAATTCTAAGCTTGGTGTCTTTTCTTTTCGTAGGTGATGGTACAGCCTGAATTGGCCCCAAATATTAACAGTAAATACAACCGATACTTGTTATGCTTTAGACTAATTAAGTGCTCAGCTTCTTTTATCATGTTTTTTTATATCAGTGGATTGCTTTCACCTTGTGGCCGGCAGCATTGTCTTTTAGCCTCATTTACTGACTTGCGGGATAGACTGTTGGTTCCATGCATACACAGACAACCTGTGCCGTACTCAATTCAGAACCCTTAGTTGTCTTTGCGAACTAGCATTTGTAGTTAAGGGACATATGCGTTATAGTTGCACAGATCTTTAGTACCACAAGTAACTGGACATCTGAGCTCAGGTTGTTTCTTGTTGGATGATACAGAACGATTAAATTAGGCCTGTTACGAAGGAGCAGGAGGTAGAAGCAAGGGAGGAAAGGTCATTTAGACTCGCATCTGGTTTGCTACCAATCTCTGTGTGAAAGGAATGAAGAGATCAAAAGAAAAAGAAGGGGTAGGAATGTATTGTCAAAGTGAAGATCATGCACTTGTCCATTGTGCCTGTCCCTAATCAGTAAACCTTTTATGAAATTTTAGCAAGAACCGTAAAGCATGTGAAAATTTGTGAAAAAAAATTTAAAGGTTGCCAGGATTACAACGCAGGTCATTTATTATATTAAAGGACTTTTGAACCGCCCAGAGGTGGACATTTAGTGACTGTGTTGAAGTTGTGTGATACAGTCTTTAACAAACACGCGACCGCGAGAATTTTTAGAAACGGTGCCGTACAATAGTGGAGTTATTTGCGTTTGACAATTCAAGAGCATTCCTCACTCGTATCGCTCTTTACTTCGCTAAGTGCCGTTCATCGCCTCACGTCACCTCCTAGCCAAGTGCTCCTCCTCCCCTTGTGAGAAGAAGGAGCGGTGAGCAGACAGACAGGCTCTTTTTGTGAATCACATGACCAGACATGAGTGGTGATGTCACGGCAAATGCTGGGGATACCGGAAGGTCCAGTGGGGACCAGAAATTGTGATTACTGATAAGAAATTGTGGTGCAACCATGGCTTATAGCGCTACTGCGTTTGACATTGTTCATCGTGACGTTATTCTAAACTTGATGCACATGCTTACTTGCTATGATAAAAAAATATTCGGAGGTGGTTTACGAGCCCATCTTAGTGTCTAGTCAGTGAACTTCATTCAATAGGCACAAATATTTCTGGCACTAACGTTACTTTTACAATGCTTATATGGTTCAGCGTGGAATGCACAATAAAGACAAAAAAAATGCCACTTTACATATTCACGGAGGTAGAAGAAGAATTGAAGGGAACGTGCGATTGAGTGATACTGACTAGAATGACATGTAGACAGAATGAATTTGGCGAAGGTGGCATGCATGGTAGCTGCGAGTGTACAAATAGAGCCATGCAGAGCCTTGAAACAAACCTGGCCTAGATGATCAAAGTTGTATTTTCTGTTTGTCCACGCCATACCCCTCTCCAGGCAGTCTTCTTTCGTGCGCACGCCTTTCACGTCTGGCCCTTCGCAGAAGTAAAAAGAGCCCTTGAACAGCTGCAAATGAAGAAAGTACCTTCAGATGGCTGCAAAGGTATGTATTTTGTTCCACTAGCCGTAAGGCTCACTATTAATAGTTCTTTGGTTATACGTGGGTACTAGCACAAACATCGAGGTGGTGAGTGCACTGTCAGACTGTACTGTGGCCCGGCACAAAAGATCATCTTGGCCACGCTGCATATGTACGCATCACTGCATAACGCAGACTGTATTGCATTACCACACTAAAATACTTCACCTCAGTGCGTGGTTGGCTGCAAAGCAGGACTGCATTGCAAAACTGTGCAAAGAAGCTTCACCATAGTAAAACGTTGCTTCTCTCCTTTACGTGACTGTACCGCGGCACTTCTTCCCAAAATTCAAACAGTTACACGCCGTGGTAAACGACTGACAGCAAAGCTGTAAGCGCATCGGTGTATGCGATTGGCTAGGTAGATCACGTGGTGTCGCAAATCCACAGCTAGATATGAAATACGCGCGCTTAGGTTTGGTTTTGCACAGTGTGATCTTGGGACCTGCAGGCTCAAGCAATGGTGTTTCAGCGAATGCTTTGGGTCGCGCGATTTGCCGCTTGTGCAGCCGGTATCCTAGAAAGTGAGCACTCCTTGTTATCTAAGTGGCCCCCTTACATGCCCACGTGCCTTGCCTTGGCTCAATACAATTAAAGTAATTAATGAAACGGCAAATGGCTTCCATTTGCCTTAATTTATTACACCGAATGTGAGTCTCTAATTAGTATAATTGTTGAAAGTACTAATACTATTCTCGGTAGTTTTCATACCGAAAGCCGTAACCATCGTTTTGTTTTTGTTTTCTTTATTCATAGTCCCTTGGTTCACGTAAATTGTGTGACTACTACTACTACTACTACTACTACTACTACTACTACTACTACTACTACAACGATGACGATGATGATAGCATTAGGTAGACTGAAAGCTTCACTGCAGAACACGACTGTATTTTAGTACTACACGCACTTTCTCAAATATCGACCAAACTTCGCTCAGCAACTAACTTCATTTGTGAAATAGCGGAGCCCCCTGGCGGTCAACTTGGAAGGTTTCTTACGCACCTGGACTCCAAGGATTCCAAAGATGATGAAGAAAGTGCAGCAGATTAGGACAATGTTTCCGATAGGCCTCAGGGAGGACATGAGGGTCTGGACCACCAGCTTGAGTCCAGGTGCACGATTGATAACCCTGAACAGTGTGAACATCAGTAGCACGGATCAGTCACAGATGTTTTCCATAATGCCCATGAAACCTGATGGTTTGGGCTACAGTGCTGCTAACAAAGGACATAAACAGATTGTTGCAGACGCACAAATAGGGCCATTGGTGTCGGCAAAGGAGGGGGGTGTGGGAAAAGAACAGCTGCCTCCTCCACGAAGTTACACCAACACTTGCTCTACCCCTCCTTGCCACCACAATTCATCAGGGCTTTGCACTTCTTGAGACAAAGCCCTGCGTACGGCCGTGAACAGAGCTGAAGATATCACTGTAATCTAACACGTTTAATAGATTAAAAAAAATGATCACAATGATCGGACTAGATTTGTACAAGCTATAGCTGGATGTGATTGCCTGTTATAATTTTTTAAGCACCAACTAGCACGACGTGTGCTACTGCTGGCGATGAATGCCTGCGGCAGCATAGCGTACGGAAGCTCGAAACGATAACCATCACTCGCAATGACTCACCTGAGGGGTCTGAGTGATCGGAGCAGCCTAAAGACGCGAAGGATGCCAAATATGCGGGGGCTTCCGTCGGCAACGAAGGTAAGGAGGAAGTCGACGAGGGAGATGGTGACCAGCACTCCGTCCATCTTGTTCCAGCCGCTCTTGAAGTACGCCTTGTCCCCGTACCAGAGGCCCTTGGCAATCACCTGATTGAAAGCGGTTTTCAAAGTCACAGCGAGGGCCGTTTTATCATAATATTGAAATAAACTGAAAGCTCGAAACTATTCTGCTAAGCGAAGATGGTTGATTAGCAGAGCTAATGGATGCCCTGCCGTCTCTATACTTGTCACATCTTGTTATTAAATAGTAGATGCTAAATGTGGACAGTGTGCATGTTTGGAAAAAATAATTGTAACCCCCTGACTTTTCGCAGTAAAGATAACTTTTATTGGCCAGAACACTGAGATTAACTTGAAGGATGACGTGATAGGTCCTCACGCTCAAGTAGTATCCGAGGTTTTGCGTAAACTTGCGGTATTCAAAAGAACTAGCGTGCTCTGCGCTGGGTTTCTACGTGAACTTGCGGTATTCGAAAGATAACTTACGGGCTCGCTCTGTCAGTCAAGACAGATGAAGGTGTCGACTAAGGTGCTGTCATTATTTATTAAATCTGGCAATAATAATGAAACTATTTTCACTTGTTTCTGCGTGCATTGGATTTTATATCCCGTGCGATTATATTAAACGATGTCTTGAGAGCTAACATCTGTAAAACAGTTGAAGTTCCTAATTGAGGAGTACTGCGAGACTGAAAAGGTTGTTACTATGTTCATTTAGTGCAATAAACAAACAAAACAAAACAACAGGCACATATGGCCAAAGCAGAGAAGAACGACCTCTCAGTCTGGGGTGCTATTGTATACACTGTCGAATTCCGCCATATTATCAGATTCGCCATCTTGCGATTTCTGACTAGCTCAGTAGGCTGCTGCAGTCTCTCTGATTGGACTAAAATACTACCATTACAAAATATTACAATATGGCGGCGTCGGCCTGGGGTGCTGCCAACAATTTCGAACTCTGCCATGCTGCCTACTCCAATTGGTTCAAGGGGCTGCTACATCCTCCCTGATTTGCTTAAAAAATGCCGACATTGCAGAATTCTACAATATGGCTGAATTTTACAATGTCCAGCCTCTGGTATGCTTTGACAATCGACGACCCTTGATGCTTACCTTGACGAGCATCTCGAATGCAAATACCACCGTGAAGGTGTAGTTTGCAGCTATGAGCAGTTCCCGCTCAAGGCTACGCGGGGGAATGTTTGGCCGCTCCATGGCTAGCGTGATGCAGTTCAGTGCGATGAACGCCAGAACTGTGTAGTCGAACCAGCGGCCGTCTGTCAGCCGATTGCAGTACATGCGCACTCTGCAAGGGTGAGGTGGTACAGTCGAACAGATTGATAATGACATGCCTGATAATGCAATAACGAATCTGGCATCATTCTGTGTTGTAAATGGTTGGTTTTCCTATTGCGTGTTCCTTAACTGTTTTTGCTACTTCGAGTTGACGTAAAGAATAAACAAAACACTGTCTTCCAACTTCATATTCAAGGTGGATGAAAACGCGGCTAGGTTGAATGAGCAGGAGAAAGTGCCTAAGACTGGCTAACATCTTCAAATACTGGCATGCTTTTATTACTCCATATTTGCAACAGCTAGTCCATCATCCAAGTGAACTACTATCAGTGGGGGAGACTGATGGCACACCAATGCATATGTTTCTGTACCATGCATGAAAAAAGTAATTGCGGCTGCTGAGATGTGGCAGCCTTATAGTTATTGGAAATAAGGTTACGCTCAAACATGCTCACGTAAAACTTGGCATCATACAAAAAAATCAACACTGAAGAACTCTTCGTCAGTCTGTAACTCCTTACAAAAAACGCTTGCATTGTTGAATGCTACGTTTTCCTGGATTGCACGTTCACTTTGTATGCGATTCTTTACGAGACATAACAGCGAGGTACTACTGCGCACTATGACCAGCATATATACTCGGCACATTTGGGACTTCTACTCACTTGCTGTCTGGTGGGAATAAAAACAGTGCATAATCCTGACGATTTTCGAAGCACCACCTCCACCACTGCGGTTCGAAATACCAGCAAAGCTGCAAGAAAAAAAAGAAAGAATAGGGCAATGAGTTCATCGTTCGCGGTCCACTGCGCGATTTAAACGGGCCATCCTCAGGTTTGTTGGGAGAACACATCAAGCAGAAACACTGCTATGAACATATCATCCAAATCTTGCAGTCGGGTGCGGCAAGTAAAGCTTACAAGTGGGGCACGAAGGTTAACACGGTTTCAAAATATGGAACGGATATCACAGACTTTAGAAAACAAGCTAGCTTTATTTTAAAGAGATGTTAGTTTCGGTTTGCGGTATTGGGGCATGCACTGTCGCGGTAGACAGGAGAGTGATAACGCGCAGTACTGACCTTAGGCACGTTCACGACACGCTCGCCATAAACCAGAGTTGCCGCAGCTGCGGCAGTGTTGTCCACTTTGACGTGAAGCACAGCGCCACCTTCGGTGCTGATCTTCTTGCCACTGGGTTTGACGAGGAGCGAGTTGTGCCTCGTCTCGGCATAGGAGATTCCCGAGCCACTTAGTGAGTTGTGTCGACTCGCCAGGACACTGGCACCGCCTCCTCCTGGAATGGTGTTTGGCATCGGTTGAAGCGACTCGCCGGGACACTATATAGCATTACTTGAACTCTTGCTTCATATCAGTGGGACCTGGTGATTGGCCAGGACACTAGGATTGCTTTCTCCTGAAATCATTTTTTAGCATTTTTGATGGAGGGGAAAAATGCTTGATGCCCATGTAGGTGCACGTTGAAGAAACCCAGGTGGTCAGAATTTCCGGAGCCCTCCACTAAACATGCCATAGGAATGCGAAGGCATCTCTCGTAATAATATAATGATTTTGGTATGTTAAACCCTAACAATTATTATTATAAATCATAGCGAGTTCTGGTGACTCGTCTAGGTATTAGCAAGGCTGCCTCCTGGGTTCATGTTTCTTATTAGTGAGTGGTGACGATTTGCCAGGACACTAGCACTGCTTTCTCCTCAAGTGACGTTTATGTTGGAGAGTTGTAACTCACGAAGACGATAGTAGCCAGGAATGGTGTTTGACTCTAATGAGTTGTCACGGCTCGCAAAGACACTGGTAAATCACTAGCGATTTGCTTTTATGCAAGTTCTCTGTGGAAGGGACAGCAATGGCTGTTGGCTGATTTTACATTTTTCTTAGGTAATAACCCACTATATCTTGGTCATAAGCGCTGCCCCTGATGTCACATAATACTCGCACCCACCTCCGTGTTGGCTTTGTATGGAGTTCTGCCGACTAAGCGGCATGTACGTTGGTCGCCCACCGGAGTCACTAGTGATGACTGTGGGCGACTGGGCCAGATAAGCTGCCGCCTCTGCTCGCTCGTCAACGGGCTCGTGGTTCCGAGGCGAGGCGCTCGTGCACCCGGCAGCTGCCATGTTGTTCTGCTTGGCGAGCACATTGGGACGCTTGGGTAAACTAGTTGGCCGGTGGGCACTGTTGTTGCCGTGGTGGTGGTGGTTGTTGCTGTTGTTGTGGTTGTTGTTGCTGTTGACGGAGGCTCCATTCGCGCCGTTGTTGAGACCCGGAAGCACACCCCCATTGCAGTGACTGTGGTCAGAGGCCGATGCGCTTCCGCCACCGCTGTACCAACGAAAAGAAACGGTGAGTTGGCATACAACTCCAGCGTATTCGTAGTCAAGAATGCGGTACAAGGTAACACTCTGGCTCATGTACCTTCCAATCGGTTATTCAGGAGTGTGTTTCGAATGGTAAATTATGGGATTGAGCTGAAAATAAATCGAATCCAACTATAGGTGAATTATATACACTCAAAGTACTCTAGCAAAATGAACCATATCGAATATTGAATATGTAGTTATTGAATGATGAACACACGTTTTCGCAGCTGTTACAATGTTGTTTTTGTGTTCTCGCTAGGTTTACAGCCGGGCTGTGAAGAAACCGTCAGTTATTTGACAATCGATGTTAATCTCTTGGTCTCTTGGTACAGGTTAGCACAGAGAGAAGCAAGCCTCTCAGTTTTTTGTTCTGATGTGTTTGTGGTACATTTGGTTGAATGTTAGCACAGGCAGAACGTTCATGGACTTGTATTCTACGATTTCGAAAGAAGACGTGGGGACAACTTTACAAGAACGAGCAAGTTAGAAACTTTTCTGATTCATATGACAAAGTTTCGTGTAACGCTTGGTATAAGCGAGCTCATTGACTGCCCCGGACCTGAGCCGGACCATCGCATCGTGGGTCCAAAACTGGTCCCCATCGATGAGGCTTCTGACGATAGAGTACCATTGATTTTCGTTAGATTGGGCAATACCTAGTAGCGAGTGGAATCACCGGAACATCTTGTAATTAATTTTTGAAGACGCATTTATGCTTATCAGTCCATTTATCCGGCCCCTTAAGGGCTTGGCCTTTAATTTGTAAAAAAAAAAATATATAGCAACTGAAATTTTATATCAGTCTCTCTTCAAGCGACATTTCCTGTTCTATGATTATTTCATTACCATGGAATGTGTTCGTGTAAGCAGCATGTTTTAACTCACTTCTGACCGACGATCACATTGTTGAGCGGTGGCGAGACCACCAGCAGGCAGGAGGAGTCCTGGGAACTGGTCAGCTCGGCGTCCAGGAGAGAGTCCGTGTCGGAGTCGGCCGAGGACCGACGCCGACCGTTCGCTGACCCGCTTCCCTGGCGGTGGAGTTTGATTAGAGGGCTGCCAGGAGGCGACGGTGGAGGGGAGCCCTACGGGTAAGGGAGGACCGGGAAGGGGTGCGTGTGCACAACGCCAGTGGCGCCGCTCAGTCGTCCGCACTCTTCTTTCCAAAGAAGGTGTTTGCTTTTGTTTGTGTTTGTGTGTTTTGTTTGTTCTTCCGGGCCTCTTTGTTGCACCTTAGCAGGACCGGTTGCTGGACTAGCAGTTGCACATTTTCGACCGGGGAATATGATTATAGCACAAACCAGACTGTCAGAGAAGCAGTGCTGAAATAAACCCTGGCAGTATTTGGAGGTCCATTTTATTGTCTGCTTGCTGAAACTCGTAGATTTTCATAATATTATGCTAGAGAGAAATCTAATGCTAGTGTTCATAAAAGCTGCGACACATGACACTTCAAGGTGCTAGTCTTTACACTGTCAATAAAACCCGCCATGCTGTAATATTTGGTAGTTGTGACATTTTAAGTCAATTAAAGAGGGCGTAGGAGCCATTGGCCAAACAGGGTTGAAAAATGGCAGAGTTTGACCACATAGGCGAATTTCACCATGTCCATAATAGCACCCAAAGCCAGTGTGGGAATGACTCAGCTTCTTTCCTTCAGCTCCATGTTGCCTGCCGCCACTTCGTCTCGAGAGGAAGTTTAGCAAAAGTTCAGCTGTCCCACTTCACCACTTTGACCATATTTGACTCACCAATTCAAATCGACTTGTGGGGTTCGTAACGAGGCTTTCTTTTGTCCGAAACAAAAGCCGAAGCTCAACAGTAAGTGAAGCCGCAAGTGCGTTCGTGGCCACAAGCCCAAAGACTAGGCAAGTCCACGTACTACCCATCGTTTTCCTGCGGACACTGTCAAACGTCGAAATGGCAGCATTTTAAGCGAATCAGAGATGTCGCAGCACCCTTGTGGGCCAAAATTTACCAATTTTGACAACATGGCTGAATATCACAGAGTTCCAAATAGCACCCATGGTAGCTGAACAAGAGTAGCGCCGCAGTTTCTTTTGGTAAATATTACAATAAACCACAATTTTAGGGAAGAAAAAATATTTAAGAGAGGGAATTTCACAACTTGCAGCCACCAGATAAAGTTACAAGCTCGCAGAGGAACTTTCTTGCTGGCGGTGCCTAGCAGACGAGCAGGAAATTGCCGGCGTTTAGGAATGCAAAGACAAGTAGTTGCATGTGTTGCTCCTGTTGGGTTGCGTTCGTTGGATACGGAGCAAGATGCACCGCGGCCTCAGAGAAGCAGCCATTCTGACGCTATTTTTGTGGCATTATCTAGCAGCCTGCGCTGACTGGAGTTTCACCTCCTATACAATCTTGCTTCGTGGTCGGTCCGCAATCCCTTCCAGTTTTCCAAATGGTCATTGACAAATTCTAACAAAGAAGTACTTGATCGGAAAACTTCAAAAAAATTGAGTGGCACACTTTTGATGTGCCATGTAATTAGGACAGTAACTGCATCATAATATTGCTTTCTGATGTGCATATTGTGCCTGGAGTAGCATGTAGATGATTATTAAAATGCAACTGGTCCTAAAATGGCCTGGATCTACATTCCGTAAACATGCGATAATCGTGGTCTCAATTAGTCGCGCTCGAAATGTTGTCGCACTTAACTTTGCAATCTCAGCGTCCGAACTGTTGATTCGGACTTAGCCATTTTCACTAATGCTCGGGCACTCTGCCATTCATGGTTTAAAGATAATCGACTCTCAAGAAAGTGATAATACCAGATGATCTTTTCGTGCTTTCTCGGAGTTAGCCTGGTTTGCGCTACTGCATGGTAATCATCACACACGCCTGAGGCATGTGTGGTGGTTCCCACATTCAAAGTACCAAGAAACCTGTGGGGGCAGATGAGGAAAGATGATAGGTCTTCAAGCGTTGCGATGCCTCGCTCTACTTGAGCGCACCAATGTGGCATGAACTAAGAAGCTCACTGGAGCATAATGGGTTTCAAAGCATCTACTTGACTACTAAGTGTCGTTACTTGTGTTAGTTGCACCTTGAGAAACAGGTGAAACAATCTAAAAACGCGTTGTCATGGCTGTGAGCTTTGGCACATTCTGTCTGACTATGACATTCAAGGCCTTGTAAATTGCAACTGAGCATTACTAATACAATAACCTAGTAAAAAACAAATCATAATGCCAAACTCAAGCTGTATCTCCATAAGCACGTACCGAGCTACTCCTGTCATAGCGGGTATGCATTTCGTGAATAAGCACATTACTATGTCTATAAACACAACCAAACCTACATTGCACTAAGAAACACGTTTAACAAATGTGTTATCTCATTTTTGTGCTGGGTTTTTGGCCTGGATTTTATCTTATTCAGAAATTTAACTAACCAAAGGTTGCTTAGAAGGACTGATCTTAGATTGTCAACCAACTTTAGCTACAGTTCTACATTGAAGTGAAGCGGCTCATATCTTTCATACGAATTTTCTTATTGAACTCGTATACTTGCATGGGATCAAGGAGAGGTCGAATGCTATGGTTGTGGTTTCTGTGCTTAAAGACCGACTTGTCAGCCAATGAATATTGAGCGACACTGGAATTCTTAGATTATGTATATACACAACTTCCTACTAAGTCACTATGTACGTTACACTATAATGGATATCAAGACGTAAGTTCTTTCATGGTTGTAGCGGTTTTAAATTTAAGTAACAGTGATTTCCACATTGCTTGTTTTCTATGCTCTGTGTCAAAGCAATCATTGATGACCAATCTGCATGCCCTATGCTGAATTTTAAACATTAAGATGCAGATTTTGTTTCTGTTAATCCGTCACAGTCAAGTTCTGATCTAGTTAACAACATCAGGTACTATTGATATTTGTGCGAGTACCTTTTAGCGAACTCATGGTGGGTTATCGAAAGCTGCATGCAGTGTCCCTATTATCATTAAAATTGCAGTTTCGTTCTATGTGAATGCATTACAGAACTATAGAATGCCACATGAAAAGCACAGACAGACAATGCCAAAGCTGCAGAATTTGCTGCAGAGCTGGCAGCCCAGCCTAAAAAAAAAACAGCAAGATCATAAGGAAAGAAAAGTATGCAGCAAATATAGAAAATTCGGAGCGAGAAAAAAATGCAATGCGAAGAGATGGAGAGCGCCATGCACATGACCATGGACGTGAACTGCCTGTCTTGTCGATGCACTCACAGATTCACATAGGCCTGGAGGAGCACAAGGATGCCTCCAGGCACACATCCAAAAATACGGAGAGAGAAAACACACCACACCTAAAAATGCACACAGCAAAAAAAGGGACAAGCAGAAAAATGAAAGCAGCAGACAAAATGCAAAAGCTTTCACGCCTACACGTTGACGAACAACGTTGGCGTTGAGGTGTTCTCGTGAGGAAGGTTATGCCGGTGACGCTTGTGTGAACGATGTGCAGAGCATCTGAGAAGCAGAGTGGCATTAATTCATATGCGGGGCTGCAGTGCATATTCGAAACAAATTTTTTTGATGTTTGGAAGCTCGCAACAAGTGACAAGGTGATATGAGTGCTGATGGCAGGAACTTTTGTCTGGTTTGCGGCACTGTCAGCTTCAGAACTGAATGGGCTGAAACTGCCTGTACGCTGCTCTTTGTTGGTTCTGGGTTGCTGAAGAAACGGTGTCAAGCTCTGCGTTATTATGGCTTGAGTATGTAACTTTCACCAACTACTGCTGGTTCGGCTCGACAGCTTGGACTGGCTACAGAACCTCCATTTTGCTGGCCTAAGGAATAATGACAGGTAAGCAGGAGCTAGAAAAGCCTTGAGCACACACATTTAGCTAATCAATTAACAGCATAACTGCACATAGCATGGTTATTCTTTAGAACGAAAAGGTGATGTGGTACTCAAAAGCTTGTTCGATGAAAGTTAGAGAATGACAATTATTAAATCAATAACTTATTAGAGATTAAGACAGAGAAGTGAATCTTTTCCAATTGTTGGGAAATTTGAAGATTACGATAGTTTTTGGGAAAGACCTAAAGTTGGGAAAGAACTGCTTGAGGAACATGAAGTTCAAGGAGTTTCTGGTTGATGTGTGGGCACTGAGTTAAACATTACTGCCTGACACTGATCACTGTTGCAAAAACGAACGATGTAGGTGCTTCAAGTGACCGTTAAAACGGATCTGTCTCTGTGCGGAAAGGTGGCGCCACTAGCGTTGTGCTTGTGTCCATTACTAAAGAAGAGCTCAAAAGGAAAGAAGACGATGGTAAAAAAAGGGCACACAAGAAACACATGCAAAGGCATACGAAGATAAAACTCGAAAGTTGCACCACAAGACAATTCAAAGACTCATGCTGCACTGCTGTGGTGACCACAAGGGTTACGTGCCTCTCTTGTGGACGATAGACCAGTTGGCTTGTGTCAAGCAGCTTATTACAGAATAACGCTGCGGTAAGCTGATCGAATGATGCAGTTTAGCACCCCGAGTAACACTTGGGCCATGAGCAAGGCCATAGTATGGTGCTGCCAATTTATTTTTGCAACTTACGATTCTTTATTTGGCACTTACATAACATGCTATAATGTTGCTATCTCTGCAAACATGGCGATTATTACAACGCGACTCCACATTCATTGCTCAACTGTCAAAGCATGTGATTTGCGATGTTGTCACAGCTTTATGCACAGAGCCGGAGGCACTGAATCAGAAGGGTACAATAATTGTGTTGTGAACCTGTCAGAAGCGTAGTTAACTTGCACTGTTTGACGCCAGTCAAACTCCACAGTAACCTGTGCTGCCTAATTTTAGTTCTGCTATAATCGTACTGCTGCATCAGGAATAGCGATATTGTTGTCACTGTGCCAAAAACTGTGTATTGCATTGGCAATGGCAGATTACGATTTTAGTTAAAGGCACCTTGCAAGACTTCTTGACCACAGTAAAAAAAAAAAAAACGCTGCTGATGGATAGTCGGATATCCCGAGAATATGCGAGTCACACATTATAAGGCAGCACGCGTAGCATAGAATTTACCCTTTTTTCTCGAAGTCAGCTGAAAATTGCCCCCTTTTCTACTACAAATGATGCCATATACCAAAATTACTACGACATGGACCCAAGTCCACAGCTATCACTGTAGTCGATGTAAAAGCGATATACAAAACAGCTCTAACAGTTGTAACTATATAGCATAGCCCACAAAAATCATCATGTGTGTACCAAAAGTGCAGAGTATACCTCCATATTCGAATTTTCATGCTACATTAGGTACATGAAGTAACAACTGGATGCATTATAAGCCCACTTTAGTGAGGCAAGTGATAGTAGCTGCCTGAACCAAGTGGCGATTCGCCAGCAGCAAGCCATCATTCGATCACAACAGCAGTGCAGCTGCACTTGGTGTCAACAGAACTGCGCAGGCACGGCGTAACCACGCGCTCTCATGCAAGCGCCTGCACAACTTGACACCGGCGGCTTCAATTCAATGTTGTCACCGCTGCAGAAAAAAACAAAACAATTAGCGAAATAAAAAACGCTTACGATTCACACAGCCACTCAGAATCATGCAGCAGCAGAAAATATACACGCAAAGAAAAACGAAAGGCACGCAGCCAAGAATAAATGAGTGCCTTTGCGAACAGGCTATGCATATTCAAATGGCAAGAGCGTGTACTCACATTCGTGTTGTAATGCTAGCCAGACCAGTGTGGTAGGTAACTTTCTTAACAAAGTTCATTATTGCATGTATCGCTATGCTGAGCTTCCATGTAGCGAAGCATAATTGTTTTTATGACCTGAATCTAAGTATTTTTGATGTCCTGAATCGATGGGTCCACATTAATCTCAATTTCACCAACTCGCCAAAGTTGCAAAACCTGCAAGTGTACACATCAGCTATTGCCCTATGTACCAAACTTACTTTACTATGCTTTCCTTAACCATCAAGCAGGATATAATTAAGCTTTTAAAGAATTCAATATTCTTCCTTGCTACCCATTTATGGTATTTGCTAAGAATAACGAATTTTATCTAGAATGCTAGGCAGTGGTGGTTCCTTATTGGTTGATTGTTCGACGAGTCCCCAGTGTCATGCATCACAAGACATATATTCTAACTTTTATGTGTTTATAAGTATAACTTTTGTTCTATGTGAGCAGACAGCCAACCAAGCAATCCCGTTTTGACTGAATGACTCACTGTGACACCGAACGCAGAAAGTAAAAGCGTGGTTATCTAGCTATGCAATTTTCTTAGTGCTTTATGCATCTGTCTTGTTGACATTTCAGCAGGTCATAGCTTGTAGGCTTATTACATTACCCTGCTTGGGAATCGCTGAGTATCATGCTCTGCAAGGTAAAAGGTGTCAGAGGACTTGTAGTCTACCACACCTTTCAGGCTTGTTTATTCCAGTGGCACTTAATCTGGTTTCATGTAATAATCAAAGCTGCAGGTTGGAAAGTCTGTGGGTAATATTGGTGAAATAAAAAAAGATCGCCAGAAAAAAAGAAAACAGGTAAATGGGGACAGTACTGACGTAGGATTTTATCGCAGCTCCAAGTTTCGATCCCAGTCGTATTTACACTAGAGTACAAAGCCTCATACTCAAGCTATCATGCTTTGCAGTCTAGAATGGTTCAAAGGACTTCCACTGCACTACTTCACTGAATATATAGCCCTGACTGTTCTCGGAGTACAAATCTGTATGATGATCGTGCGTTGCAGCCTATCAAACGAATACAGGTAAAATATTTGGGCAAACATTACACTGAAATGTGATGACTTTATTCTGTTGTAGGATCCTTGCAACTGCATCTTTCTAGTGTATGCCCCCAAACAGAACTTCAGAATGCACAGTCAGCCTAAGGCCAGGACAGCCCGCTCCTGCAGTCACATTCTGTGATTTTACTTACCCTGCGTGCAAGGGCTGGGGCTGGGCTGACGCAACTACGCCTCCGACGTCGCCCATTGCTCGGACTCGGTACGTCGTTGCGGATGAAGGCGCTGGCTGGTCGGGGCACGGGCAACAGAGCTGCCCCGCCCCCCGTAGCGGCCGCGCCGCTAGATGAGCTGCGGTTGCTCGGGGAGCGGGAGAGTCTCGGCGTCGCTGAGGGCTGGAAGAATGAAGGAAAACGCGAATTGCTCGTCACTTTTAGGGGCGGAGCTCCTTAGGACGAGTCATGTCTGCTGTCCCTCGGCGTGACACGCTATGGATATCCGTATCCATATGGATACCTACATGGATACATATCCATACAGATAGCCATGTCCATATGGATAGGCATATCGATACCCATATAGATATCCATATGATATGGATATCCATATGGGCATTTCAGCACCATATGCACATTGCAATTATTAAACAACTTTGCATATACTGTACACACGTGTTGTCATGTCTATGCATGATCGACTGGGCAATTTACGGGTGTTAATGATTCCCTGGAGCTTTGTCCAGTAGTCATGATTCACTTCGTGGATATGCTGTTATTTTTTTTACTTTGCTTCTGGTGGAAACGTTTTAGCTGCAAGGCAGTCTTGAATAGCGGTGAAATGTACCAAGAAGCTGGCCATCAATGCTTCTGAAATCATCAAGGTGTTGTCTCTCTGAGTGTTTCTTTCTCGATAAGAACACCCCTTAACACCAGCACATGTCTGCAAGGTGTTGTGGTTAGACAAAACACCACGAGACGTTGGCACTGTCTCTGAAAAACCTGGCATTATACTCCAACTCTATTGCCTATAATATGATAAAAGACACGCTAAAACCCTTCGATCGCAAGATCGATGTGCGAATGAGTATACTGGGAAAAGAGCTTATTCGATTGGAATTACCCGATAGGTGCTTTCTTTACATGTGTTGGTAAGACATTAGCAGGTTGGCTCACAGCGTACGTTGGCGATACAAGACTTTTGGTGTACAGAGCGAAGGCTGTTACGTGGGCGAAGAAAAGGCACGGTCAAATGCAGCTTAGTGTAATAAATATTTGGCAAGAATACTTATATGCACCTCTTGCATTCGGAAGATAATTGCTTAGGGAGGAACTTGAAATGGCTCCACACTGATGCCACCAAACCTGCTTCAAGCTGTATCACTCTATCTAATGATTCAAATGCGCCAACTTCATTACAGCATCATCGATGACAACTATCGTCGTCATGTACTATCACCGAAGCACATCTTTTGCATGACTCGAGCATCATGGCTGGAAAGGCAAGTCTCGCGTCACACTTGCCAAGATTCTTTAGCTTCTGTGGCTATCATAAAAAAAGCATAACCGTGGATGTACAATATTCCTCAAGACATTCTTTATCTACAAGAAAAGAGTAAGATATATTACCGTGATTCGTCCAGATGTTTCAGATGAGTAAGATGACGATGATGGCGGAACATATAATGCAGTAAGTGGTGACAGGCGGTTGCCGAACTCCCGCAAGGGCATCTCCAGGGTTGCACTGGGGGATCCCTGGATGTACGTGATATACGGAGAAAAGAGTGTGTTCATGCATAAAAAATGCACCACAAAAAGGGTAACTTCCTGTTGCAACTTCCTGTTCCTGTTGTTCCAACAGTCTAACAATACATTATCATACGAGAACGAGATATAGAGTGCATATAGACAGTATATTACAGAGTATATAGAAAAGGTGATATGCAAAAATAGAGAAAAGAAATGAGACCTTCCCAATCTCTAGGAAGTAATCATCTCATTCTCGTAAGATAACATTGTACATACCGATATTTTAGCTTGGATTTCGAATATGCCTACTAATGCCTCTTTTAATCCCTGATACACATTCAACGAAGTAATTCCTTTATGCTAGAGATGCACGGAGATCAGTTTTGTAAGAACAATTACACCATTTCCCGCTGAAGGGAACCATGTGTAAGTGCGAAGCAGCGAGTGCTCGTGCTTACACCGGGGGCGGCGTTGATGCCGGTGCTCATTGCGGTGTTGCGTAGGAACCTGGAGAGGCACAAAACACGCAGTGATGAGCCGGTGTTTTCCACTGGGACATGCCAATCACTGCTAATGGGCAATGAGAGACAGCAGACGCCGATTGGACACAGAGACCCGCAGTCCGCTTTTAGTTAACGCGTATGCTGCGAATCTTTTTTGTCCAACAAAGCACAGGAGAAATCTCCCATCGGCATTACCTTGGCGGTGAACATCCAGTGCCTATATATACGAGGTTGCCAGTGAATGGTTGTGCAACGTGAGCAGTTGGTTTTTTTCAATCAAAGAACTTGTAAGCAGACACTGCCTGCATCAGCGTTGCGAGGCGAAAGAGGGAGGGCAGCGTAGGAGAGGAGAGAGAAGATGAGAGGATGCATATGCACAATGGGAGTGTAAAAGCTGCAGGAAAGATACCTAGTAAAAAGGGGGAGGGGAGCGAGCTTGTTGTCGGATTTCAATGGCGGAGTAGGAGCAGCCGACTAACTCTGCGAGCGAGCACTTGTCTCTGGCATTGAGCAATGCCTCCAAATCTGCCATTGGAATACAATCTGCGCTGCCAGAGCAAGTATGAGGAGTAAGGTAGAAGCAAAAGTCCTTGAGTTTCCCGGAATACCTTGCGTGTAGTATTCACTCCCGCTAATTCAACTGTCGTATTCTTCGTATGCAAATGTTGACTGTCGTTCTGCAACGAATCGATTTGTCCAGTCGGCTACATCATCCATCATTACTGCCAAAACGCGACAGCGGTGGCACCCCCCAAGCAGGCGAACATATTAGGGGGATCTCGCACAGCACTCAAACATCCCGTCCCGTCATTGTCACTGGAGTACGGCACGCTGAGTGCTGGTCTACTCCGCCGATTTCGGTGGAGCAACTTTTTTTGCTCCGTGGAGTCGCTCCCGCTCCGAATCTACTCCAACTCTCTCATTACAACGCTTGACTCCCGCCCTCACTCTGCCATTGGAGCACACTTGCCCCAAAAGGAGCGAAAAGCTTGCTCCGGCTCCGCCATTGGAATTCAAGATAGATTAGCGACGCTGCCTGCGTCGGCGTTGCAAGGGGAGAGAGATCGGCATTGCAAGGCGTAGGAGAGAAAAGAGGCGAGGGGATGTGCATGTGCAGTGGAGCGTGGACGCCGCCATATAGCTCATAAGATGCTTCGCATCTAAGGAACTGTGGAGGTGCTCGTATTCCATGACCTGCTGCTTTTACTGCATGGCGCCCTCGAGTCCGGCGGGCTGACTTTATCCCGGAACACCCTCCCAGCTCAGGTCAGCTTAGGCGCCAAAGGGGAGAGATGGTGCTGTGTTCCCATGATGCTACTGGCGCTGGAGTGCCTCGATGCCCTCGTTTGGTTCCACTACCTCCGGCTACGTGCATCGAGGCACTTCAGCGGTGCCTCTATTTGGCAGCGAGTATGCGCGAAACCATGAGGAAAGGCGCTCATGCTGGTTGCGGAGGGTTGGCTGTCTTGCGCGGATTGAGAAGCCCTTTGGGAGGATCTATAGAATTATCCCCATGGTGAATTGGACATCGTCGATTCCGCATCTCATTGCAATCACTGTGTTACACTGGCATTTTTTTATATTGTTCGTGTAATTCGGCTGGCGGGCTTGCCATGTAAAATGTTCATAAAATGTTTCTTTGAAGTAGAACGCCAAGTTGGCTAGTTTGTTGACGTACACACTAGGCAGCAGAAAATATGAGTAGTGTAGTGCAACGTTGTTGGGTTAGCATCGTGTTTTCAGCCTTCCAGAAAAGATGGCACTTGTGCGTTAGGGTAACCAATGTGATTAAATAAGAAACCAAATCATAGTCCTGCTTGCCTTACTGAACACAGGGCAAGGTTATTGAGAGAGCCTGCACAGGTAGTTTAAGATTTTTCTTTTTCTTGTGGGCGAGTGTACATCGGACAGATGAGATCTACTAATATACGGCTGCAAAAGCATCTCAAAAATTCCTCTTCAGATTTCCATATGGCCAAGCATTTAATAATGCAACAAAACAAAAACAGTTGACATCTGCTTGTGAATGAAACTGAGATTCCTTACCGCCATGGGAACCATGCATATAGGATAGACACTACAACCGTTTGTATAAGCGAACCTTCGGTGACATTTGCTTATTGAAAGCTGTGGTTATTACATGCTGCTTTGTGACGTCAGCATATCGGTCTTTCAGAGGACCAATTACCTTGGTTAATCAAGTCGTTCTCTCTTGATTAAAGTGGCCAGTTGGGCTTGTTGGTACATTATTCTGGTACACTACAGAGCAAAGACACACAACTAACGGAACACAATCAGTGCATGCTGTCGTCATTTGTGTTCCGTCAGTTGTATATTTTTTTGCACTGTTGTGCACCAGAATACTGTTCCGTCTATAGATAATTTTTCACCCATTATACATTCAGTTATAAGTTTGTGCACGTCTAATCTTCTTCTGTCTTTTGTCCGAGCATCTTAGCGCAGTTAAAAAGCATTTATGACAAATACCGATTTGTTTGTTTGCACTACTGTGTAGTGTGTTCATTGTTTTAGTGAGAGAAATTCTATGCTATCAATATTTAGCATTTATAATAAAGTGTTGTACCATTGAGTGCATCTTATTTTACCTGGGGAGTGGCTGCCGTTCTTGTGATGATGGGTGGCACACATGGCAAAGGTCCCGGTTCGTCATTTCCGTCTGCCTTGCAACCACATGCTGCCGGCTGGGACAACATCCGCGTCTCTGAAATGCGTGGCACCTGTCAGTTTCATGCTTATGTAACTGGGTCAGGCAAAACTTTTCGATTAGTCGCTTTTGCATAATCCAAGGGCTACAGTGTAAATTCTTAAAATTGGGATAAAATATAGAGAAAGTGACCAGAACAAGGGCCAACTTGAAGGCTTAACCCATTAAGTCACTCCTGGTGTATGAGGTATACTTTAAAACTTATCCCACCGCACCTGCCTCGATGTATAGTGAGAATACGACGGAAACATAGAGAAAGTACGGTGCCATCATTTTGAGAAAATGGTGGTAACACTGTGGGAGTATAGTGAGAACATGGTGGGAACCCACCACATAGCTCCAAAATTTCTTATCATGCTCAACACGTCCACCATGCCCATCATGCCCATTATAGTTCTCAGCATGCCCACCTTAAAACGGCGTATGGGCGGACTTGAATTGGGAAAAACACTGCTGTTAGATTTTGGCGAAGAATGCATACTGAAAGTTGCTTTTGTGTTTCAACGTGCCATTTAAGCCGGCATCATTGTACCGGTGATGTTCTGACCAATGATCATGGGAACGGATGAAAGAAACAAAAGAAAAGAAAGTCAGGCTTCAAAAAAAGTACGGCCCATGTAGTATACCCTTCATGATGTTGTCCTTTGGGTCATCTTCAGCGTCCTGTGAGGCGCACTTTTTATCACCGTCTGCCTCTGTGTCAGCAGTGTCCTTCAAAGCCTCCGTGCTCTTCTTGCGGTCACCCTGCAGCCGAGTAGAGCGACACGTTCAGTTGAGTTGCATAGACAGGGCAATCAGCATGCCTTTCTATGCAGCTTTCACTCACTCCAAACTAGACCTCTCAGTAACGCTTGCTGCAGTATAGCTTGTTTTGCTTGAAGGCGCTGTGCCTGACATGCGCCTTGGTGAAGAATTATTTTCTGAGGCCAAATACTGTCCACTTAAAACCTAGCTTATAAACTGCACATCTTAATGAGCACAAAGTACCAATCACAGAGGACACCGAGCTGAAAAAGAAAATTTGAGGGCTAATTTTCATTCGTTCAACTCAACCTTAATAAAACCACAACAATGAAGTCATGGAATGTACGAGGGGCGGTATTTATAATTTTTCGGCTGCATTGTAGTTATTACCATATGTACAGTACCGCCCACTGCTAAAAAGAACACCCCTATGAGCACCTGTCATATTGCGGGCCTCATTACTGCTAGTAGACATAAAAACATCATTCGTGCACGGCGCTAGTCTATCAAAAGAAGTCAGAATAGTCCACCAGCAGCAGTCTTATGCAAATCTAAGCCAGTGTGCTTTTGCGAGGGAGCGGAATCCGAACATAATGCACACGAAAGTTTTCCCTCTAACTGTGAACCCGTCTGTACTTGAAGACATTAGGGTGGGCGAATACACAACTTCGAACCTGCAACCTTCGAAGGTTGCAGGTTCGGTGCCTGCCGGTGTCAAGTTGTCATTTAATTGACTTTAATTTCTTCAAATATGCTATACACTAATTATACAATACAAATGAAAGGCTACAAATAACTACAAGTAATATGGCTTGGCTTCGTTTTCTCTCAATTTCATTAGGTTTGTCTCAACCACAGAAGAAACACGTAAACAGGGTGGGCCTTTCTTTCTTTAAAGCCTTCTTTTATTCGAGCTTTCTGCTTGTTAAAGGGACGCTAAATGCAAATAACAGTTTATGTCAGAGTGAAAGCCCAGTGTATGACAACGTCCAAAACTGCAATATTATCAACAGCAGTGCCCTACTTAGCGAGAAACTAAGCTAAATGTATTACACTATGTCTGCCACAACTGGGACATTTGAGAGATAATCCTGACAACTAGAGAGCATCCGACTACAATTTATCGCTAGTAATCAAACTAGCTTTCATGCATCAAGAGACTTAATAAGATGCTGCTTGTCCGTTTCTGCTTGACATTGAGAAAAAAAGAACTACCTGGGGTTACAATGAGAAATGGCAGCGACTGGTTCAAAAATTCTCTTTTCGCCTGGTTAAACTGGACAGGTGGTGCCATCTAGCGAGGCCCAGTTGAACCAAGCAGTGCCTGTCATCTCGGAGGCTATGGCAGAAAATTCTTCAATGGCCGTTGTTGCTGCTTCAACTCCCGCTACTTTCGCTCTGTTGCTACTAGTGTTGGCAGCCGTGCAGTAAAGGTAGGCAACCTTGGGCATGGCAACAGTGACGTTAGATGGACCGCTTTCATGCGGGAGACTCTAAGTGCGTTAACGTGATGCGGACTACTAAAACCTGATTTTGTCTCAAGATAAGCACTTTCTTGGTACTAAAGCAGTACTAGAAGGTTTCTGAGCGGCTATTTCAGCTATCAACATTGACTTAATATTTGTCTTTAGTGTCCCTTTAATATGTACAGGCGCGTCTGCCACCAACTATCCCAAAGTTCTGCGTTTACTAGCGTATAAACTTCACAAAGCATGGAAGTAACAAAAAGTAACTTTAGGCCACTTTATTGTAGTCGCGCCGCATAGTCAACAACTCAAAGGACTGTGAGCGGGTCGTGATAACAGTCACTGTAAAAAGATAATGTAATGTCGCAACGTGCTGTCGAGGGCACAATTAACACTTCCAATGTTCTGTTCGATCGAGTGTTATAAAAAATAAAAAATAAAAACCAAATACTTTGCTTTGTAGACTGGAAGTCGACATTGTCATTTTGTGGCAAAAAAAAAAAAAACCCTGCCTTGCTAGTTTCAATACATGTATAGGCCACACAATATGCTATAAATATGACCTGAGAAACTGACATCCAATGTAACAAAATTAAAAGGAGTGACAAGAAATCACCCAGGAAACAATGTCGCTGGAGCCAATCTTATGACAAAGATCTATTTTTTTTTTGTCAGGGCCCTGACGATGATAACACAAGTCTTCCGTAAAGAAGGCAGGTATTACCGAAATGCTATACCTGCATATACGTACCTCCTTCAACACTTGTTAGCAGTTCCATTATTCCCACTTGACACTTAACATCTGGCTCTTTAAGATAACAAATATGACTGGCACAGATACTGTAACAAAAATGACCGCACACCTCTACATCATTTGCTTATTCACACCGTTTTCGCTGTGATACCACGTAAGGGCTCACGAAGTTGACCATCCTCCAACATGCCTGGCATTCTCACTGCTTAACTGTCTTCAAACTTAAAACGCCCCCGTCATCTTTTACAGAACGGGGTAGCAGGCTCCTAACATGGGTTACAGGAGAATGAAAGCTTGATCTTCAATTCACGTCTCTGTGGATCAGACATCGCGCTTTCACTTAAGCGGCCCCGAAACGCTGACACGGGTTCCTAATAGTGAAAGTCTTTTTGTTCATTTTTTTCCCACCGATGGGCTGTATCATTGCCAGCGAATTCGTGATAGAAATTTTACCATAGACTCCAATGGGCGGGAACTTGGTTTACAGTAAAGTGTACGTTTGATTTGACAGGATGACTAATTTCCAATATGGTACACATACTCGCACACATGAGATCTAAATGGCCTACGCTTAGGTACAATGCACCATTTTGTGCTGTACATGCAGTATGCAAAATGGCCCAGGATCGGGATGCACCTCGGCAGAGAATCCTTCGACGAGGATAGCAACGAGAAGATTGAATAGGACATAGTTCCCGAACGTCATGAGCGCCACAAAGTACAGGGCAGCCCAAGGAGAGGTCTTCTCCATGCCGTTGAACAGCACAACGTTCCAGTCCTCCTGAGTCAGGATCTGGCCAGAGATGGAAAAAAAGACTTTTTACTACAGAGTTAGCGGCAGCATGCCGAAACTTCACTCGCAGTAGATGCTACACATACAGGTCTTTCGTAACGACAGCTAAACGGTACATGGAATTTCACGTGCTCTGCAATGCGTAGTACAGCTCAACATAGCTAAGTTTGAAAATTAGTGATCTTTCACTGAAGGAAAACAGTTGACGAAAATGTTGCTACTTATAGGGATCTTCGGTGTTCTTTCATGGAGGGTCACCAACCTATTCGTGATCGTGATACAGCTTCGTGTATTACGATCATGGCTATAGGCTTAACCTATATCTTTCACTGTCCAGTCTCATCGATTTACGGCTGTGTTAATGATCTCGTGTTAAGTCAAACCTTTTTCAAGTGAAACTACATCGAGATGAACGTACACTTGTTACATTTAATAATTGTATTCACGTATCGAGCACCTCCGCACACTGACGACTACCATGGTAAATTAATTTCATTATATCTAATAATTTCAATGCAATGTTAGCTGTATAGTGGTTTGTATAGCTCTTTAAAATTATGACGTTGATGAAGCTGGGCCTCATATAGCATTAAATGTTTGTCTGAATCAAACAGCCTGGATCATCAGCTATTCCTGTTCTGACTACTCACGAAAAGTACTTCATATGAACTTTGCCAAGCTCGTTGTTTACATAATGCACTTCTTCAAATAATAATGGACAAAACTGAAGCAGGAACAAATTCTGTCATGTTTCTTGGACATGTATGCTAAAGGTCCGGGCCTGAAGCATGTGAGACGTTACCTCAAACTTGAGTTTCACACGATGTTATTTTAAAGATGCAATATTTGTGCAATCACTTCGCAGTAAACCATGCAACTACCAAACAAGCACACGCATCAGCGAAAGGTGCACACAAGTGGTATTATTCGACTGCCCACGGTGGGTGACACTCCGCTAAATACTGAGTTAATGCAATGTTATAGGCAGGCATTATAAGTTGTGAGGATATAAGACTCCCACGCATATGCAACATCTCAGTTATGCATTGTGCGGTGATAACTACACTGCAAGATGACCTGACAACTATCACATCTTAGTTACCTTATATGAGCGACACAAGAGGAGACAAATCAGTGCTTAGTGAATTCAGTGACAGACATCAATATCAGTCAAGTGTTCATAAATTTTCAGGCATCAGCCACAACCTAAAAAAACTTGCGTAGAGAACTCAACCTGAGAAAAAGTGTGCAGTTTCAAGCACGAATCAACTGTGTACTTTCGATGTTAAGACTGTGGTTTCTGGTCGGCTGAACAGCAGTACCCGTGAATTGGTGCACGGTTTGGTTAACAGGAAGTACATACAGGCACACAATGCTTAGGCAATTATAGCATTGTACACTATCAAGGGGAACACCTCCGTTGTAAGGCAGTCATAACAACAGCGCTTCCGTTAACTATTGGGGGAGAAATAAAGTGCCTGATGTATGAAATGTTAGGCAGGTAGTTAAGTGTGAATAGTTAGCAGGCCTTCATGTCGTACCTTGGTTTTGACTAACCTAGGAGTAATGACTTAGTGTTCCCTTTAATAGTGGATCATACTGTACAAAGTAATGTTCAGCTAGAGAGATGAGCCTTGCTATTTTCTTTCTTAGACGGCACAGTTATTTAGCAAATAAGTGAAATAAATACAAGCTGTTTCTTTTATTATTGCAGGATCATGCATAGGATGTTTAAGGATATATGTATGAGGCTGTATGTAAGGCTTATACATCGGGAACATTTAAAAGTTGTGATGTTTTCATGTTTGAAATGAACACGATCTTCTAGAACTATAGTCTGTTCATTAACTGATATAAAATGTGTTAGAACGATGAAATTTAGGAAAAGGAATTCGTTTAAGATATATAAAAAGTGTAAGTTATGCTATTTCAGTGATGTTCACTGAATGTGAAACTGAACACGAGTGTGATGACTGGTCAGCTGGTATGAGCCAATACCGTGTTATTATGCTACCATCTATAGCTGCTCTAAGTTGCGTTCTCTACTTAAGTTAATTTGGCTATACCAGTGTGGGCCTCACCTGGAACACGGTGACCGTGGCCCAGAGGAAAGAGTTGAAATGCTTCCGGTCACAGAAGCACTTGACGGCCGGGTTGTACAGGTCGGAGCACGTGCAAAGCGTCGTCTCGTCCGTCCGCACGCAAAACTTACCGCCGAACAAATGCATCCCCAAGCAGCTGCGTGTACAGATGAGGCGCTCAGACCTCTCCGTCGGAACTGCTACTGCCAAAGAGCAGCAGAGTTCCTTTCCTTGCAAAAGCTACTATGTGTGTGTGTGTGTGCGTGCCTAGCTCGTTAAGACACCACCCTCACATACTGTGGCCTACGCCTACCTCTCTGGAACATCTGTTGAAAGTTCAACAGAATCCACATAGCCCAACAGCCCTAACTGCCTGTAACATTCTTAAAGTAGTGCGAAATATTAGAACGTGGGGTGTCGCTGGAGTCGATGTTCTGACAAATGGTCCTGTCTTCGTGAAGGCAGCAATTTGAATGCAGTCGCTGCCTTGCAGAAGACAAAACTACTTGTCTAAGCGTTAACTCCAGCGACACCCTGTGTTAAAGATTTTTCATTGCTTCAATCTTCCATCTTGCCGTAAACTTCTGCCTTATTTGGACTGTAACATTCTTAACAAGATTTTATTGAATATCTTCAGTCATCCATTCCCGACAGCACTGTGGCTCTCCCCTCAACGTCAGCAAATTCTATCATACTGTCGGTTTTTTTCCTAATGGCGGCAGTGGCAGATTTTTGGACGAGTCAGAACGAATCAGCTGGCCAGTATGGCTGGCATGCAATGATGCCCATAATGGTGCCGTGGTAGTGCCTTTCAGCCAATGAAAGTTGCATGTGGAGTGTACCGGGCAGTCTGGAGACTGTTGGGAACGAACAGCCATAGAGGCTCACTAAAAAATGCCCAAAATTCAGGTTTTTCATGGAGTGTTTAGGCTGTAGCTGACGTTTTGCTGTAGTCCTCACTAGTGCCATGAACACTAATGGCTGACTCAGAGAACGAGTTATGATCTGCCACACAGGCAGTGATACCTTGAACCTTGTGTGCTCTGATTTAGTTGTGTTTTATGAAGGCACATTTTGTGCACCGCTAAAAGCTGTCATGGCTTTCAGCTTGATTTTGTATCAGAGAGAGCTTGTGATAGTGGAACACAACTAAAAACTAAGGTCTGTTTCATTGTGGAGGTAGCTTGGTTAAGAAAGTTTTTTTTTGTAGATTGAGTCTAACATTCGATGGTCAGCAATTTGTGTGATAAGGCAGCAGCATGAGCAGAAAGCCATGACAAGCCGTTGGAAGCCACTCACACAAGACAAAAAAAAAGAAGTCGGTTGCACACGAAACACACAGAAAGAGTGGAAAAAAAAAGCCCTGGCTGGCGCCTCCACAAAAGACCACAAGCGGACACACGTCACGAAACCCACCACAGACACGGACCACGAAACGATGCCTCTGCCTTTTTTGTGACAAGGCGTTAGAAGAACAGAAAAAAGTGATCGACCAATGCTGCGACGTGCACGCATTCTCCATCAACTCCACTTTAATGGTTGGAAAGAACAATTCCGCGGAATGTTTGCGGTTACTTGAAATTACGGCTGCAGTGAAAATATGTTGTCTATAACAGCTGACTGCAATGCTATTGGAAGCGGCACCATGCCAATAATATTAATAACTATATCAAGGCATTAGTTTGGAAGAGTATCCATTTATATCCAAATCAAGGTTTTCAGTCCACCACTATACCGCAATGGATTTAGGTTGTCTGTGTTAAGTTACAAAACAGTGATTCGTCAGCAAGTGGTACTCTTACACCTTGTGCCTCATCTATCTTATCTTCGTTTAAGAGATGCAAAGAAAACTTCCTCAACCTGTTGCAAAGTTAGATGTGCTTATATGACGAAGCATAGATGCTAACTATTCCGTAAGGTCGAGATTTCTGCAAAATGATTGCATTTACTCTAGTGTGTTTATTTTTTGGTGAACAATTGATACGCTGCTGACTGGTGTAATGCAACTTCGAGAATTGGCTTGAAAGCCTCGGAGTTAAGAAGGTGAAGCTCACCAATCTAAGTAACGGCAACATTTTTTTTGCTCATTTCTATATTTTAATTGATGGAATTCCTTTGAGCCTGCTATTTTTCGAGGTGGTAGAGTTGATGAAGAAGTACTGCTGGCTTATTATTTTTTTTCTGAGCACAATACATCACCACGTCAATAGACCACCAATGTTTGCACCTTTCCACAACAAGAAGCTGCTGGCTTCAGATTTGAGCGTAATATAAGGTAAACGAAAACGCAAGAGCCGAGTGAATGCCAATAACTTCCACCAATGAAAGAAAGATGAGAATAACGCAAAGAAAGGAAGCGAAAAAAGTAGCGACAGTGAAAGAAATAGAATTGTCAACTGAAAATGAGAGAAGGATGTTGCAGAGAAAGCCAAGGCCAAGCCGGCAGCAAGGTCAAGAGGCGTACGACAACAAACAGGCAGACACGTCTCCAAAGCGGCGGGTGGCTTACAGGCAAGCTGGCACGTTGCCAAGGAAAACAGCCCAACAGACAGGCAACAAACAGGTTGGCATATGCCAAGGCACATACAAACACGTATTGAAGCTTATACAAAGCAGACACACATTCATCCGTGCGAATAAAGAAAGTGTGGTCATTGATAGAATAATGTTGTAGTACTAAAACCTGCAACAGTGGCCTGAGGACTTGAACCACTGGAGACTGCAGCTGTAATTCGACCAACCGATCGTATTCATTCGCAGATGGTGAACGTACATACTTAGAGAAATGAAAAAAAAAATTCTCTTTTCATTCAGTCACTTAGAACAGACCGGTGATGTATCATAAATTGCTCTTAATATTGACACACTTTCAACATTCGAGACTTGCCATAATAGGAATAAAATTCCATTTTCGAGAAGTTGCTTTCCCAATACAGACTGCTTGCCTAATTTTTTTTTCTACTGTCACCAGTTGTTCATGGGTTCATGGTTGCATGAATGACACAATAAGCTTCTCAACATTGAATTTGTATTTATAAATGGGGTTCGTGGTGCAGCTCATGAGTCTAAGTTGTACAAGTTACGAATAAATTTTCTCTTTATTTCGATAAGATCCGTGTTATAATTTTGGCACTAGTTTAGCCAACAGATCGATGTAGTGCCAAACTATATTAGTGAATTTATTTGATAGCTGCTTCAGAACATATGAGATCACATTAGTTGCAAAAGATTAAACGAAGGGTGACAATTATTGATGACAACCTTACTTAAATAGCGTTTACACAAGGGAGGGGTCATGTGTCACTTTACAAGTGAACTGTTGTGGATTATCTTTTGCGAGATTCCTGAAACGTGATTAAAGTGGTCAAAAATTTTATTGCATGACGGTGCACGAAAGTTGTAGAAATATATGTAGTAGTGCACTAAATGCTAGTATAAGATGTACTGCCGAAGACTACGTGAGCAATTAAAGACTCTGCTAGGAGCCGGCTGAGGTGTACCTTGTCTATCTCAAGCTTAACTGTACAAGGGGTCAATGCAAAATTAATGATCTACACTCTTCTGGCGCCGCAGAGCTCTGACAGATTTTCTTTTTACCAAAAGTTACTACTTAAATGAAAGTACCACGATATTGTAACCTAGTGCATTGGTTAGGCAGTAAACTTCTCGAGCCAATTAACCATTTTTGTAATAAATTTATTACAATTATCTGTGCTTGCGTCTCCTCTCCACTCATCCTAAAGAACTTTACAAAAAACTGCATTTTCTGCCAAATGGGAAAGATGGTCCGACATAGTAGACACGTGTACAGATAATTACTGTACACATTGAAGTAAATCTAAAGATACTGTCTCCGTTGTTAGCACTGAAACATCTGCGCTTATATCGATTATTCGATGCGACAGAGGGTCTTTCGTTTTACATGCGGCTTCATTATAACAGTGTTTTCATGAACTGCGGAATGCTAGCCACACTTCTACGTATTGCTCACGGATGAGTGCGTGCTCTCTTTGGTGCTTGTATTGCCTTAGGCCACCTGGTCAAATGCGCCTAATAGATAGATAAACATGTAACAGGCATCCATGATGACACAGAGACATAGACACACATACGTACGTACACAGCAGCCAGAGACAGCCAATACACACACATAGAGAGAAAGTGTGACCACAGGCCTGGAGAAATGCACTCGTAGCTGCGAGGGGTCTGCATTTGGTCTGGCTCAAAACGAAGGGTATCATCACCGCTTTCTTCTACGGGGTAAATGGGACCAACAGGTCGTTGGGATGGTCGCACGCCTACACTGTGCAGTTTGACACAACACCGGTGCGGGTTTTGCCACAGAGGGAACAGATGTGACCCGTCCAAATATTAGGTGACTGCAGTGCTAGGGCCTCCTCGTCCATCGTGTCTTCGAGGGCTTGGTCATGAACTCAGTTTCAAGTGGGCTTTGTTGCCGCGTCAAATTTAGTGCAACAGCCCTTGCATTTTATGTGCGAATCAGCGTGCATGTGAACATCTTGTGGTATATGCTTTGTTTCTTTCTTTTCCTGATGTTCTAATGTTGGCGTACTTCAAGAAATAAGGTTTTCTGTTGATGTGGTACGGTAGGACACCACAATTCAGTGCTGGCTTTGCAATCACGCACACGCTAATGGGAGGGACATAAAAGTTCCGAACAGGTCCGGTGCATGTTTTAGAGCCTGAGATTTAGGTGGCACGTTGCCAATAATGCCACACAAAAGTCTCAAAAATGTAGCATTCCTGACCGTCAGTTATCTGGAGAAATTCACGAAAATTTAAGGACAACAACTGTACGGTCAAAGCATGGTACTTTGGATGCCACAACACTAAGTTTTCCAATGGGTAAATCGTAACTGCTCCTAAGGGTGCTCGTAAGAAAGCTTGCACCAGTCGCTGGAGATGGCAGAGGTTGTTACAACCGCTCCCAATGCAACTGTCACAGAAGTTGTCTTTAGTAGGTCTTTTAGCTCCTGACGGACTTTTAGCGAAATGTATGTAGCCCAATTCTCAAAGGATATCACGCATATGCATGCAGCTCTCAATGCAGGTACTAGCAGCAGCATGTCAGACAATTTTTCGTGAGTCATTCAGCCAGATGTCTTGAACATGTAATTTCTTTATGCATTTTAACGAGTGCCACGTAATATAGCTGAAAGAAGTCGTCTGGAAAGTAGCCTGTGTCGACATTTTAATGAGGTGACTTTTCCATGACATCTTATCAAAATAGTGGCACCTTATCAAATGGATAACGTGGCACCTTACAAAATGTTGGACCTTACCTGTCCAGTGACTTCTGACCGCCTCCTGTATTCGTACCTCGTAATACTTGTTAGGGTGCATTATAGTAATCGCTGCGCCGGTGTGGATCACAGAGACATCAATGCAAAGCTAACGAATGTGTTGTAGGGTACTGTGTGACCCGTAGCCTCGCCACGGAGAACTAGGGTGGGAGCACTGCAGTCACCGTAGACCTACTAGGACGGCTGACCAAGGTATGTACGCAGCTGGTGGCCCCCCACCCTTCCCCACCGCCCCAGCTTACGGCTACAGCTCTGTCGCTCTGGGCGACGGCCTCCACTGCGACCTCTCTGCACTTTCTTTCTCACCACCTAGTCGTCTCCTCTTGGTTGCTCGCCGAGTTCCTTCCACCCAAATGGCAGTCGGCAGTTGTTTAGGCAGGCATGAGTAAAAAAAAATCAAGAAGAAAAGCAAAAGCAGAAGAATGATGCTTTTACGGGTGTACCTGGAAAACGGTAACTAGTGCCCAGAGGAGGGAGTCAAAGTTCTTGCGATCGCACTGCACGGTCCCGTCAGGTTCCTTGACACAGAATTTGCAGCCGAAAAGGTTCATGCCCAGAACGCTGCAAGAAGGTACAGTGTTGCGCGCGCGTCGATGGGCGCGCACAACACGTGACGTCACACTTTCTGGCCACAAGCTTGGCCTTTTGCTTTTCACTGTGAGTGGAAAGTAGAGTGCATATCCTCAACAGTGATGCACGTTTGTAGTGATTGGCATGATTTGGTATTTACGGACGCGTACACGGTTCCACAGGCACTCAACATAGCTGCCACAGATATCTACTATAAACTTAGCTGCGTGGTACATGAGCACGTTGTTAGAAGCTCAACGTAAAAAAAAGTAATTGTATAAATATTAGAGGTAGATAGCTTGCGATTGATCATGTTATTTACAAGGTCTCCTTTTGTTATAACGGTGCGAGACTAGCTGCCTTTAAGAGAAACTTTGTTGTACATCGATGAACATGTGACTACTGCATGTGCAGATATTTTGTCTGAGTGAAACTTTTAACATTGACTGGCGCCTCAGATACCAGCTCAGGTGCTTGTTAAAATGACCCGAGGATATGTTTTGTTACATTGCACGTAGATGACATAAGCAAACGAACTGAAACACAGCACACAGAGCAGTACCTTGATTTTTTGTATGTATTCCCTTACTAAAAGAGCAATAGGAAATCGTTGCAGCTATACGTTCAAACTGAATACACTTTTTTAAATGGTATCATAGAGTAGCCTGACATCAGTGGGCAATGGCCGTCAACAAAAATATGCTCTTGCAAAAGTGCGAAAATTGTACTGAAGCAAGTACTGCCTTTGAAGACGAAACAAAAAGAAACTAAAGTATGCTTGTTTGCGCCTCCAGTATAACAGACAGGGTGGCCGTCATATGCAACTTTTATTGTGATAGCAAATATATGGAAACTCACGTCTGGATTTTGCCGTTGGCGTCGGCGTCATTCACCGTATATGTATACATATCTATATATATGAAAATGCAAGAAAGAAAAATAATCCAGGAAAAGATTCTGACGTGTCGAATCGAACGTCCAACCTCTTGCTTGTGAGTGCGAGGCGTTAGTCACCGAGCCACAAAGGAGCACTCCCTTCAATGTCGAAACGGCATGCTATTTATATCTACCACTTACAGCTAGCGATTAGCATCTTGGAGGAACTATCATGTTTGCAGCATTACCAGCGAGATGGCGCAATGAACGCGCGTCGCTGGATTATCATGACGCTGTGGCGTGCTCTAATCTTCCACGCGTACTTTGCCGCGCGCAGAAGGAGGGGCATGGACGCTCACGCGTGCGCGCGCTTCTCTTGCAGTGGGAAGAATCGTACGCTTTGGGCTTTCGCCGGAATGATTCTGTTGTAATTACTGGGCGCACAAAGGTCACTGCACTCATTGCACAGTCTCCGTTCCCCAAAAAGGCGCGCTTTTCAGACACAGTAAAGTAATAACTGAGACGCTTATTTGCGTTCATCTGTACCTGCGAGTACGTTTTGTGCGTCATTTGTGCGTGAAAAACGTGGGACCTGTTTCGATCTGCTTGCCATTCTTCGCGAGACCTTCCAATTTGTCGCTATCACGTTCATTGCTTCGCCTTTGCGGCAAAGCTGCGACTTCCTTCTGAAGTAATTAAACGGCATTCAGCTCGATATGACGGCCACCATAAAACTGGAGTGTGTGCACAAAAAAAAAAAAACTATGCTTAAATGCACAGCCTAGATGCCGATAAGTAAAAGCTTGCTCGAATCAAAACTAAAAGCGTGATTGTGTTCGATACGGTAGCCTCGTGAGGTAATGAAAACGTGTTCCCAAGGTTTAAGGTGCATTGGAAGTGGCACTGTGAGGCCCATTGTGAGTAGCAGCCGCAGCAACCGTAGTGATAGAAACAGCAGTGGCGTGAGTGGCGCGAGCGCGCGGCCCAGTGAAGCTTACCCTGAGCAGTGAAATAAAAAAAAAGCAAAGTGGGAAGGTCTTTACACAGCCAAGGATAGATGGGCGGGTTCAACACCAACGTGCAGTGAATTGGTTTCAAAAGAGAAGAAATCGAAGCAGTACTCATGCTCGCACCTATTCGCCAGTCGTTTGACTGATGTGTCTATGTGCACCTCAGTGGCAAAGTGGTTAGAGTTTTCGGCTTCTGGGATCTAGGGATCGTATTCGAAGGTCGCGTATGCGATCCCGGCTGAAGTAATTGCATTTTGATTGCGGCGAGATACTAGACGCTCATGTACAGTGCCATGTCTGTGCACGTTAAAGAACTCCAGATGCGGAATTTTCCAGTCTGTCACTACCGTGTGCGTCATAACCGCATCGTGGGTTTAGCATGTAGAACCAATTTTTATTATGTACCTGGACGATAACCAAAGTGTCGTACACATCTTTGGAAAGTCTAGGAACGGGGAGTTGTTGCTGGACACAATGTTTCCGCAAAGGGTCTTTGAAGTGTGCGAAATGTTCTCCAGTCAAAAGTCTGACTCAAGTCAAACTCCCTGTTCAACGATATCGCATCGCTTCAAGCCTCAATCATCCATTGAAGTTCTTGTTTTGTGTGGAAATTCGCATACGTATTCAGGTTTTCGAAACTAAACAATGGGCGCTCCAAGGAATGTTCCACGTGAAAGTTGAAGATGCTACACTGAATAAAGACAGCACTAGTAGGCTGTGAGATATCTCTAACCAAAATTTGTTTATGTCGGAGCTCGAACATTAAAAAAAAATTTGGTTGAAGACATCTTCAGTCATAAAACCCAACTGGACAGGCAATGCTATCACTATTTCTGCCTTTGAGACTAAACACTACGACGGGAGAATATTTTTTTCGAAGTATCTGACATTCCTTCAGAGTAAAAAGTCTTTCTTCTTGAAAAAAAGAAATGCCTTTAAAGCTGGTGTAATCCTTGGGGCGACGCTCATTTAAGAAGTTGAGTCTACTTACGGCCTCACATTCAAGCTGGCATAGTTTCGGGGGCTTTATTTAAAGAATGATATTTTCTTTAATTATGCATGTTAAATACCTGCAAATTCATTTTGATTCCTCAAATGTATCTAATATAACTATTTTCACAATCCATTTGTATAAATAACCTTTGGAAGCGACGTTTGCATTCCGGTTATAGACACACCAGTCAAACGATGTAAATATCGAAATCTCCCCTGATGTGTCCTTTTTTGTGCATGTGCATGAGTGCGCTTTCTTCGAAGCCATGTACTTTGAGGCACCTCGGTGTGTGTCTCGTGAATGCAGGAGGCGAGGCAGTATACACTGTGGTGAGAGTGTGAGGCGAAATAAGAAGGAAAAGAAAGAAGAAGAAACAAAGAAAGCGTAGATTGTCTGTCCCAATGGTCGTGCTCGCAAGTCTGTTGTTCACGTGACGTCAGTTGGTTGTGGTCTGCTGCTGTAAGCGCCGATTGACCGTGTCCGCAGTGAACTTCTCAACCGTATCAGTACACTTGACCCCCTTCAGAGCAAACAGTACGGCACAGTGCTACGATACTGTACTGCACGTAGTACAGGTGTACTAGTATACTGTACAAAGTATGCTGTGTACAGTACTTAGTATACAGTATATAGTACTCTACACATAGTACAGTACAGTACAACAAGTACATACACAGCAGTACAGCAAGTACGGTATTTAGCAGTACGGCTTAGTACAGCGTATCACGCTTCATTTCACTGTAATCACCGCTCGAGTGAGTAATTAAAGTAAATTCTCCTGAATCTGTGACAACTGAACAATAGCACTCATAATGCGCAAGTATATCGGGGGAGTAAAAAAAAAAACCAATCCTTTAATGAGCGTGAACTCCTTGTATGGAGTAAAAAGGTAGTCAAGTGCGATGCAAGGTGTTTGCACCCTTTCCCACAGCTATTCAAAAGACTATGTTGCAAGCTTTTGTACTGGCAAGTTAGCTAACAAATACACTCATAACTCTTAATTACATATGACTTGGAAGCTTTAGGTTTTCTCACTTCGTTGGTAGAGCAGTTCTATTGCAACACTGAGAATGGACGACAGAATGAATACTGAATGTGTAAATATTCAAGAACTAAGTGGATAAACAATATATCTAAGACTACTCAGGAGCCATTAAGTCACACCATTACCTGTTTCAAGGCTCTCAGACGCAAACTGCTAATTTGCACCTCATGCTTCTACATCTTCTTAGGAGGTTTCTTGATCAAAGACGCCATGACCCTCGTATAGTAGCGTACTATAGAAGCTAAACTGTTTTCTCAAGAAAGGACATGGATACATTGAACCTCTCCATTACATACTAAATACTTTACTCTATACCTTCTCAAGACTGCTCATTAATGTGCCGATGCGAATGTTTAATGAGGGATGCAGTCAGATAATTTAATGGCATATAGGAAGCATTGACTGAATAGGACTTTGTAGCATCTGCCATGTTTCGCAGTGTATCCTCTTGTTTGAACTTGGTGTAGATGCGCCTGGAAAGTTGTCATACAGTTTGAATGCACGTTTCGTATCAATCAAGGTCGCATGCTCGTTGAGGCAGCAGGCTGTTGCTCAATGTCTTGTGCCTACACGTTTAGTGCGAATCACGTCACTGTATAACACTCCGAAGTGTTTCGAAATTTGGAGAAGACCTAATTACGCGTCCGTACATGCTGGAAAGTATGCGACACACCTCGAAGTGTTGAAGGTACGATATGGCTAGGCGTACTTGAAAATATCCCGGCATGACTGCTTATAAGAAGTTAGATTTTACTATCTCTGTTAGCCTGATTTGAAAACTAGCCTGATTCAAAAACTTTGAGAAGGCAAAACTGAAACCGTAATTTAATTTACATGCAAGGTACCACACTACTGGCGAACGCAAAGCTGATTAAGTCTTGTTTCTATATAACCTTCGCTCAACTGCCAAATTTAGCTGCCCCCAAGTACAGTTGTGTACAGCTTCAAAGAATGTCGCGTAATCTGTTTACACAGTTCACATCCGGAGCACAAGATCGTCGATTGAGTGACAAGGACAAAAAGAAGACCTTAAGAATGAGAAAAGGACAAAGTTCTTGCCTTACCTAAAGATGAAAATAAACAATATCAGAAGAGCGAAGAACACGGCTACGTTGTCCATTGTCCGCAGCATGATGAAGAGTTGTCGTCGCAGCGCCGGCATAAACCGGACAAGCTTAAGGATTCGCAAAAGTCGAAACGTCCGCAGCACCGAGAGACCACTTCCACTGCTCTGGCAGAGCTCCACTATGCTGCCGTTGGATGGGGAGACAGGACATGAGGAGGCAGTGGAATAAAGAGGCCTCATTAGGATGTGTAAAACACCTCTGCACTCTGTGTGCACTAATGTTGAGGTTGTATGAATAGGAATAAATGCCTGACACAGGCTGGCTGACGTGTCCATAGCTAGACCTATCTTTGGCAAGGGCACCCTGTCGACCTTAGCGTGTTAGTTTTAAAGGGAGTTTAGTAACTGACGTCACGTAACAGGGTGTCGTTGTCAGTGCCTGTTTTTTGTGACTGGTGTGGAAATGATCTTGAGAATAGAGGTGCATTTCGAGACATGGATTAAAATAAGAAGAATGAGAATACCGATGGCTGTGTCGTCGTTTTTTCTATTCTTAGCCCGTGTCTCTAGTACGCTTTTTTGTACAAGAACGAATACGTAGCAGCAAACCAAAATAACCGCTTTGCTAGAGATGCAGAAACATTCAGGCTGGTCGGGTGACAGTGCAATCGATTGAGAATGTTTTTGCAATTTAAGGGATGTTTTGTGAGATCATACCCTTTTGCGCATGTCCTATTAGGCCATAACTGTAGGCACTGTAAATTGTTGAGATGCCTTTACTTGCGCTATTTGCATACATATTCTTTTAATGCAACTCACAAACGTCACTCACAAGCGGTCACTGTGAAGAGTCTTTGTCTAATAAAAGCAATCCAATGTAATCAGGCAAGAGTGAAGTTGAGGTGAGACTCACCTAAGGATGACAATGACACCATCGAAGAGGTTAAACCCACTGCTGATGTAAGAGAGGAATCCCTCAGCTAAAATTTTGAGCAACATTTCCAGGCCAAAAATGCCCGTGAAGATGAGGTTGCTGATTTCCACAGCCAGGGTCAATTCTTGCGGCTGCAACAAAAAATGTGAGTGCCAGTTAGCATTCACGAATGGTGGGGTTGTTCTCATTCTTCGTATCAGATACAACATTAGATGCACATGACAATGCCGCAATGTAATGGGAAGGAAGAGGAGGCAAAGAAAAACGACAGGACAGGAAGGTTAGCCAGTTCTCAGACCGGCTGACTGCCTTGTGCTGGGGAAGGGGAATAAAAGATGATGGCAAAAGGAATGTTACATAAAAAGAGAAAAAAAAAAGAACAAGAGTATGATAAACGACACTGCTTAAAGTCTGCCGCTAAGACCAGTTCGCAAGAAACACAGCATCGCTCTCAAAGCTTTCGGTGCCGGGGACGATCTCGGCCAGTGTCCTAAGATTCTTTCCTCCTACAATGGGCAATTGTCAGGTCAATATAGCACTTTAGAAAATTCTTTTCTTGACGCATTGAAGCAAGGGAACTCACAGTGAAGAGGGGCGATTCTCTCTTCGCAGCTACAGTTATCACATGTCGTGCTGCTGGCCATTCCAATTCGAAATGAGTAAGCGATCACGATGGCCACCTCGAGCCATAGGCGGCACACAAGCATGTCCTGAGCTATTTTAGTTTGCGACGGAAGATGGAGCTGCAGATTCAGGTCCAAGTTGCAAAGATAGGCTCATGGTGGTGTCCATTGTGCACCTATACCATTACAAGAACACATGCCACTGCAAATTAAGGCTTGGTTCACTTGCACGTGGACTGACACTCATATAATGGAACTTGATGTAATTTACTACAATGTAACATTAGCACAATGGCCAAAGAGCACAAGCTTCTGGTAATTACACTTATTAGATACCACCGCAGGGCAGCACGCAGCATGCTATTTCGGACGTCGCCGAATTTGCCGTCCTGACGGCTCTGGTTAGCCAATAAAACGGTGGTTATGCTTTCTTTCTGATTGGCTGAAGAATACCGCCTTTACGAAACTTTGAATTATGATGCCATTTGACAACATTTCTGGAGTTGTGGTGAAAACATTACCAGACGCCGACCAAGGTGAGAAACGTGTCTACTGACGTTTCCGCTCCCACAGCAGTAGCCTTGTTTCAGACCGTGAACGAGGCTTCGGTTTCGCAAGCCTAAACATCAATAAAAAGAACGGGATAGCGCCATCGGGCCCCGTTCGTACAACTTACTCAAATCGCTAGCCTCTCTCTGCTTCTTGGTGATAAAGAATTGTATTTTCTAAGCAATTAATTTTTTGTGCGCATCATTCATGTCATGTGATGTTATTTTTCTTGGTGATATAGGCGAGCGTGCGGTGGTAATAAACATTATGTTGGAAGTTAGCGCCTGTGCCGTGTGTCCTCGTCTTGTGTCCCCGTTTCTTAGCGCTATTTTCAGTCGTTCACTAGAGCCTTCTGGCAAAACTTCGGTATTGCACTACAAGACACATTGCTTCCCAGGACATTTGACCAATGGGTATGAGAAACACATGGGGTCACGTCGTAAAATTCTAAATGTGCTTGAAAGTTCCGTACTTTTTGCCACCAAACTAGAATTTTACAAGAATCTTCCAGTTCTGGTTCGTTGTATAGAATAGGGAGTAGATTTCTATAACACGCTTTGTCATCATATATTGCAGAGGAAGGAAGAAAAATAGGAGGAAAAGAACGGCAGGGAGATTAACCAGTCTATAGGCAGCCGGTTTGTTACCCTGTACATGGGGATGGGGGAGATGAAAAATAGAGAGGAAAGAGAAATAAACACAGCACATTAGCAGCACATGCGATATATTGCAGAGAATATACGTATATGGTTAGGAGGTGAAAAATGTGACTGTCATAGTCGGTGGGTCCATGGGTGTGCAGAAAGTATAATAGAGAACTAATGCTAGCATACGATACCTTGCACGTTTTCCACGCTGTTACTATAGTTTAGCTGCTGGTTTTGTTCAGCACATATAGATAAAATTGCTTAGGTGTTGCTGATATCCATCTGGACAATGTCACCCAACGCAAAGTTTAAAGTAAGCATTTGTTGAATGCGGTGTTGGAGCAATCAAGTGCTACAACAGAAGACTCTTCGGTAAATTCATGTTCGTCATAAGCACCAAGGTTGCATGTTTTAGCTTAGCTGGTCAACCAATTCCTCGAAGTTCTTGTGCGACGACTTTGACTTTTTCACTTATTTTTCATTCAGTTATGACAGTTCATTACTGCCACCACGGACAGTTGTCACCACGGGCTAAATAAACGACGGAGCATGGAGCATGAAGGTATACACCTAGGCACATGTTTTGGCTATGTCATACGCGTAACTTTGGGCCATAGGGATAGCAGTTCAAAAGTAAACAGGTAAACGATAAAAAAAAGCCAGATAGGGTGAGAGGATAGGATGCGAAAAGTGGAAGGAAATTGACAAACATAAATAGCAGCAAACACAAGGTCATCCTACTGTAAGGGGACGAGAGGTGGGTTCTGAATAGATGGTCTTTTTTGGTTTATAATAGGATCGATTAGATTGAAGAAGACAAGTCATTAGGCCTACCTAAAAAACAAAACAAAAAATCACAGCATATCCACGGAGTGAGTGAGGGTGAGTGGGGCGAAGCATCCGTCCGTTATGTGCGTCTCTCCATCCGGATGAATAGAGGCAGGAACACACAAACGGATGGACGGAAGCATGGATGGACGCATGGACGGATAGAACCACGGGCGAAAGCACGGATGGACACATGAATGGATGGAAGCATCGTTAGACTAATGGACGAATGGAAGGAAGCACGAATGGACTGACAGACAGGTGGAAGGACAGATGCACGGACGAATGGATGGACAGACGGAAGCACGGACGAATAGATGGAAGCACGGACGGATGGACTGACGGACAAACACACGGACGACGTATCCCCACTCATCATCATTCCTTCCGTGGATATGCTGTGAAAACCACTAACATCATCTAGTTGTAACATTCCCAAGAACTTGTACAGACAACGCCACCTATAGAGCAAATCATAAACTAAAGGTGGCTACATACTACTACTACTACTACTACTATTACTACAGAGAAGGCAACGGCCCATGGCCTAAGGATCTTCGACCATAAAAATCTGTTTCTTAGCCTTGCCACACACAGGCACTGCTCCGTTATCAAGAAGACTCTCGTAGCGTCCATTTACCCATCCACAAGTCATGGTCATGCCGGTAATCGATTACCTGGTCATGGTACTCGATTCCCATGCTCAGCGTGTTGACCAGTATGGCCGTGAGGATGCCCCTCTGGAAGTACTGGTGTCCCACCAGTCGCCTCAGCTGGGCCTGACGCGCCTTCCAGAAGCGACAGCAGGGACCCCGGTAGCGGACCCGGGTACCCCCGCTGCCGCCGGAGAGCTCGTCCTCGTACTCCGAGTACCACGAGTCTTCCTCGTCCTCCGTGCCGCTGGAGGACGAGTACGACGCGCGCTCGTCGTCGTGCGGGTGGTGCCGATGGCGATGGTGCCGAGAGCACGCCGACGAGGAGGAGGCCGACGAGGTGGATGACGGGGACGGAGAGCCGTTGGCGCACCGGTGCCGCGATGCCCCGTGTGAGTGGAACGTCAGCTGCGGTGCTGAGTAATGCTTCGTACCTGCATCAAGATTGGAAGTGAACGAAGAGAGAAAGCTTGAGGTGTTAATGTGTCTGTGCTTTGTAATATAACGCAGCAACTTATACCTAGGCCTAAAGTATTTCACATCGAATGACACGTGAAGATTTCCTAGGAAAAACATAAATGAGTAGTGATTGTCGTTTTTCACTTCATTTACGCACTCAGTCATGCTCGCTTATGCTCATTATGTTAATTTATGCTTTCTTTGATTCATGGTTGCCAAAAAAGTCGTCCAGGCACAGCGAGGGAATCCACAACCAGTGATAGTCCGGGGTGATCGTTTTACCAGTGTAATCGCCCCGTTTTAGAGCGACTGCTCCGGGAAAGGCGTCGGTCCCATGTGGCATCACTCAACCTGGACAATTTTTTTCCCCCGAAAACTAAGAACCTAGTCGCGCTAGCGTTATTCACTCGCTCGTAACGCTTATTGACATTCCCTGCAAAGTGTACTTGCCCCGGCGAATGCGTTCGCCAAACTCATTACGTTCAGGTGGAGTATCTAGCCTTGGCAGCAGCGGCTCGAGTATAATTAAAGTATCAGAAATTGAGTTTGTACTGTTTTTAACTGATTTTTGTTATTGGGAATATTCCAATATAGTATTAGGACATATATTATCACTAAAACTACTTTTCTAATCTCGCTCTCGAACAGTCTACCAGCACTCGTCGTGCAATGGTCTCATTCGCCGCGTTTGAACCTAAAGTTAATTTTAACGGCTGCTCATAGATGTAACACATCATCACTTGAGAAATGTTTCCTTGTGCTACTAATGTACTCATTGCCCTTACTATCATTTTTATAGTACAGATTTTGTGCTACTAATGTACTCATTGCCCTTACTATCATTTTTATAGCACACACTTCCCGTTCTCGTGTAGCAGCGCCTTTGCCAGTATGAAATTCTGGAGACGTAAGTGCACTCGCTCAAAATACAATAAACTTGTCAATTGTCCTTTCTTCAACGCAAAGACAACAAAATGCGCCCACAGTCCCTGTCCCACCTTTACTGAGCGTAGAGTAGAACCGGTGCATAGCAAAGTTGCTGGCGAAGCTGGCGGCCAGCGCGGCGCTCTGGGCGCCGCTGAAGGCAAGCAGCTCAGCGCACGTCAACGTCGCGCCGCCGCCGCCGGTGGCCGTCGTCGTTGGCAGGTGGTGAGACGACGAAGAACCGCTGGCCACCGACCCGAGTGGTCGCAGCTCGCTGCTGCCTTCGGGAGTCATGGGCGCTTGCAGAGAAACACTCTTCCCAGAGCAAGTCCTGGTGGAGCCAGTGTGCTCGATCGTCACTGCAGGCGGGTCCAGGACACCTGCGCGAGTGATTGCCCGTTCTTTTTGACGGGATACAAAGGGAGCGGTTTTCGATGTTAGGAGGGACGGAGATTTATGCAGTACATTCTGTAACGTTGAAAGTTAGGCGAATTGACGACAGTTCATCTACGGACCACGTAAATGACCTAGACGAGTGTAGGAGTGGGCGTGTTGGCCGTATACCGTCGTTACGAATTCTCAGAAGTTCAAGAATACCGAGGGGAGAGAAGAAGGGAGACGAAGTACTCCCTGTCCGTTCTTGTCTCCTATTGTGTCTATTATTGAGCTATTAAGAATTGGTGGCTTCGGAAAGTGTGGATATAGGCCGACTGGTGAGTCATGATTAGTTGGTGATTATCACTCATGACAAAGTAAAGCTTATTGAGTGCCCATGACTTCGTGTTGCCTCTTTCTGGGTCCCATCTGTTTCTTTTTTTTTTTTGGCGGTTCGCGTTTACTAACCATGCATGTACGTCACTAGCAAGACTCGTAATGCGAGCTGGCTGGCTCGTGCTTTTCTGCAAGTTTTCTTTCTAGCTCAAAACAGATGCGGCAGAAACAATGAGGCCGTATATCTGTTTCCTGGTCTTTCACCCTCGTCTGTGTCACGCTGATAAATAAAAAAAAAGTTGCCCACGAACGTGTAAGCAAGCACTGCATATTGTAGTGTGTGATGGAAGAGGAGGAAAGAGAGCAGCGCAAGAAAAAAAGCAGGGAGAGCTGTGCGCGTTTCAGATTTAGAAATGAGTGCCGGTAAACTACAGTGACAGAGTTGTGGTACTACCGCCTCCATGAAAAAAAAAAACAAAAAAAACGGCTTGTGCGCCTGACAACTCAAAGGAGTGAGTCCTGTACCCATTGCTTTGTAGGTGGACGCTCTACCCAAACTTAGAGTGGCAAGGCTGGTGCTTTGATGCCTTTTGTGCTATAACGAGACAACTCTCAAGATATCTACATTTTGTGTCGTGGGTTGTCATATGGAGACGCTGAATAAACCACGCAAAAGGCAATGCCGCGGTCTTCCCTTGCGCATTAGCAGTATAGCAGTAGTAGGAGGTGCTGTTGGAACTTGCGGCGCCGGCGATCACTTAATTGCCTGTCATCGTTTTTATGTGAACTTGATGATTACTTATGCAGTTCATGACTCTGAAGGATTTCCTATTCGCTCTCGCTATACCATCATTTATGCAACGACTCACGTTTGCAGCCGTCTTCAAGCTGTCAAGTCAGAATGAAACGAAATATATACGCCACTAATTGCGTACCTGGTGCGTTGTTGTTTGAGCTGCCGGCGTTGACCCTGAGGCAGGAAGGCCTCCTGGGCGACGCGGCCAAGTCTACGTCCGAGACTTCGGGACTGGCGTGCGGTGGCAGGGCCAGCATGTGGCAGCACTCGGTCGCGGCCGCCTCGTCGCATGTCTCTTCGAACAGCGCGGGCAGCGCCGCCGCCGATGGTGTTGGCGACGAGGAGCAGGAAGACCCCGACTCTGCGCAGAAGCCGATATTGCAGAGCATCTACAAATTGCCATAACATGAGAAGAAATGCAAGCTAAGTCCACAGAAACGCGGCATCCCTGCCCTTCACGAGGGAGAGACAGTCGTGCTGGTTGGCTTTTGCTTGAATCGTATATGTACTTTTTCTCGCTTAATGCACTACGCATAATAAAAATTCGTCGTTACAACATTATATTGGCCGTTCAACGATGTCAGAATCTCTGACAAAATTTACCAGGGATTTCAAGTTTCCTATCTTAAGTCACGCCACACAATCGTGTGGCTGTACGGTAAAGCGAACTATATTGATAAACGCTCGACAGGTGCTTAGAAGGGTGGCAGCTTGTACTAGTTGGTATGACATGACGATAGTTATAGCGCGAGAACAGAACGACGACACAGCGAGAAGAAGGACACGAAGGACACGCACGCTTGTGTTCTTCGTGTCCTTCTCCTCTCTGTGTCGTCGTTCTGTTCTCGCGCTATAACTATCGTCAGGTGCTTGACATCACGACAAGCAGTAAGTGCTGCTATCAGACGAAACAGTTATGCAAAATCACTGTGAGAGGAAGAGCGATGGCTTCGGGAGGAGCTGAGACCTTATCTTAGGTTGTAACAGGGTGTAGTAACCAACACTAAACTATTTTAAAGTGCGTTCAAGCAACCAAACACTCTTGCCTAACCAGAATGAGAAGAACATCACAGCATATCCAGGGAGTGAATGATGATGAGTGTGGCGAAGCGTCCGTACGTCTATCCGTGCTTCTGTCCGTCCGTCTGTGTGCTAGTCTGTGCGTCCGTCCGTCCGTCCGTGAATGCGTCAGATCGCGTTGGAGAATGCAGACGATGCGCGGGTAACACCGACGAGACGTGAGCCAAGGAAGCCGAGCGCAAGCGTCTTTATCGCGCCCGCCGCTCTTCTTCGTCCATGCCCCACCAACAATCAGACACGTACGGCGACGTCCCGGAGACTGAGAAAGGCACTCGTTCCCCGCGCACTCAGGCAAAGCGCGCGCAGCAGTCAGTCGCAGCAGCCAGTCGGACGGACGGATGCACGAATGGACGGACAGATGGACGAACGGACGGACGCATGGAAGCATGCGCGGACAGACAGGCGGACGGACGCACAGACGCACTCACGGAGAAACGGATAGAAGCACGCACACACAGACAGACGACAGAATCACGATTATCTTATGATGTAATGGGCTAACGTTTCGCGGGAGAGTTGCGGTTTAGCGATTATCTTCCCCTCTCGAGCTTCACCCGCTAATCATCATTCAGTCCGTGGATATGGCGTGATCTTTTTGCCATGGCATACAGGAGCACAAAATGACACTCACCCCCGTATTCTAGAACGTCCCTTCACTCAACGCTCCATCTTCACTTGAGAAAGCCGATGGCAGCGCCGTCTCTAGTCACGACAAGTCACTGCACATCAGCGATAACATGCCGCTATTCTTGAGTAGTGCAGCGCCATTTTCAGCCGAGCGGCGGCGCAGTGCTCAACTCTGTCAAGTGAAGGGTGAAAGTCGAGTCGAGGAGCGTTTGTGAATACTGGGGTCAGCCACATTGCCTGCACGGCGGGCTGCCACTTCAGATCAGAATGGTGCCCCCTCCTCTCTCCTTGAAACAATTTTTATTGCCTACGGCCTACGCCCCTTTTTCTGAGGACGCATTCGCTGTTCCTGTCCTCTTGAAGACTTTTTTGATATTTTAACCAGAAAGGAGTGCCATTTCATCATGTCAGGTGCTGGTGTGAAAGAGTCACTTACCAGAGGAGCAGTGACTGTGGCATTCGTCCAGGGGACACCCGTCGTCCGGGTGGTATCGGGACGAGCGGGAGTGGTGAACGCCCGTGGCAGATACCGGAGAAATGGCCATTTCCGGTCCCGCAAGCTGCGCTTCTGGGTGGCTGCGTGGAAGTGCCCGGCGACGCTTCCGCCTCCTGTACCACCGCAGAAACCTGCGAATACACGTGGGCGAGGCGCGTGAGCGAAACGGCAGCAGCAGCAGCAATCCCGACAGCCCCCGTGTGCTTGGGTGCACGTTAAATAACCCCAGGTGGTCGAAATTTCCCGAGCCCTCCACTACGGTGTCTCTCATAATCATATGGTGGTTTTCAAACGTTAAACCCCCCATATCCATCAATAGAATCGTGACCGTCTACGAATCAGTATACGTGACCGTGAGAACGTTCCTGATAAACGAAGAGTCACGGGAGATAAAATGTTTAGACGGCGACCATCACTGCCGTAGCAGGGGAAACAAGGAAAGGGGGGTGGGGTGGGGGTTGAGGAGTTCATAACCTACCCCTCGCCCGTAATTTTTCAATTTTTGATTTTGCATGTGTCTTTTGCAGGCACACACAAAGCGCACGTACGAACAGCGGTCACAAATACTTGCAAACGCGTTCAAGATGGCGTTATAATTAGATGCACTGAAAGTGATTATTTACATCATCTCAAATTCAGCTCCACCTGCGCACTAGTTCGAACGTTTGTCCCAAACGGTACATTAGCGAAACAGGATATCCTGGTAATGTTAAGTTGAGCGGTCATCGCACGGACACGGTAAAGAATTGACCGAAAGCAGTGACATAGCATTATATAACGTAGCAGGTCACAACTCCGACTACCTGAAGATTCACATCCTTCAATACCTTCGGGACCGGACACTTGTCCGGTCCCCAACTGCACTTGGGCTTCGCTCCCTGGATGAAGCACAACTGTAATGTGCTCCAGGCAGCGAGTATAAGCGTTTCAAAAGGATCTCTGGAGTCAATGCGATATGTTAGATTCACAACTTAAAACAATAAGTGTTAACTCCTTCTTCTAAGTATTTCTAACTTACCATTGTTAATTGACGCTTTCTTCCGTCAACCATAATTTAGTGACACGTGTACCCCCCCCCCCCCAACAGCCTTTTTTTCATTAATTACATTCCTTCTGACTCACCACATTCGCCACGGCAGCCTCTTAGTGTCCGCCTTCCCCACTTTTGTAGTTGCCTTCTTCTCCTCCGTGGTTTATTGGAAGAGCTTGTTGGTCGAGTGGGCGTATGCCCTACTGTAGAATAAGTGCGCGAATATCGGACGAACACAGGAAAATCGTAGTAGACAGAAAGTGCGAAACTGAAACGAAGTCGTTAGATGGGTCGGTCCTTTATTTGGATTAGAGGAGAGGGTACAAAACATACACCGACCAGCGCTAAGTAAGTCGGTTTCAACCTCTAAAAAGACTAGGCAACTTGTCGAAACGTCGAGGTCAGCACCCACACCCTGTTTACGAATTTCTCATCGCAAGCTTTCATCTTCCCCTTGTTGTCCTTCTTTTAAGTTTTCTTTCTTTTTTTTACTATTGAGCGATCACGAATCTGTACAATGGGTGCAGCACCCGTGTTAAAGACTTCAAGTGCTAACATTACGCCAGCGCAACATCCGCGGCCAACATATTCTTCCGTTCATTATATAGAGAGAGGCAAGCGAAGGCAGGCAGCCCCGCCGTAGTGGTCTAGTGGCTAAGGTACTCGGCTGCTGACCCGCAGGTCGCGGGATCGAATCCCGGCGGCGGCGGCGGCTGCATTTCCGATGAAGGCGGAAATGTTGTAGGCCCGTGTGCTCAGGTTTGGCTGCACGTTAAAGAACCCCAGGAGGTCGAAATTTCCGGAGCCCTCCACTACGGCGTCTCTCGTAATCACGTGGTGGTTCTGGGACGTTAAACCCCACAAATCAATCAATCAATCAAGCGAAGGCAGAGGGGTTGACCAGACTCGTGTCTGGTTTGCGGCTCTGCACACGAAAAAGAGATCCGGGGTGGAAAGGGAGGCAGAAGAGAGAGAGATGGACAAGAAGGATCATGCACGCTATGGCGGATGGGGCTGGGGCGTTGCGTAGAAGGTCGCACCTCCGCTTGGCCCTCCGTCCGAGGTGCGTGAGGTACTTGATGATCTGCGTGTAGCAGCCGGAGTCGGAGACGGACGTCGATGCCAGCGTCGAGCTCGAGTGGTAGCGGGCACGCTCCAGGCGCATGCGCTCCATCTCGCGTTTCTTGGTCTCCGAGAACTGGGTCGCGATGACGACCAGGCACAGGTTGATCATGAAAAAGGATCCGATCTGCACGCATGCGCAGAAAAATAAAAAGTGAGGCAGTCTGCGCCGGTCGACGTCTGTGCCGTTCCCCAGTTTAAACACTTCGTGCCAACATATAGGTTTCCTACAAGGAGGATTGAAAAAATTGCTGGAGTGGAAATGATTGCACAGAAGTGAAGCCGTTCCTCTGGCAAGATGGCGGTTGTGGCGGTCATCTTACTAGGGGCATGATAAAGTGTCACTGTTCTGCGATTAAAAACGAAGCGTTTCCCTCGCACGCCCAACGAGTTTAATGTGGGAACTTTTTCGGGCCACATAGTGCTACAGGTGCGTTTTAAAGTTACTAGTTTTCCGTAGTGAGCCTCTAATTGGAGGCAAAGTTCTTTGAAGATTCGGTCATACAGACTGGTTTCTGTGTGTTATTTCGTCGGGAACAACTATCCTTTAATATAGAACTAACGTAGCATTTACATAACGTATCAAAGCCACTTGATCTTTATGTGGGCACTATCAGAAAAGAGGATGTTTCCGCCGTCCTGGCAGTGGCAAAAGGTGTTTTCGCTTCTGCTGGTAAGGCATTGCAGGAGCTTCCACTCCAGCAATTTTTCTTTAATCCTCCTTGGTTTCCTAAGATTAAGTGGAGGGCACACAGGCGCTGCGATCGCTCAGCGACCACGGGAATTATGCGTATGACATGGATTTGCCTGTAGTCTTCGTGCTTGCGGACGGTGAACGCACGTGTGGCTTTGTTCATTGCTGCGTTTTAATTTTGAATCGAAGGAAAGAACTAATGAAGATTAAAGAAAAGTTACTAAAGTGGAAGCTCCCGCAATGCACTGCTAGCAGTAGTGAAGCCAGCTTTTGCCACCACTAAGATGACGAAAACATGCTCTTTTTCTGGTAGTGCCCACTTAAAGATCAAGTGGCTTTGATATGTTAATGTAAATGCTACGTTAGTTCTATAATTAAAGACAGTTAGTTGTTCCCGACGAAATATCGCACAGAAACAAGTATGGGTGACTGAATATCCGAAGAACTTTGCCTCCAGTTAAAGGTTTACTAAGGGAAATCAGTGACACTAAAGTGCGCTTGGAGCACTATGAAACCCAAAAAAAGTGTCCACAATACATCCGTTGGGCGTGCGAGGGAAACGGTCCGTTCTTATAATCGCTGAATGGTGATACTTTATCATACCCCTAGTAAGGTGGCCGCCAATGCCGCCATCTTGCTATAGGCACTGCTTCACTCCTGAACGATCATTTTCACTGCAGCAATTTTTTTCAATCCTCCCTGGTAACAACAAACCGTTTTTCACTTCGTGACCTGATTGGAAGTGGTAGCCTAAAAGAGATTAAAGCGGTGAAGTGTGACTGGCGAACATTTGCCAATTGTTGTTTCGTGACAAAGCAGTTTCAAGCCACGCGAAGCCGGAACGGACGTAAAGTACGAAGACTAGGCGAATCCTTGCCATACCCACAATTCCCATGCTCACTGAAGTGCTATGCGTTGCAGTTCCCATAGACACTAGCGCCAGAGTCCCCTCTAGTGTTTATTTAGGAAACTCTATGCGTCATACCACCCTTCATTACTGCCTGCAGTTCAAACTTGTGGTCACGCGACTGTAGTCACTGCGTCTGAATGCGTGCCCACTAGTCAACCGTGATCATAGTTCTTTTGACTGTCTTCATGTCCACCGCAGGCCGAAGGCCCCTAACAATTATCCCCAATTTTGCTTTATCCTGTGCGAGCTTCGCTTCATTTTATGCCTGTGACGTTTTTGTTATTTCGTTGCTCCATCGAACCCTCTCTCGTGCACAGCTACGTCTCCCGTCTTTCGTTATCCGTTTCGTAGCTCTAACTGATTGGTTTTCTGTCCTTACTACGTAGCTTGTCCAGTCCATTTTAACGCGATAGCGTTAGAGAGCTCATGTCGCAGAAATCCCGCTGCCAGCGTCGGCCCCGTTGGTTGTGAGCGAAAAATTGTTTGTGCGTCTGTGACCGAAAAAGCAAGTTACAGAGATCGCCGCGGGAGGCCGCTATTTGTCCACGCGTGCACGCGCGATCACACTGAAAAAGCCGAGCATTCGAAGAAAAAAAAAAGTGCGCATGGTCACGAGGCGCGGTAGTTTCCTTGCCGCTGCCGGGCCTGCCACGCCTTCCTGCTTAGCTTCCAGCGCTTTGGTCAGGACGAGAGAAGAGATAATGCAATCGCAGCATGCGACATACCTTTGTAACTCCACTCGCACTGGACGGATTCTTAAAATTTTCGCGGTGCTGAATTCGTGAGGCAATAAGCTCTTCTAGTGAATTAATTTCACGGTTACTTGAAAAAGTGTTTCAAGGCCCCTTTAACGCATTTTGTTCGACAGGTGTCACGACAAAAACGAGCCCATTTGGCCATAATAGCGCACGCTGGTACAATCTACTGTGTGCACGTGTGTGTGCTTGTGTGTGTGTGTGTGTGTGTGTGTGTGTGACAAAACATATTAATAAGTATGCACTTAGCGGTTAAAAGGCGCACTAGGGGCCGGATTTCGCTAATGCGTTCAACTCTTAAAGGCGAAGCTTAAGGGTCCCCCAGTCTTTTTTTTTCCCTAATAGGTGATGCGATATCGGCTACCCGCAAAATAAATAAGGACAAGTAACAGTACGAGTGAATTTGTACAGCATGCAGTACAAGTGAAGCTGTACGAGTCCTCTGTCCTCTCTCTTGCGTGCTAATATTTCGCTGCGTTTGACTACTGATAGTCAGTGCACTGCGAGTTGCACTCACCACAATGAGCAGCACAAAGTAGATCCAGTCCCAGAAGGAATGTGCGTCCTGTACATAGTACATGATGTCGGACCAGCCCTCCAGGCTGATCACCTGTGGGAAACACATGAGAAGTAGAAATTAAGAGTGCCGCTACCTTTAGTTTTTTTTAAATGTAAAATAAAGTGCTTTTAGCTCTCATTGTTGGCTGCCTTGAACGGCCGTTGAGCCATATGCCAGCGCCTTTATCCGGGCCCTCACACACGAACATACGGGAACTTAAAGCGAGACATCCGGGAACCCAAACGAAATTCGGGTACTCAGATTAGATCATCCGGACAGCGTTGCTAAAACGAAGCGAGACATCCGGGAAATCAGCCCCAAAATTAAAGAAGTGTGGTTTCTGGCAGTGAACTCTTTTTACAAAAAAAAAAAGCATCTTTTGTGCTTTTCGAATTACGCAGTTGTATACGCTCGGGCGCTTCCAGCCGCTCACTGCGACAACCTATTCACCTTTGTAGGACACTTGCAGAGGTAGGAATTTGGGATTGATTTGTGGTTAGTGGCGTGAAACTAAAGTAACAATCAGCTATTCCTTGCCTATAGCTTGTATTACTCGCGATGTAACAGCAGTGAGCCACCGACACCTATAAATTTGCTGTTTATCTTCCTGATCAGTTTCCCATGCGCTCAATCGAAACGCGAGTTTGAGGTTTTTATGTGTACCCATTCTGTTTACGATTGAGGCGAGAAAGAATAACATCATTCTTAACGCTGTCAGTGAATGTCCTATTACTTGCGACAAACTTGACTCGTAAGTTCGTTGTTTATTATGTACTAAAGAAAAATTCTCCAAAAATTGTGGTTTTTTGTTTCAACGGGCTCCTGTCACTCGGACTCGTCCCCCCCTTCCTTTTTTTCCCATGCCGCAATTAGTGGACTGTGTCAGCGAGCAACACCAGAAGCGTTGCTGGTCTTACGTTGGCAAAAAGCGAGATGACCTACGCTACAACCAGGAATCAGAGTGTTTTTAACGCGTGCAGATCGTTGCAGACTGCTTTCCGTTCACCGCTCTTCCCACCTGGAAAACGCGCGAAAATCAAAAGCGAACAGAAAGCTGTCTGCAGAGACTGTTCGAACTGAGCCCGCCAGAACGCGCTGAACCTAAACAAACGACAATAACACTTGCAGTGACCGCCGCGATAAGCCTGAGCCTAACGGCTCAGGTGTTTTGGTAATCCTCAAACAGCAGGCCGTGTACAGACAGGTTTCAACAACCTAAAAGCCGGGGGAACGGGTTATGAAGAAGCTGGCTGCCGGGTTTGTTTATGAACAGCGTACCAAGAAGCGATAGGCCTAAATGAAAACAGCTGTAATAACCGTCGCAATAAACGGGAGACCCACAACTCTGGTGTTCCGGTAATCCCTGTACAGTGAGATTGCACATGCTTTTTTTAATCCGTTAGGCAGATAGAACAACGATCGATGTTTTTATATGGGCTCAAGAAGAATATGGAGACCGAGTCTTGGCCAGGTAAGGACATGCTTTAAGAGTACGTAAGGTGGAAAGAACGACGATCGAGGTTTTCTTTTAGCCTCACCAAGAATATGGCGACCCAGGCTAGGCCGATATTGTCGAAGGAGATGGACCCCTGGAAGGGGTTCTTGTCCCCCGCCGTGCAATTCGTGTAGTACTGGTTCCAGTTGACGCAGGACACGTTGGTGGGCGCGTTGGCGCTGTGCGGCTGCGCCGACGCGTTGCAGATCAGACCCGAGGGCAGGACAAGCGGGGGCAGTCCGTTGCATCGGTGCATCCCGTTGTCCTTTTCCGTGCTGCAGATGAAGTCCTTCTCGGCGTCCAGACCCTGGTAGTACGATGATATCGGACTGCGCAACAACCGACGGTGGGAAAAGAAATGAAAAGCACCATTAGAAGCACGCTCAAAGACTCCCTTCACATTTACGAGGGCGTTTCGTGCAGCATTCTCAAGATTGGGGGACATCTGTACGTTCTCCTTCTCTCGGTAGCAACAACTGCGTCTTGACGTAACTGAACGGGAAATGGGCGAGAAAAAATTATATCTGACGTAAAAGGATATGGTTACCAAAAATGACTCTCGGTTTTATACAGAACATACGTGAACAATCTTGTAAAGTTATTGTCGAACTATAAAACGAATGTACCAAATATTTCATGGTAAAACCGGCATTCGAAAAGAAAAGTACCTTTACAGTCCTCATTATATCTCTTCGCGAAATGATCATTGTTTCAAGATTTTAGAGTACCGTAACAGATCTAATTTGTATGCGAATTCGTTTTTTGTTCGTTCCATTAGAGAATGGAATCACTTATCAAATGAACAAGTGTGCTGTATTAATGAAGATGTGTTTTTCTCGGCATTGTAACCCCCCTGCTGCAGCGCCTTCGGGCTAAGCGGGGTAATCATTGAATAAAGAATAAATGGCTTCCCAGGACAATGGAACACTGCCCATAGGAAACCTGGGAGACCCCACTGTAAATTATTAAGCACCCTGGGAAGCCAGGGAGTTTGTAGTGTGACATTGTAACCGTAACAGAATGCTCAAGTAAGTAACGTCCGTATAGAACCGGGAGTCCTTTTTCGTTAACTAGCTTTTTTCGTCAGGCACCATTTTTATTTCGCCTATTCACCGTCTAGTTAGGCAAGCCACCGCTGTCGCCGACGAGAGGTGGCGCTACGTGCACTGCCCCCTTGAGTTACTGTATATGCTACCTTCAAACAGCATATGCAGATACTGTATAAACAGATTTGCTACATATGCTACCTAAATGTTGCATATACAATAACTCTAATGCCCCAAACCCTGGTCATGCTTCGACTCTAACGTTTGATTTCATCCTGTGTCCTCCCTCGTGTGACTGTACCGGAAACATGTCTCCAACGGCAAAGAAAACTACAGTCGAATACAGGCCCCGCCTAGATGACTGAAGCGGGGAAGCTGGTTGGCTTCGCGACTAAAAAAAAATATTAATCCTGCTCGCGCACTTGGCAATGTTGGCCGAAGGCCGCCTGGCCCGCGATGTCAGCGTGAAGTGCGCGCTTATTAGTGCATGCCTGTGAGCATCCTCATGCGAGAAGAGAATGCTGCAGGCTTCCAAAGTTTTATACCACCATGGACACCTTCCGGAGGCAGAACACCTCTCTTACACAGTAAACAAGAGAGTACGGGCGATTCTCGTTTTGCGGGAGACTAACTAAACTTGCTGCACATTTCAGTCCTATTTTCGAGAGTTTTCGTACTCCCCTGGCGGGCAGGCCGATGACTGCGCCCCGCCGCGGCGGTCTAGTGGCTAAGGTACTCGGCTGCTGACCCGCAGGACGCTGGATCGAATCCCGGCTGCGGCGGCTGCATTTCCGATGGAGGCGGAAAGGTTGTAGGCCCGTGTGCTCAGATTTGAATGCACGTTACAGAACCTCAGGTGGTCAAAATTTCCGGAGCCCTCTACTACGGCGTCTCTCATAATCATGTGATGGTTTTGGGACGTTAAACTCCACATATAAATCAATCAAGGCCGATGACTACACGGACGGAAACCGAGTGTGGCTTCCCGCTCCTGCGGCTGACACAGGCACGTTTTCAGTATGCGTACAAAACGTGCCTAAAAATCTCAGCGTAATCAGTTCGCGACTTATCTCGAAAGCTCTTATCTTTATCTACGAAATTGTCTAACCATAACGCAGTGGGGCGTTTGTTTGCCTCCTTGAACAATATGGCACCTACGTGGCCGACATTCTTTGGACTTTTTATTGAGCCTACTATACAAGGCAGTATGTAGAGGCAGTATGTCAGTAGCAAAAATAACGACTTAAAGTTGAGGCGCAACTACAGGGACGAAAATTTGATAGGATGAGCCCTGTCCGCTCCATCTTTTGTCTCGCCAAGTTTTTTTTTTATGCCTGTAGTGCGCTTTGGACGGATGGTTTGACTGGTTGTAAGGTTGTAACCATATTACTGGGGCCCAGAGTGCGTCGACAACATCTGAGTTCAAATAAAAGTTCCGGGAGACAAATACCATCAGCGTCCCTATAATGCACGAAGGAGAACACAGAGGAAAAACAGATACATTTAATTCACGTATACGCAAAAGTGTGGATGATGCAAAATGTGTCTGGGTTAGCAGCCGTCACAAGGGACGGAGTAAAAAGGGCACTGCCAGTGAGCAGGCGGGTAGTGCCAAGCAAATCAGTAGTTAATCTTATAGACAACTAGATTGATTAGTTCCAGTGTCATGCTTCGCCCAAAAAACGGCGGTACAGAAGCGATAATGCCGAGTAAGTGACACGACGTTCACATCGCCGGGTTACTGTTTCATTTAGGACACTTTCTGCTCACCGAATTGTATCCAAGTTACGTCAAGGGTTAGACGCATTCACTGATGCACGCGGGGAAGTTAGTTACAAGACAGCACGTGGTTATAGTATTAGTGAATAAAAGCAGAGAGCACGTGGTTATAGTGTTAGTGAATGAAAGCAGAGAAGAACGGTTGGTTCGCGCATGTCGCAGCAATGGCACGCGCGAACGCAGGTCGTCATGTGAGAAAATAGCAACCATTTATGACCCGAAGACACCGTTAGCAAACGTTCGTCATTGGTTAAGTAGCTGCCTCTTCTGGTACACCTAAAGATTTTCGTCTCGTGGTATGACGGCATGCAGGCGTAGTTCAACCTCCGAAGCAGATGTCATGAATTCGTTCTAGCTTTGATGCAGTGATGATTACCTTCTGTTTTTTTTACGAAGCTTGCAACATTATCTACCATTTTACATATTACGGTACACTACACGTTCGCGGGTTGGCTTTCTCGTCGCGTGGCCATGGAAGGTGACGTCACTTCCCCCCTCCCCTCAGGTGAGAACCTTAAGTGTCTGAGGTGACTGCCAAAGGGCGCTTAACAATTTTCTGCTTTTCAAATTGTGGCATGTTATAGGAGGGTTAGCTTTCTCACATAGGACGTCATTCCACGCGACTCGGCGGCGTAAGCTTGGAAGGTGTACCGGTTAAACTGAGAAGTTGCGGCTCATACGCGTAACACCGCTTCATTTCCGAAAACAAAAGGACGATTGTTCCGCCACGCATGTTAGACGGCAAGAAAGTATGACAAGCATCACATGCAGTGAGTCACGTACGTACGTCGGCGGTGGTTCAGACCACCCTGTTCAGCCCTGGATAGACACGCAAACAGATCGAGCGAAGCGCATCACTTCACACACACAGATGCACACGAGCCGGCAGCCACAAAATGGCATTCTCAAAAGAACGCTGCTTACTTAAACGCTTTGACCCTCTCCACATAAAACGGGCTGATACTCCTGCAAAGAGGTGGAATGAGAAGACGCACTGCGAGCAAATACACACACGGAATCAGCGGCATCACACACACAGACAGTGCACCAGGCGTCCCCTGGTGCGTAATTCACAAACTTCTCGCTCTAAAGCATGACCTCTGAGATTGCACGCTGGCAGGAACCTGCTGTTGCGCATTCTCGGAGGCCATGTCTAAAGGGAAAAAATGCCCCCACCTCCCCAAAGGGAGTCGTGAGGAAATGCGAATGCATTTCTTGCACCGAGAGAGGGTACCGTTGCCGTCAGACATTCGCCTTCACCGCCATCGCCTTGAGATGCGCCCCGACTGGGAACTGTATACAGATTGAGGAGCCAGCGGACGGGATAGTGGGGCACCAGCGTTCTCGGCTCGGCGTTGGCGTTTCAGAGCTGCGTCTCGAGCACACATTAGAGGTTTTTAGTTTGACGTTTTTGTGGTCCGCTCCACTCCGGGAGCACCCGCGAAGCCGCAGCGGAGCGGCGCCTGATTTTCCTCTTTTAGTTATTCGTTGCCGGCAGCGAAGCGGACCTTTCGCAGTTGCAGCGCCCTCTGGTCGTTTTCATCGTCGGTAAACAAATAAAAAACATTTTTTTTTCACGTATACAAAGCAAAACAATAACGTGTAAATTATCTTTTCAAGAAGTGTTTAGAAATCCACTTTCAATGTATTAACCGTCTATTTTTTTGACAAAGAAGCGAGCTCTGACTTGATAGTAGCCGCCCAAAAGCCAGCAAGGTTCCGTTCCAGATCCATTGCAAGCATTCACTGTGTGTTGTTTGCGCTTTTGACGCGTGTGTGGTGGCGGTGTTTTTATTTTTCACCGTTGAAACTGTGTTTTCGCGGCTTGCGCTGGTCAGGTGACAGCCAAGCTGCAGCACTCGCGGAAAGCGTGCCATCTCCGGAGGCAGCCATCTTGAAATGAGCAAAGTTGCTGCACGCACGAGAGAGGGCGCGCGCGTTGTCCCCCTTCCGCTTGCAAAAACGGCAGCGACGCACCGCGCTCCGCTTAGGCAGCTCGTAAGCGGACCGTATTCCCCGCTTCGGTAACCCGGTAACCCGCTTAAGGCCTTAGCGGAGGGCGCATGCGCACTCGCGTTCCCGCTCCGCTTAGCTGCTAAGCGGAGCGTTAAAACGTCAAACTAAAGACCTCTATTTCCGGATGTCCTTGAGAGGCGCCCAGCCAGCGATCGGTCGAGAGCCAGGTGCGAGCGGACGGGAGAGTGGGGTGCAGAGAGGAGAGAGAGAGGAAGGGCGAGAGAAGGAATGGCGAACCGCTGCACATTCCCTCTTCTACACTCTCTCGCACCACATGCTCCGGTTGCTAAGGGCGAGGATAAGCGCGTGCGCCCGCAGCTGTTGCTATAGGAGAGGGAATAAAAGCGAAGAGATAACACCTGCCTGCGCGCGGACGCCGCAAACAACGCCGGATGCCTGACATATCCCGACTAAGAAATGCATTCGCATTTAAAAGGCCTATTGCAGCTACAGCGTTACCGACACAAATGATCGAAAGCCAAAGAAAG